GGGGGAGGATAGAAGAAGAGAGTGAGGATACATATTGAAGGTGTGAGAAGAAGGTTCTTCAACTGTGTAGCTGCTTTTTTAAAAATTGATTTAAAGTAAAAGGGTTTTTTAAGCCTATTTAGTTTTCTCTTACATTCAGATTCAATAGTTAAAGGTGCACAGAAAAGCAATTTACTGGGCTGGGAAGTTGGCTCAGTGGTAGAGTTCTTGCCTTGTGTGCATGAGGCCCTGGGTTCGATTCCTCAGCACCACATAAGCAGAAAAAGCCACAAGTGGTGCTGTGGCTCAAGTGGTAGAGCCCTAGCCTTGAGCTGAAGAGTTGAGGGACAGTACGACTGACAAAAAAAGAAAAAAAAAAGAAAAGCAGTTTACCTTTAACATCAACCTCTTCCTGTGATGGTAGAGGCACAATTGTTAGAATGTGATTCCTGGCTCATTGAGAACAGAGGTAGTGAGATCAGCTAAACGTAGTGTTTTTTGATATGTATTTGATTATAATTTAGAACTTGTGTAATAAGTTTATATTCAATTTTTATAATGTCATTTTCTGTGGTTTTACATGTTTTTCAATCCTTTTTTTCTTAGTACACATTTTCTTTCATAAATTTGAAAGCTCCAGTTACATATATAGCAAATTTTTCCAAACAAACTTCCTTTAGTTCTGTGTTCTTGCAATTGCTTCCAGTTTGTGTTTCTATGTCATTTTCTACTAAGTTTGATATAAGTTAGAGGAAATAGTAAAGTTGACAAGAACATGAAGAAAGAAGAAAAGGAGGGCTGGGTAGCTGTGATTCATGCCTATAATCCTAGCTACTCAGGAGGCTAAGGCATGAAGTATCTGGTTTGAAGCAAGCTCAGGCAGAAAACTTTGAGAGAGTCCATCTCTAATCAACAAACAAGCCATATTAGAAGTGTGTGTCTCAGGTGGTAGAATGCCAGCTGTAAGTAAGCAAGCTAAGTGAGCTCCAGGCCCTGAGTTCAAGTTCTAGAACTAGCAGAAGGAAGAGAAGGAAAAGGAGGGAAGTGGAGGGAAGAAGAAAGTCAGCATTACATCTATGATGTGTTGTTATGACTTAAGTCTGTTTTCGGTTTTGATTGTGTGGGGCATGTAGAGCCAACACACATCCCAGCTTGGCTGTACTTTAAGTACTAATAGTGCTTCTTTTGTTCTCAGAGTCACTGCAGCCATATGCTATGTCTATGGACAGTAGAGAGTCACTGAATATTTCTCTAGTTTTAATTCCCTGCAGTTTCTACTAGTCAATACTGCCTGTAACAAATACATATTAATAAATGTTCTTTTATTCAGATGGTCTTATTCCAATGTTTCTGTTCCGAAGTTTCCATTTTATTTTATTTTTATTTTTGGTCTGGTCATGGGACCTGAACTCTGGGCCTGGGCGCTGTCCCTCAGCTCTTCAGCTCAAGGCTAGCACTCTTCCACTTGAGCCACAGCGCCACATTCTGCTTTTTTTTTCTTCTGCTTATGTGGTGCTGAGGAATCGAACCCAGGGCCTCATGCATGCAAGGCAAGTGCTCTACCACTGAGCCAACTTCCCAGCCCCAAAGTTTCCATTTTATTTCTTTACCTTTTTTCATCTTGAAGGTAGCTCAAGTGAGGGTTTCAGAAGAAATCTGGTAATACATGATAACGTAAAATGAGTTGGTAAGGAAAGAGGTAAAGAAGAAATAGTAAATGGCAGCACAGTAGTGCAGTGAGGGACAGGCTTCGCATAGGTGTCCTGGTGAGAACTGCTGCTTCCCTAACATCAGCACACATAGTATCTGTAATTCACGAGGAACCTCTAAGGCCTGATAAATAAAACCATCTAAGGCCCAATAAATCATTTCGTACATGACAGGACAAACAGGTATGCTTCTTGTTGGCTGACTTCCTGTATTGGTAATTTTGTATGACCCATGAATGAGGTTATAAATATCCAAATGACCCTTGGTAGACAAAAGTTTCCCCACCCTGCAGTGCCAGTAGATATCATAGAATGATTTGGAAAGAATAGGAGCTTATTTGGTTTGTGTTTCTGGAAATTATGAAGTTCAATATCAAGGTTCTGGTACTTGGAAAGGCCTTCTTTGCTGTATCATAACATCACCAGGAAAGAGAGGGCAAGAGTGTTCAAGCTTGGAGCTCTTCTTATAGAGCCACTAATGCTATTGTGAGGACTGCACCTCCTTTCTCCAATCCTAGTCCTTCAGTGGCCCTCCAGATTCTACCAACATGAGTTAGAGATTTGCTTTTTTGCTTTAAAAATATATATATATATTTTGACAGTACTGGGGTTTGAATTCATAGTCTCAGGCCTGCTAAGCAGGTTCTCTACCACTTAAGGCTTTACTTTAGTTATTTTTTAGATGGTCTCTCTCTCTCTCTCTCTTTTTTTTTTTTTTGCATGTGTATGTGGCAGAATTGGGGTTTGAACTCAGCTTTGTGTTTGCTGGATAAGCACTCTGTAAATCTAGCCATGCCCTCAATGGATCTTTTGTTTGCCCAGGCAGCCTGGATTGCTACTCTCCTATTTAGCCTTCCCATTTATGTGGGATGACAGGCAAATACTACTGTGCTCAGCTGTTGATTGAATTGAGATTTCACTAACATTTTGCCTGCGCTATTCTCCAACAGTGATTCTTGATTTCCACTTCCCAAATAACTGAGTTTACAGGCATAGGCTTTTATGCCTGGCCTAGAGATTACATTTTCAGCATACCATTTTGGGGAACAACTTTAAACTGCTACAGTATTTTCTCCATTTTATCTGGATTTTTTGTTTTTGGGTCCGGTCGTGGGCCTGAACTCTGGGCCTGGGTGCTGTCCCTCAGCTCTTCAGCTCAGGGCTAGTGCTCTACCACTTGAGCCACAATGCTACTTCCAGCTTTTTTTTTTTTTTTGCTTATGTGGTGCTGAGGAATCGAACCCAGGGCCTCATGCATGCAAGGCAAGCACTCTACCACTGAGCCACCTCCCCAGCCCTTATCTGGATTTTTCTGTGTAATTATTCCTTAAAAGAGAATGTTTTCCTTATGTCAAAAGAACTTGACAACCAGATTGATTTTCTCAGTGTTTCTGTTTTCTTGACACATATCCTTTTTATAGCATATGATAGTTATACTCAGAGGCAGACCAAGGGTATTCAGTTGTCATTGTATGGACATATAAGTACAATAAGAATGTCTTTGTTTTGTTCCAGGATGGTATTGTGGACCCCATTGATAGCACTTTAAGAGATTTTTGTGGTCGGTGTATTCGAGAGTTCCTCAAGTGGTCTATTAAGCAAACAACACCACAGCAACAAGAGAAGAGTCCAGTAAATACCAAATCGCTTTTCAAGCGGCTGTACAGCTTTGCACTTCATCCTAATGCTTTCAAAAGGTTGGGGGCAGCTCTTGCTTTTAATAACATCTACAGGGAATTCAGGTATGTAAGCTACATGGTAAGGAAGAATATGAATGGAGCTGTTGAAACCTTTAGTGATTCTAAAAAGTGACTTGTTTAATTCCATGATCTGCGTCACAAATTTATTAACTAATTATGGACCAGGTGTTGTGTTCTGAGTTTTAAAAAATTAACTACAATTCAATTTATATTGAAAAACCCCAGAAAAAGCTAAGTATGGTAGCTCATACCTGCAGTCCAGCTACTCAGAAAGCAGGTATCAGTAGGATCAAGGTTCAAGGATAGCCCAGGCAAAAAGCTAGTGAGATTCCCATCTCAAACAATAAGTTGGACATGATGGTGCTTGTCTGTCATCCCATCTATACCAACTATAGTAGTCTGAGGCTAACTTTTGCAACTTACTTAAGACCCTATTTAAAAAAGAGATAATGGCCGGACATTGGTGGGTCATGTCTGTAATCCTAGCTACTCAGGAGGATGACATCTGAAGATTGTGTTTCAAAGCCAGCCTGGGCAGGAAAGTCTGTGAGACTCTTTTTTTTTTTTTTTTTTGCCAGTCGTGGGTCTTGAACTCTGGGCCTGGGCGCTGACCCTCAGCTCTTCAGCTCAAGGCTAGTGCTCTACCACTTGAGTCACAGCACCACTTCCGGCTTTTTCTGCTTATGTGGTTCTGAGGAATCGAACCCAGGGCCTCATGCATGCAAGGCAAGTACTCTACCACTGAGCCACCTTCCCAGCCCTGTGAGACTCTTATCTCCAATAAACCATCAGAAAACTGGAAGTGGTGCTGTGGCTCCAGTGGTAGAGCCCTAGCCTTGAGCTGAAGAGCTGAGGGACAGCACTCAGGCCCAGAGTTCAAGCCCCATGACCAAAAAAAAAAAAAAGATAATGTAGAAAAGAACTGAGAATGTGGCTCAAAGCTCCTGACTAGCTGGCATGACCTCCTCAGTTCAAACTGCAGTACCATTAAAAACCAAAACAGAACAAAACAAAAAATTACTGAGAAACATATGTAGACATAATACTGTAGCAGTTTAGTGAACATAGCAGAAGACATATAAATGTACAAAGAGCACAGAGGAGGATTATGGAATCTAGTTTGGGTAGGTTAGGCCATCTCTCTTAAGGATGGCACATAACGGATGAATGGGAGTCAGCCAGGTCATTTCAGATCAAGGGGTGAGTAGAGATAGGAAAGAAGCTGCCATCTGAAGCAGTGGAGACATTTGTTACTCATCTGAGATTTGGAAGGCAGGTAGTGAGGTTGGGGACATGGTTTTGTGCCTTTCTTAGGTAAGATGTGAGTCGTCCAGTGACTGGGAGTCCCTGGTCATTGGAGCATAGAGTGTCAGATAAAATTTGTCTACTGCCAGCCACATTAAGATGCTTTATTATTATTTTTTTGTAATATATTTTTTAATTGTTGTTTTATTGTGAAAATACTTTATAGAGTGGTTACAATTACATGAGCCAGGTAATGAGTACATTTCTTATCCAGCATTGTCGCCTCCTCCTTTGTTTTTCCCCTACCATTCCTTCCTTCCCACATCCTTAGCTATTACCTCCTCTCCCCCCGATCCCCCGCCCCCCCACCTAAATTGTAAAGTTGGTTTTTCGACATAGTGTCTTGTACATCTCATTGTTGCAATGGGTCAATCTGTATTCCTATTTAAACAATTTGTTTTTTCCCTTCCCCTCCCCAAATTATACCAACATCAAATACAGTGAAAACGGATTATACCATTGGGGAGGGACATACAAAGCAACAAAAAAGTCACATGGTACCTTATAAATACATTAGAAACAATAGCAAGAAGAAAAAAACCACTTATGTCCCTATCTTGGGGTTCATTTCGCTTAACATCATCTTATCTGACCTTTTCTGCTTGTACCATATACTAGTTATTGCAAATAAGGGAAACCATGGGACCTATGTTTCTTTGGGCCTGGCTTACTTCACTTATTTTGCAGGGAAGAAGAGTCTCTGGTAGAACAGTTTGTGTTTGAAGCGTTGGTGATATATATGGAAAGTTTGGCTCTGGCACATGCAGATGAGAAATCCTTAGGTATGTGCTATCCACATATGTTGTTCGCGTGCCAATTTTGTTTGACTCAAGGTTGAAGTGTTTTTCTACTCTGGAGTTAAAGCACAGATAATTTTCATGAAATGTTATTTCCCTTTCTTATATCTCCTGTAAATAAATCTGATAAATGTGAGTGACAATACTTTCCTCCTTCCCCACCAGAAAGCTTCAAATGTACTTTGTAAGAGGTTTTCTTTGTGTGCTCATCCTCTAAGACTGTATACCTTTAGTAGCCATGAGCTTGACCACTGGTTGATGAGAGATCCTGCCCAGGGCAGGTAGGCAGTGCAGCTGGTCTGTGATTGTTATAGCATGGATGTGAAAATGGAATAGATTCCCAGTGCCAGAGAATGGTGGCAGAAACCATTGAGATGTGACCATGGTCTTTGAACTCATGATATTTAGTAAGTAGCAAAGTTATAAATGTATTTTGGCCATGATTAAGGTGGTTGAGTGCCAGACTTGAGTGAAAAAGCTGATGCACAGGGTCCAGGCCCTGAGTCCAAGCCACAGTACTGGCGCAAAAAAACAAAAGAGAAAAGAAAGAAAGATAGTAAATGAAGTGTGAGGAAGTAGCTACGAGAATCTTTACAATTAAATTTTGTCTAGATTCCTTTTGGAACTTCATAGAATTTCTGAGCTAGAAGACTTTATAGAGCTCTTTGTCTTATCTCTTGGTACAGTTGGGACTTGGAGGTCAGTGTCAATGAGAGCCAGGTCACATAGCTGTGGGTGACAACACTTCTTGTTTCCTGTTTCAGATCTTGGCCTCCCTCCATCTCCTCCCTTTCTTCCTTTTCTCTTTCGTCTTCATTCTCCTTTTTTGGGGTGGAGGGGGGCAACTGGGCCTTGTTTGTACTTGCATACTGGTTCTCTCACTCATGAGCTTTTTTGCTCATGGCTGCCATTCTACCATTTGAACCCAAAAGCTCAGCTCAGCTTTTTGGTAATTAACTGGAGATTGATTTGTGAAGTTTTCTGCTCAGGCTGGCTTGGAATAGCAATCCTCTAGATCTCAGTAGTTAGGGTTATAGACATGAGATATGGACAACTTTCTGTTTATTTTGACAGACTGAACTCTGCCATCCTTTACACTGATAGTATACTACTGGCTGAGATGTTAACATTTAGTTTTTTCCTTAGCTTAATTTAATGTATCTTGATTTTCCATATACATAAATTTTTTCAACAAATGAAACTTTTTTTTCAAATTAGTGCTGTGTGCCAGGCCCTGGGTTTGACCCCCTAGTGCTGCCTCCAGTCTCCCCCACAAAATACATAGAAATAAAATTATCTTCGATTTTTTAGATGATGGAGGTGACTGTGACTTCTTTCTTTTTCTAAATCTGAATAATTTTAGGCCTCTCTGAGTGGTTCATCATTTTAGTTCTGTTTTCCTTCTACAGTGGTCATGTTATTGAATTGTAACATAGTTTGTCTTACAGAGTAGGAAGGGATCAAGGAACTTAAACCCCTTAAAGAATAGCTCTGGACTGGGCGCCAGTTGCTCATGCCTGTAATTTTAGCTACTCAGGAGACTAGATCTAAGGATCGCAGTTCTAAGCCATTCTGGGCAGGAAAGCCCATGAGACACTCATCTCCAATAAACGACTCAGAAAAGGCTATAAGTGACGCTGTGGCTCCAATGGTAGGACACTAGCCTTGGCCTGGCATGAGGAGTTAGTTATATGCAGCTGTACCATACTGACAGTGCTGGTGGTATAGTTTCTAGCTGGGTGTGGTTTTGCTCTGTGTGTATATGTATGTGTGTATATGTCTTACTATCCTGCAGTCTTAACTCTGTGTTGTATTCTTAATAGGATTTGTCCACAACTAGGAATAAAATATGTAACAGAAAATGAGAGTGCTGAAAGGCTTGTATATATAGATACCTTAGACACATCAAAGTCGTCAGGAAGCAGTGGCAACCCTACCAATACATACCACCTTTACCAGTGATGCCATTTCCTCTTCCTCCTTTACAGTCTCCTAATCCTCCAGGCTCCCTTGCTTGGTTACACCAGCACTCAGGTGCCTTCCCCACTCCTGTTACATCACTGTGCCTGTGAGTCTTTACGGGTCTTTATGTTCCTCTGTCCACTGGACCCTCATAACATACCTGTGAGGTAGGCAGGACAATAGTTTCCACTTTACATGTGGAATCTGAGTTTCAAAATGGTGAAAGGCTTGTCTCAGGATGTCCAGGCTGTGTAATGTTTGAGTTTGGAGCTTAGGCAGGATTCCCAGCTTGCTTCCTTGAATGTGGGCTCCTCTTATTGCAACTTCCTTCCCTGTACATTTCTACAGAGCTTTCATGCTTTGTTTACTTCTTCAGGACCTTTTCCCTGACTTTCATGTCTCCACTATGGTTGCTATGCTTATTAGGTTTTTACAATACTATCTGTAAACTTTTACTCTTTAGCACTTCTCTCACTCAAAATTCCTCTCTTAAGTATTTTGCTACCATTAGTAGAATATAATTCCATGTTTTCCCAGGAAATTTATTTACCTGCTTATCTCTACTAGTGCTATATTGTAATATAGTCTACAAAATGGCCTTAAACAAGTGACACATTATATATTTATATATCCATCTCAGTGCCTTGATAGACGTTTAATATACATTTTACAGGCCTGTCAAGAAGTATCAGTATGCCAGAATGCTCCCTTAAAATACAATTGTTACTAGTATTTCAAATATGTATTAGTATGCCGTTGTAACTCAAAACGGTAATTTCATGCTCTTTTTTTTTTTTTTTTTGGTAGTACTGGGATTTGAACTCAGGTTTTGTCTTGGACATGAAAAATGTCATTATTTAAATTTTGCATTTAGAGGGGTGAAGTAACATTAAGTCTATAATCAAAGCACCTTTATAGTTATAAAATAAGCCAACAAACTGATTTTCTTTTGGTACTGAAAACAGGTACAATTCAGCAATGCTGTGATGCCATTGATCACCTAAGGCGCATCATTGAAAAGAAGCACATTTCTTTAAACAAAGCAAAAAAACGACGTTTGCCTCAGTAGGTGATTTGTTTCCTTTTCGTTTTTTCCCTTCAACATAATATTCTTAGCTGATAGAAGACAACTTGGTTCCATGTGTGGGTATATAAAAAATTGGTTTATCTAAGGAGTTTTGCAAGTTCTGTGGTGAAAATACTTGGTTTTATTTATTTAATACTGATAATTTTGTGTGTGTGTGTGTGTGTGTGTGTGTGTGCAATTGATGCTTGAACTCAGAGCCTTAAGCTGTGCCTCAAATATGGCCTTTTTGCTGGTTAATTGGAATCTCTCAGATTTGACTGGGTTGGTTTTGAACCTTGATCCTCACACCTCAGCCTCCTTAGTAGCCAGACTGATTTTGAATATAAGTTTGATGTAGAATTGACTACAATAATTGTAGGAACTGAATGTTGAAATAGGATTTTGGCAGACAGAATCACAGACTTTCAAAGTAAAGGTGAGCATGTTGGGAATAGGCTAGTGGTTTCTGGCACACTTTCATTTCTGTCCCATTTTCTGACTGATGCCTTGTATCACTGTCCCCCTGTTTCATATGCTCAGTGTTACAGGGGAGCTCTGGCATCTGTGCTGGCCAGCTACCACTCTGGGCAAAGACTGGCCCATGTAGAGTAGATATTAATATACTCTCTATTTCAAAATTAATTCAGCTGGGTATAATGGTACACATCTGTAATCCCAGGCACTTAAGATACGGAGGCAGGAGGATTGCCAGTCTAAGGCCAGTGTGAGAAACAATTTAATTTCAAAAAATTTTTTTTTTGGGGTCCGGTCATGGGGCCTGAACTCTGGGCCTGGGCGCTGTCCCTCAGCTCTTCAGCTCAAGGCTAGCGCTCTACCATTTGAGCCACAGCGCCACCTCCAGCTTTTTTTCTGTTTGCTTATGTTGTGCTGAGGAATTGAACCCAGGGCCTCATGCATGCAAGGCAAGTGCTCTACCACTGAGCCACCTTCCCAGCCCCAACAATTTAATTTCAAACAAAAGAGTTTGTTTGGGTTTTTCTATTGACTTATGACATTTCTTTAGATAGTTTTTCCCTCAAACGTTAGCACATATGGCAGGAGTGTAAGGTGTCTATAAAATTAGCAGGAGGTCTTGTTAAAACACAGATTTTGGCCTGATACCATCAGCACTGCTGTGTCAGATGTAGTGTATGGCCCCAGAGAATTTTTTTCCATTTGTAAGTAATTTACTGATGATGCTGGTACAGCTGGTCTAGCGGCCACACTTTGAGAAGTGCTGCTTTAGGGCCTCTACAGCCTCATTTATTTAAGGTACTTTGAAAAGAAATACTTGGTGCTATTCTGTTGAGACGTATTTGTAAATTTTTTTTTTTTTTTTTGGGTCCGGTTGTGGGGCCTGAATTCTGGGCCTGGGCAGTGTCCCTCAGCTCTTCAGCTCAAGGCTAGCGCTCTACCACTTGAGCCACAGCACCACTTCTGGCTTTTTTCTTTTTGCTTATGTGGCGCTGAGGAATCGAACCCAGGGCCTCTGGTATGCAAGGCAAGCGCTCTACCACTGAGCCACCTTTCTAGCCCCCCCGTATTTGTAAATTTTTGTATGGATAAAATAATAAGGCTGGGTATATCTTAAATGGCCAGAGTATTTGCCTCTCATGGCAAAGGCCCTCAGTTCAGTTTCCAGCACCACAAAAATAAAAATTAAAAAATAAAAATTAAGTTGAAATGAAAGTGAACAGCTTTTAGACCTATTTAAGCTATGATGTTTTAATTATATCTTCATGATCATAAAATGCCTTAAAGGAAGTCTCTTTGTGTAACATTGTGGCAAAGTTGAGTTAATGATTTCTAGACTCCTACTCTGCATTGGATTCTGGAGAGTACTCATGTTCCCCTGTCCTCTTCGTGCAGAGGGTTTCCACCATCAGCATCATTGTGCTTGTTGGATCTTGTCCAGTGGCTTTTAGCTCACTGTGGAAGACCCCAGACAGAATATCGACACAAGTCCATAGAACTCTTTTACAAATTCGTTCCTTTACTACCAGGTATGTTAAGCCTTTAAATTCTAGAGTTTTGGTTTTGCTAGTAGTTTAGATATGGAATCTCATGATTGCCCAACTATTTAGATGAATGTTAATATGTAATAAATACAAAAGGTAAGTATGTGGTTGTTTCACATTTGCATGATAGACTATACATTTTGAGTACATTTCTTTGAGATACGTAGAAGAGAAAAATTGCTATTTCAGTGATACTTATATGATACAGAAGATGAAAATTTGGTATTTCCTAGTAATTTTAAATTTCACTTCAGCTTTTCTTTATCTATTCCATTTAACTGAAGTAAATAGTATTTCTATGACCATTCGGTTAACATACTTAATGAATGTTCCAAATATTGGGCACTGGGAATATGACTTGGTGATATGTGCATGCCCAAGGACCTGGGATCAATCCCTAGTACTACACATACATGTGTACACACAAACGTGTTCAAAGTATTAAGTTAATGAAATGATGTAGTTCTGTTTTAATATGAACTGAAGTTGAATTGTAGGAGGTGTTGCATGTTTTTTCTTATTTTAAAGGAATGGAGGACCAGCTATTTGTAGGTAAAATTATTTTTTGGCACAATCTACCTCACATGTAGTCTCTGATTCCTTTAGAGCCCACAATTTCTAGTAGTATCAGCATCACTGATCACAGACATTTCTTTTTTTTTGGCCAGTCCTGGGGCTTGAACTCAGGGCCTGGGCACTGTCCCTGAGCTTCTTTTGTTCAAGGCTAGCACTCTACCACTTGAGCCACAGTGCCACTTCTGGCCTTTTCTGTGTATGTGGTACTGAGGAATGAAATCCAGGGCTTAATGTATGTTTGGCAAGCACTCTACCACTAAGCCACATTCCCAGCCCGATCCTAGATATTTCTGTTGGTCTTCTCAGTTTCCTAAAATAGTGACCTCATATATTTTGAGTTAAATAAATTGAGTTTACTTGTCTCAGCATTGTTTTCAGTAAGCTGAGGATATCAGGTGGTACATAAGCCTTTCTGATCTCCCAGCATACAAGTCACATAAAATCCACGAGCTTGCCTGACACCAGTGGCTTACACTTGTAGCCCCTTAGGATGCTGAGATCTGAGGATTGTGGCTCAAAGCCAGCCCAGTCAGGAAAGTCTGTGAGACTCTTTTTTTTTTTTTTTTGGGGGTCTGGTCGTGGGGGTCTGAACTCTGGGCCTGGACGCTGTGCCTCAGCTCTTCAGCTTAAGGATAGTGCTCTACCACTTGAGCCATAGCACCAATTCCGGCTTTTTTCTGCTTATGTGGTGCTGAGGAATCGAACCCAGGGCCTCATGCATGCGAGGCAAGCACTCTACCACTGAGCCAACTTCCCAGCCCCTGTGAGACGCTTAAAAAAATTTTTTTTATTGTAAAGGTGATTACAGAGGGGTTACAGTTACATAAGTAAGGAAATTAGTACAATTCTTATAGAACATGGTTATCCCTTCCCTCATTTTCTCCTGCTTTCCCTCTTCCCCTGACACCTCTCCCCCACAAGTTGTAAAGATGATTTCCAACAAGGTGTCTTGTGAGTATCACTGTTGCATAGTTTCACCCTTTGCCTATGTCTCACCATTCCTGTGGTTCCTCTTTTCCCCAAATCAGATAAACTTTTATACAAGACAAAGGGTACCGAAATAAAAAACAACGACAATGGGATACCAAAGGGAAAAAAATGAAGGAAAAAAGAATTAACTGCAAACAGTACCCTAAAAAGAAAAATCCATTTCCATATCTTGGAGTTCATTTCGATTAGCATCATTTTATATGGCATATGTACATAGCTATTGAGCAATAGCTCAATATGTACATATGTACATAGCTATTGAGCAATAGCTCAATCCTCTGCTAGGACTCTCCTAGACATATACCAATTATTACAAAGGAGGGTAACCATGGAGCCTATGTTTCTTTGGGTCTGGCTTAATGATTTTTTTCCATATCTTCCCATTTCCTAACAAATGGGGCGGCGTCATTCTTTCTGATGGAAGCATAGAATTCCATTATATATATATATATATATATATATATATATATATATATATACACACACACACATACACACACACACACACATACACATATATATATATATATATTAGTTTTTGTAGTATTGTGGTTTTCCTTTCTTTTTTTTTAACCTGCAGTTTTTTTTTTAAACAATGTTGGGCATCATTTTAGGTCACTGTATCTTTTTAGGTTTCTGTCTCTCTAAGTGAAAGTGATAGGAATATTTATGAGAAAAGAAATGCAGAGCCAGATGCCAGTGGCTCATGTCTAGCTACTCAGGAGACTGAGATTTCAGGATCAGAGATTCAGATCCAAGATACCCTCTCTTCCTCCTTCCTTTCGTCCCTCCCTTCTTCCTTTCTTTTTCTTTTTCTTTCTTTTCTTTCTTTCCTGAGGCTTGAACTCAGTACATGTTCTGAGTTCCTGTAGGCTTTTTCACTCAAGGCTATCACTGTACCACTTGAGTGAAACCTCTGCTTTCCCAAGAGACTTGTAATCTAGAATAAGCTAGCAAAAAGCCTGAAGTAGGAAGTGGACCTGGGACTCAAGTGGTGTAGGACTAGGCTTGAGAAAAACTGCTTAGGGACAGCACCCAGGCCCTGAGTTCAAATCCCAAGATGCACACACACACACACACACACACACACACACACACACACACACACACACACACACACACACACACACACACACACACCCATAGTAGATAAAGAGATTAACTGCTTAGGGACAGTACCCAGGTCCTGAGTTCAAATCCCAAGATGCACACACACACACACACACACACACACACACACACACACACACACACACACACACACACCCATAGTAGATAAAGAGATTAACTGCTTAGGGACAGTACCCAGGCCCTGAGTTCAAATCCCAAGATGCACACACACACACACACACACACACACACACACACACACACACCACACACACACACACACACACACACACACACACCCATAGTAGATAAAGAGATTAAGTGGATGCACACACACCCACACACACCACACACACCCATAGTAGATAAAGAGATTAAGTAGGATAGACTTGCCATAGGTTTCAGCACTTCAATTCATCTTCATTCATCTTCTGCTGGTTTCAGGGGTGTATAGACATTTAACTGTTGATCAGATAAGAAGAATAAGGGGTAAAGAATGAGAAGGTAGCATAGTTAAAACAGTTCACTGAACTATTTTATTTAACAAACATATATTCACATCTGGGTGTAGTAGCATATATTTATATTTCTAGCCAGCTGGATGATTGAGGCACAAGAAAATCATTTGAGCCCAGGAGATTGAAGCAAGGAACATAGCAGTATTCTTCCAACAAACAAACAAACATTCAGATATTAGCTACGGTAATTCATTTAATCTTGGTAACAACTGAAGAGGTAAATGTCATTTTCACTTGGGGCATAGAGAGCTGCATAGCCAGCATCAAAACCAGAGAACCATGGTGTTCTTTTATAACTTAAGAAGAAAAAGGTGGTAGGGTATTAGTAAATAGCTATTCCAGACAGAATTTTTGCAATGTTTAAAAAAATTAAGGAGAGTGATTTTGGTGGAGATAACTTCTAGGCTGTAACAAGTTATGAATACTGGAGTAAAAAGATGATCTCATATCATTTAAAAATTTAATTTTAATACAACAGATTACAGAGATTTTTCTTAGGAAAGTTTTTAATATTGTTTCTCTTTTAAGGCAACAAATCCCCTTCTTCATGGTTAAAGGATATTATCAAAAAAGAAGGTACTTCTTTTCTTATAAGCACATTTGAGGGAGGAGGTGGCAGAAGTGACCAGATGTCCGGTATTCTTGCTCAGCCAACCCTCTTCCACTTGCGGGGCCCATTTAGCCTGCGAACAGTCCTGCAGTGGCTGGATCTGCTTCTGGCCGCATTGGAGTGCTACAACACATTTATTGAGGAGAAGACTGTGGAAGCTCATGAGGTTCTAGGAGGTAAAGTTTACCCTATTTATTTGTTCACTTGTCTATGTATTAATTTAGAAGTAAGGTTTCAGTATGTCACTTAGGCTGACCTTGAACTTGTGATCTTTCTGCCTCAACCTCTTAAGAGCTAGGATTATAGAGCTCCCTGGCCCAAACCTACCTGTAAATTAACATTACTCAGTTCTGCTGGGATTTGGTCCAGGTAGACAGCTCAATGCTGTGTCAGTATGGGCTACAGATATGGTTACTTACTGTTAAGCAAAAAGTTTACCTGCATTTTCATTTATGTTGATCAGCCTTCCATTACTGTGACAAAATATCTGAAATATCAACTTACTAAGAAGAAATATTTATTTTGGCTTACAGTTTTGGAGATTTTAGTCCAACATTGACCTTGTTTCTTTTAGATCTGTGATGAGGCAGAATATTGTGGTAGGAGCATATATATGCTGTAGGGTACTGCTGGCCATATGGCAAACTATAAGCAAAGAGGCTGAGAGAGTGAGGGGATTCCAGGACCTCAGTTTCCCCTTTAAGAGCATGCCCCTCCTCCAAGTACTTAACTTCCTTTCATTAGGTCCTACCTCCTAAAGATTCCACATTCTCCCAATAGTGCCACAAGCTTGCAACCAAGCCATTGGGTCTGTAGAAGGATACTCATCCAAAGTACAGCATCATTTAATGTTACAGTGAAAACAGGGCCTACACAACCAGGCCAAAGAATCCAGTGGTACTGAATTAAGAATTCTGGTAGCTGGGTGCCAGTGGCTCACGCCTGTAATCCTAGTGATTCAGGAGGCTGAGATCTGAGGGTCTCCATTCAAAGCCAGCCCAGGCAGAAAAGTCTCTAATCTCCAATAAACTACCAGAAAACTGGAAATGGCACTGTGGTTAAAGTTGGTAGAGTGCTCACCTTGAGCTGAAGAGCTGAGGGAAAGTGCCCAGGCCCAGAGTTCAAGCAAGCCCCATGATGGAGGAAAAATAAAGAAGAACTCTGGTAGTTTTATAATCAGTAACATCAGCTTTAAAACAGTTTTTTCACTGAAAATTGTGCAGAATCTTCACATTAGTATTCCCATTCCCTACCCTTCAACACTTTGATTTTAAAGCCTTATGTTTTTAGGCTTTGGGTTTTATTTATGCCCCTAACAATGTCTTACTAAGAAAATGGATCTGCATATTTAAAAACTTATTTTGTGTTATTACTGCATTTGTTTTAAGAAAAATTTATTTATACCTATAGAAAAATAGATATAAACTTTTGGTAAATATTTTATATAAAAAGTAAAATGATCTGGTTAGCATGCTGTTTTTGTCTTTTTAGGCATATGGCATTTAATGATGGGGATGTGTTCTGAGATATTAGGCCATTTCACCTTTGTGTAAACTTCATAGATAAAGTGAATGACTGGATTCAGACATAACTCATTCACATGAACAGTTGTTAGAATTGACTAATTTTAAAATAACACATTTTTCTCACATTTAACACATCTATAAAGTTGGAAAATGTCTTTCTAGTCCAACAATCTATTGAATTGAAGTATGTTTGATGTTGTGAATGTAATTTTTTCAGGCACTGATGGGGCTTGAACTTAATGACACACATGTTGGACAGACATTCTACCACTTGAGTAATTCCTCCAGACCTTAAGGATATAAATTTTTTTTTTTTTCCTAAGCAGCCAGGATTGCTACCATGAGCAGTGGTGCCTGGCTATTAAAACTATTTATAATGGTCTATGTATTGACAATTTGATTAAACTTGTTCAGATTTTGTAGTTTAAAGAAGTGACAGTCCACAGATTCTTAAGAGGATTTCTCACTCAGTCATGACCTTTGTTTACTCTTTGACTGTGTATGCCAATATTTTATGTGTCCCTTTGTCTGAGGTTCTAAAGGTCCTTACGTCCTGCAATAACAATGTACACAGTGATATTGGGGAGAAGTTAGTGGTGTGGTAGGTGGGAAGAGGGTCATGGTGGACAGCATTAGTTGGAAGGGAGAAATAGCCTCATTGTTCAGATGAGTTTGGTAAAATTATAAGGGTGATCTGGAAATTGACTATGTAAGATGCCCAATGCCTATCCATACTTGTTTATTTTTGAATTATCCTTTTGAGGAACATTTAAATTGCTGTAATAATTATTAAAAGCAGTGCTGTCAGGTGTGGTAGCACATGAGTATAATCCCTGCACTTGCAGAATAGAAGCCAGCCTTGGCTACACAGTGAAACTTTGTCTCAAGAAAAAAAGCAAGAGGCATAAGCTAAATAAACATTCTTTACTCTTCTGCCATTAGTTATTAAAAGTTCAATGCTAGATCAAAGCTAGAGTTTTAAAATATTTGATAGAGATTAAAATGCATATTTTAAAACTTTTTGGTATGAATTTCTAAATAACTCTTTTAAATAGTCATATTATTTTATATTGTCACAGACAGTGCTTGTTAATCAACTTTTGTGTTAGTCAAATATTGGTTGTGGTTAAAAATCTGAGCTAGTACAAAGGACAAAAGATGTGTTTTGATCTGAGAATGTGGCTTAGTGGTAGAGTTCTTGCCTAGCATGCATGAAGCCCTGGATTCAATTCCTCAGTACCACATAAACAGAAAGAGCTGGAAATGACCTTGTGGCTCAAGTGGTAGGGTGCTAGACTTGAGCAAAAGAAGCTCAAGAACAGTGCCCAGGCCCTGAGTTCAAGCCCCAGGACTGGCCAAAAAAAACACAAAAAAAGATTTGTTTAGCCTTAAGGTTTGAGAGTGTTCAGTCCACAGTGGCCCCATGCACTTAGGCAGAACTTCATGGCATTGGTGGTGAGTGGCAGAAGCTGTTTACCTCAGAGTGGACCAGAGTGGCGAGTGGGGTTCACCTACCCTAACCTGTTTCCATAAGCTTTGTCCTACCATCTAATGTTTTTCAGAACTTTCTCAGATAGCACCACCAGCTAGGGTCCCAGTGTTTAGGCATTGGAGCCTGTGATGGCATTTCATAGCTGAACCCTAATGGATCGAATCTTATATAAACACATTGTAATTTTATAAGTCTGAAGTTGAGTTCTATATGGATTATAACTCTACAATATGAAATGAGAAGGAAGAGCAGATACTTGACTCATCTTTTACTCAGTTATGTGTCTGTGTGTGTGCATGTGTGCATGTGTGTGTGTACCAGGCGTGGGGACTGTTTGTGATCTTTTGTGGTAGTCTAGTGCTCTACCACTTGAGGCACAGCTCCACTTCTGGCTTTTTGGAAGTTTACTGGACATACAGGTCTCGTGGACTTTCTTTCCCGGTCTGGCTTTGAACTGTGATCCTCAGATCTCAGCCTTCTAAGTAGTTAGGATTATAGACGTGAACCACCAGCATCCAGCTGAACTAATTTTTTTTAATTGTTCAGTTATTGCTGAAAGTCTACCAAACCTACATGTACAGAAAGATTTTTTACATTAGTTTTAATGGAGTTGGGAAGTGGCATGTTAATATTATAACATACTTATTTCTAGGTACTGAATCACAGTCTTCACTCTTCAAGTCAGTGGCCTTCTTTTTAGAAAGCATTGCTGCTCATGATATCACAGCTGCTGAACAGTGCTTTGACACAGGGGCAGCAGGCAACCATCCCAGCCCACACGAGGAGGAGAAATACAAGTATAGCAAGTGTACTGTTATCGTCCGAATTATGGAATTTACTACAACACTGCTCAGTACTTCCCCTGAAGGATGGAAGGTAGGCTCTCTCTTGCTGCTTTATTATTGAGGCTAGTACTTGAGATGAGAAAAATGTTCTTGAAACTTAACAGGCCAGGTGTGATGGCAGGTATAGGGGTACAAACCTATCATCCCAGCTGTATGGAAGGATTAAGGTCTAAACCCTGTCACTGGCCAAAAACATGAGACTCTATCAGAAAGATAGCTAAGGTAGAGAAAGGGCTGGAGGTGTGGTTTAAGTGGTAGAGAACTTGCCTAGTAAGTGTGTGGCCCCAGTACTGCCAAAAGATAGAAGTTTCTGTTTTTTAACTGTAGGGAAATGCAAATAAAAAACTACACTGAAATTCCATCTCATTCCAGTCAGAATAGCTGTCATCAAGAATACCCAGACCAGGTGGGTGGTCATAGCTTAGACCTGTAGTGGAATCTTAGCTACTAAAGAGACTGAGAGCTGGAGAATTGTGGTTCAGAACCAGCTTAGGTAGAAAAGTCCTCAAGACTCCATCTCCAAAATAACCAACAAAAAAGCAGGTCTGGAGGAGTGGCTCAAGTGGTACAGCTCCAGCTGAGCAAGCAAGCCAAGTGAGTTTAAACCCCAGTGCTGTCAAAAATGAAATGTACAACAAAGTAAAGTAAAAAAGGAATACAGAAAACAAATGCTGGTGAGGATTGTAGGGCTGGAAGGAGGATTGGGAAAGAAACCCTATACAGTATCGATGTGAATATAAATTAGTCCATCCATTGTTACAGACCTGCTGTACCATTTCTGGGCATATATCCAAAGGAATTAGCATACAGTAGAGACACCTGCATATCCATGTTTATTGCAGAACTATTCACAGTAGTAAAGTTATGGAATCAGTGTAGGTGTCCGACAGCTGAATGGATAAAGAAAATATTTTGTTTATGTAATACAGATACTGGATCTAACTGGCGCCATCTTGGCGGTGTGGTAGATAATAGGGAATTTGGTGTAGCTGGTTGAACTATCTTGTCTTCTTGGTGGGTGAAGGTAAAGTCCCACTCCCAGATGATGGATGTTCCTGAATTCCTAGAGGCAGGCGTGGGGACTTGGACAATAGGTTATTGGACCTATACTATAAACTTTCAAGACTCTTTGAACTCTTGAGCTCCTGTGACCCAGGCCCCTGACCATGAATCTATTTAGGTCCCGACCAGATCAGCCACCATTTTGCACCATGCCTTGTGTTTCTTCAGGTCACCATGGTGTCCCTCTTCACCTTTCCATTGGAGTTGATCTGATTTGTTAAGATTGTTTTTCTGCTCTTTTCTTTGCTTAACTACTGTCCTGACTCAGTTTTCTAACAGTATTAAATGTATTTGAGGCTGCAAGATTTTTGGGGACATGTGTTGCAGGCAGTTGCTGGCTTTCTATTAAAGATGCCTGATTCGATCTCTCAAAATGTGGCTTCTCTGTACCTCATGATTGAATTCCCATATACAAAATACTCAGCTATAAAGAAGGATGGAATTATGTCCTTTACAGGATAATGTGTGGAACTGGAGATTATTATATTATGGTTTTTTTTTTGGGGGGGGGGTCCAGTCATGGGGCCTGAACTCTAGGCCTGGGCGCTGTCCCTCAGCTCTTCAGCTCAAGGCTAGCACTCTACCACTTGAGCCACAGCGCCACTTCCGGCTTTTTTCTTTTTGCTTATGTGGTGCTAAGGAATTGAACCCAGGGCCTTAAGCATGCAAGGCAAGCGCTCTACCACTGAGCCACCTTCCTAGCCCGATTATTATATTATGTGAAGTAAGCCAGACATATTTACATTTTCTCTAAAATATAGACCTAAAAACAAATTAAACAGTACATTAAAACAGAAGGGGAGAAGAGGAAAGGGATCAGGGAAGTAGAGAGAGGGAGTGGCTATCAAGGTAAGAAGTTCTGGTTAGAAGTGACTTTGGTTCCTCTGGAACTTACCATTTCCAGAAGGATTTTATATTCTTATTTTAATTAACAAACAAAAATTTTGTGTATTTATGGTATAAAATAGGATTTGGTTTTCTTTGCTGGTACTGGGGCTCTAACTCAGAGCTTGGATGCTGTCCCTTAGCTTTTTGCTCAAGGCGGGTACTCTTCCACTGAGACAGAGCATCACTCTGGCTTTTCGATGGTTGTCTTTGATGTTAAGCATCCCTTATCCAAAAATCTGAAATCTGATACCCTTATTCAGATTTTTCACATTAAGGGTAGTTATTTGGTAAGTTCTGTGCAATATTTCAAAATGTTGAAAAATTTGACATTTGAAATATTTCTGGTCCTAAGCATTTTGAGTACTTCAGATACCTGGGGTAGGGCTGGGAAGGTGGCTCAGTGGTAGAGTGCTTGACTTACATGCCTGAGGCCCTGGGTTCGATTCCTCAGCACCACATAAGCAAAAAGAAAAAAGCCAGAAGTGGCCCTGTGGCTCAAGTGGTAGAGTGCTAGCCTTGAGCTGAAGAGCTGAGGGACAGCGCCCAGGCCCAGAGTTCAGGCCCCATGACTGGACCCCCCCCCAAAAAAAACCCCCAAAAAACAAACAAACAAATACCTGGGGTAGGAGCACACTGTGGTAAGTATTTGAACACATAGTTGTGAGATGTACTGTATAAGCAAAGCCCAGTTTGGATTCAGTGAATATATTGAATATCTTTTCTCTGTCAGGCATTGCTCAAGTCACTGCTTTTCAGACAGGGGCTAGCAAACTATGGCCACTCATATTTCCATACTATTTTCACACTAAGATGGGTTAAGGAATTAAGCAGAGATGTATGGGTTTTTTTTTTTTTGTTTTTTTTTTTTGAGACAGGATCTTTTTTAATTTGCTTTATAAAGGTGATTTACAGAAGGATTACACTTACATGAACCAGGTAATGAGAACATTTCTTTCATGTAGTGTCATCTCCTCTCATTCTCTCCCCGTCCCTCCCTGCTGTCTCCACCCACCGTTGTATAGTTCACTTTTATCAATGTCCATCCAGTGCACTCAACTGCTGCACTTTCACCCTTTTCCCTCCAATTCTGTGCCCTTCTTTCACCCTCCCGAAGACATGCATGTGAATACATGTATATAAGGTAAAGAATACGGAATCATCAGAAAAAGAAAAAAAATTTAAAGTCTTTTGTTTTCATATCTTAGGAGTTTGTTTCAGTATATATATTATTTTATATAAATATGAAGAGATGCTTAGGCATTGCACCTTTGTGATTCTCTCCTAAGACTATCTTCTTTTGGTCTCACTGTGTGTGAATATCTGTGTACTTTGTCATATCTCAGTTCATTTTAAATCTAACTTCCACATATCAGAGAGAACATGTACTGTTTGTCTCTCTGAGCTTGGCTTACCTCACTTAACATGATTTGTTCTAGTTCCATCCATTTCTCTGCAAAGGGCATTTTTTATCCTTTCTAATGGCTATGTAAAATTCCATTGTATATAGGTACCATATTTTTTTGATCCACTCGTCTATTGTGGGGCATCTGGGCTGTTTCCATATCTTGGCAATTGTGAATAGAGTGGCAATGAATATGGACGAGCAGATGTCCTTATATCCTGGCTCATGCTCTTTGGGGCAGATGCCTAGGGGTGGTATGGCTGGGTCGTAGGGAATGTCTGATTTTAGTTTTACAGAGTGGTTGTACTAGTTTACATTCCCACCCAGCGGTGCAGTTGGGTTCCTTTTTTCTTACATCCTTGACAACATTTGTTGTTGTTGACCAACAAATGGGATGGAATCTCAGAATTGTTTTAATTTGCATTTCCTTTATGGCCAAGGATGATGAACATTTCCTCATAGGTTTTTTTTTAAATATTTTAATTTTTTTGCCATTCTTACCTCTTCTGAGAAGTCTCTCTTTAGCTCCTTTGTCCATTTATTGATTGGTTTATTAGGTTTGGGAGAGGTTAGTTTCTTGATCTCCTTGTATATATTGGATATTAGGTCTTTTGAGCAGGATCTTATATATAGCTTTGGCTGGCCTTAAACTCAGGACTTTTCTGCTGTAGCCTCCTGAGTGCTGGGCTATAGGCATATATTAACATGCCTTGTTGAAACTTAAAAAAAAATTTTTATCGTGAAAGTGATGTATGGAGGATTTGCAGTTACATAAGTCAGATATTGAGTACATTTCTTTTTGAACAATTGTCAGCCCTCCCTTATTTTCTCCCAGTTTTTCCAACATAGTGTCTAGTAGTATCACTGCTGAATTAGTTTGCCCTTTGTCCCACCATTTCTATGCTTCCCTTTCCCCTCCTCAAATCAGATAAATTACATACAGGACAAATATACAGAAATAAAAAGGGGAAAATACAGCGACAAAAGGGGAAAACAGAAAAAAGAAAGAATTGTAAAAAGTAACATAAAAAAACCTCTTGTTTCCATTTCTTGGCGTTCATTTTGATTAACATCATTTTATATGATCATATGCACATAGCTACCTTGTGATCCTCTCCTAAGAATATCCTCCTTTGGTCTTACTGTGTGAATGTTTAGAGTCCTGTTTAGTTTTTCATGTCCAAGTGTTTTTTTTTTTTTACTATCCATTGGGATTACTTATAGCTTTATAGGCACATTCTAGGTATTGCAAATGAGGGAAACCATGCAACCTATTTCCTTTGGGTCTGGCTTACTTCGCTTAATATATTTTTTTTCCAAGTCTTTCCATTTCTGTATGAATGGGCAATGCCAGCTATTCTTGCTGATGGAAGCAGAGAATTCCTCATGTATATATGCCATATTTTTTTTGATCCATTCATCTACTGAGGCATCTGTATTGATTCCATATCTTAGCTATGGTATATAATGCTGTGATGAAAATGGTTGTGCTAGTGGTTTTAGAGTGGCCTTGTTTGTGGTCAATTGGATAAATGCCCAGGAGTGGGATTGCTGGGTCATAGGGTTGTTGCAACTCTCATTGGGGTGGGGGTGGTAGTAGTAGTGGTAATGGTGGTAATGGGCTTGAACTCAAAGCCTTCCACCTACCATTTGAGCACTTTATTATCTCATTTATTACTTTCAGTTATTTTTTGGATAAGATCTCATATTTTTGCTGGGCATTGGCCTTGGAATGTAGTCTTTCTGTGTAACTGGTGTCATGTGTGTTTACCACCATGCTTGTTGGTTAAGATGGCATCTTATTAACTTTTTGCCTTGGCTGGCCTAAAACTGTGATCCTTTGACTCTCCACCACCAAGTAACCTGAATTACAATGTTTGGGCCACCATGTTTAATCTATTGCCCAGTTGTTTAGAGCAAGTTTTCTAACTCCTGTCCTAGTTATATGACAGGATTCAATCTGTGGACCTTACAGTATGGTGAAAATATAGTTGCTGGCTAAGAGAAGTCTTTTTATTCAATCCATATTTTGCAGCTCCTGGAGAAAGATTTGTGTAATGCAAACCTTATGAAACTCTTAGTGAAAATGCTGTGTGAGCCCTCAAGCATAGGTTTCAATATTGGTGATGTCCAGGTTATGGATAGTCTTCCCAGGATATGTGTGAACCTCATGAAAGCACTGAAGAAGTCCCCATACAGAGACATTTTTGAGACTCACCTGAAAGAAAAAATGACAGCACAGAGGTGGGTATTCCAGTCCTCATTGTCAGTCACTGTGTGGTCAGATTTAATGCCATAGTGCATACAGTGATCCTTGCAGCCACATGCGCCACGTGTGTACTTACTGTAGTCCCTTTGCCTTTAAGGAAGGCTCTCATCCATATTATGTTTGTTAAATACCTTCCTTGCCCCAGGAAAACCTTGTCTGGTATTGTCTGCTTGCTTTTCAGGACTATGCTAATGTATTTGAGTGTTAGGTAGTGAATTTATAACCACGCACCCATTTCTTCAGTGTGGTCAGTTAGTGCTGTTAGCTCTCATGTGATTTTCTGTTTTTCTTACTTGGCCAGTATTGAGGAGCTCTGTTCCATTGACTTATGTGGTCCTGATGCACACCTGGAGAGGACCAGGCTTATGTCCATAGTGTCAGCCTATAAACAACTTCACAAAGCTGGCTTCTTGCTTCTTATTTTACCATCTCAGGTAATCAGAACCAACTTGTTTTTAATATCTACATTTATTTCTTTGTCAAATCTTTCATTTATAAATTATGCTGAAATAGGAATTTTAGAATATTTTCTCTAGACAGGTAGATATTATCTGGAATAGAAACATGAAAGTGCCATGCCAGGCGCCAGTGGCTCATGCCTATAATCCCACTCAGGAGGCTGAGATCTGAGGATCACGGTTCAAAGCCAGCCCGGGCAGAAAAGTCTGTGAGACTCTTATCTTCAGTAAACCACTAGAAAACTGGAAGTGGCACTGTGGCTCTAGCGGTAGAGTGCTCTCCTTGAGCTGAAGAGCCCAGGGATAGCGTCCAAGCCCAGAGTTCAAGCCCCACGACCAACAACAACAACAAAAGAAACATGAAAGTGAATATAAGATTAAAGTTAAATAAGGGGCAGTTGGTAATTTCTGGAAGACTTAGGGAAGCATCTGCCATCATGCCATTGTGTGGTGAGATGTTGAATGGCAGATGTGACTGGGAAAGCAGAATAGAATCAGAACTGTCCCAAGTATTGGAAGTGTTAGACATGAATTTTTCTGAGGGGACTAGCATAGTGTTGGGGATGGAATCCAGGGCCTTGCAGATGTTAGGCAAGCCCTGTATCATCTAGATATATCCCTGGTTCTAACATGGACTTTTTAATTAATGAAAGGAGTGAAGTTAGGCTTTTTATTTTTTTTTCTTGTCAGATACTTCATGTTGATTTTATTTTAGTCTACAGATGTTTGTCATAATGTTGGTGCAAGACTTCTTTCCCTGGTTTATAAAGGCATTGCATCTGGCGAGGAAAGACGGTGCCTCCCATCACTGGACCCCAGCTGTGTACGTCTCGCCACTGGACTTCTGGAGCTGGCCTTCTGTTTTGGAGGACTGGTAGGAAAAACAACTTCATGCTGTGCTGTCCTAGTGAGGAGTGTGGGTAACTACTTGAGATATTGAGTAACTTACTCACTTGAAATATATCTTTACCTAATAAATCCTGCTTTTTCTAAAATGTGAGCTGGACAAGTAGTTGATTTATAATCGCTGACTTTCAGGGCTGGGAAGGTGGCTCAGTGGTAGAGTGCTTGCTTTGCATGCATGAGGCCCTGGGTTTGATTCCTCAGCACCACAGAAGCAGAAAAAGCCAGCTGTGGCTCAGGTAGTAGAGTGCTAGCCTTGAGCTGAAGAGCTCAGGGACATGCCCAGGCCCAGAGTTCAGGCCCCATGACTGACAGCAAAAATATAAAAATAAAAATAAATAAATTATTTAATTAATTAAAAAATTGCTGACTTTCTGTAAGATCTTCTTTATACTATAGTGTTTTTTTTTTGTCCAAGACTAGCATTCGAACTTGAATCTCTTAATGCTTTACACTCACTGGCAAGTACCCCTACCACCTGAGCCACATATCTAACCTCATAGCACTGTTTTTTAAAATAAAAGAAATAGAACATTCTTTTTTTTTTTTTTTTTTTTTTGGTCGTGGGGCTTGAACTCTGGGCCTGGGTGCTCCCTCAGCTCTTCAGCTCAAGGCAAGTGCTCTACCACTTGAGCTACAGTGCCACTTCCAGTTTTCTGGTGGTTTATTGGAGATAGGAGTCTCACGGTCTCTCTCCTGCCCGGGCTGGCTTTGAACTGCAATCCTCAGATCTCAGCCTCCTGAGTAGCTAGGATTACAGGTGTGAACCACCAGCGCCCGGCTTAGAACATTCTTAAATTGAGGTTTGTCTGTCCAGCTTTGTTTTCAAAAGGATTTTAAACACAGAACATTGGGAACTAAAGCTGACCTATGCTAACATGTGGCTTCTTCCATTATCTTTGGTGGTTCTTGAGATGGGTGGTTTGATATGATGCTGTAGAATAATTTCAGAAGCACTACAGCAAAAAGATCTCATAGTTCTTGAAACCACCTAGGGCTGCTCTCAGAGAGTCTGATGTAGCTTAGATCACTTTTCTCCACTCCATTCTCTCTTTTCCCTCTTCCCCATTGTAGGAGCCTCTTCTTTTTCCCATTGTCTATTTTGTGTAGACAAAATTATAACTTCTTACCCTTACTTTACTGGGCTCTCCCCTTTAGCAGCAGCAGGATTTTCTGGAAAATTGGAAGCAGTGTCATTTAAGGAAAATTTCTTCCCCAAAGTAAAACCTAGAAAATAGAAATTAATTGAAGTATGTATAGTTTAAATTTGAACCTGGATTTGACATATTGGAGTCCCTTTAGACTTAGTGTGTGTTTGTCTTCTTTAACATGTGAAGATGGGTCCTTACTATGGTCTTGTCTCCCTTTCCTCACAGTGTGAGCACCTTGTAAGTCTTCTCTTGAGTCCAGCAACATTGTCCACACTATCCTTGAGCAGCTCACAGAGAAGCATCACCAGCTTCTTCCATGGAGAGTATTTCTATAGCTTATTCTCAGAAACTATCAATGCTGAACTGTTGAAGAATCTTGATATTGCTGTGTCAGAGCTCATGAAATCATCAGTGCATAATCCCAAAATGGTAAGAAAATTCTTCTTTAAGTATTTTCTTATAATGTTCATAGAAGAATTACCATATTTCTGAAATATTTTCTTAAAACAAGGTATCTTTATAAAACACTACAAGTTCTTGCTAATATTTGAAAACAAAGTAAACATATTGCACAAAACACATTATTTTTCCATTTTATATCCCCAAATCTCTGGGCTTAATATTATAAGGTTCAACCTTACAGAAAATTGACTTTCACCCAGATGTCCAGTTGTAGCTTTCAAACCTGGACTGTGGCCCAGAGCTATTCTTTCCAATAGCAGCTGCAAGCTGAACCTATATACTGTTAGACCTTTCTCTCTCTTCAAAGTGTTCCCGGTCTTAATGCCAACTCATCATTTCCTGTGTGATCTTGCTCTGGCCTTCTTGGTCCCCTCATGTTGACTCTTGACACTTAATACATGTTTGACTTAGGTTGCTAAACTTCTGGGATTTTGAAAATGTAATTTGTTGTCTGTAGAGAGTCAAAAATGATAAACTGTTGCCATGAGTATTATAAATTAGAGTGTAATTTCTTACTAAGTTGAACTTTTATATCAAACAATGCTTGTCTGTAGTTGGAAATTCTTTTTCTTTTTCTTTTCTTTTTGTAGTAGATTGCACTAGAACATTGTAGTTTTTGAAGTTACAAATAGATTTGTAGTAGAAATATGACTCTTAGGACATTGAACATTTTGAAGTTTCAAGTTATTCAGATTTCTGATGAAAATGATGGGTAAAATCATATTCATATACCCCTGTTCCTTCCCCACATTCCTCTAAAATTATAGAATAGAGTTAAAACAAACTAAAAACAAACAAAAAAAAAGCAAACTAAAAACATACCAGTAGCATAATGTTAAAGGATATAGAGAAAAGATTTCCAGAATGAAAAGCAACGAAGGAAAAGCACAGGTATGGCAGCCTCAAAATATTTAGTCTTCTAGCCGCAACAGCAGCCAGCAGCATGGTGAGCAGGGTTTGGTGGAGAGGCTGAAGAGAGACCCTGAAACAAGGACAGTCCCTCAGTACATGGGCAGTGTTCCCCACTTCAGGTGGGGGTGTTCACTAGTTAAAAGCCTACCTAGATTTCAGACCTATGGATTATTGTCAGCCAGTTCTTTTCCTTCTGCCAGACGTCAGAACAGTTAGAGAGGCTCAAGAGAAATCTTTATTGACCAAGTGTTCTTATAGCCTGTAGTCTGGCACTTCAAAGCAGTTCTTTTTTTTTTTTTTTAATTGTGAAAATACCATACAGAGGGGTTACAATTACATGGGCAAGATAATGAGTACATTTCTTTTTCTTTTTTTTTTTTTTTTGGTCTGGTCATGGGGCCTGAACTCTGGGCCTGGGCACTGTCCCTCAGCTCTTCAGCTCAAGGCTAGCGCTCTACCACTTGAGCCACAGAGCCACTTCCAGCTTTTTTCTTTTTTTTTATGTGGTGCTGGGGAATCGAACCCAGGGCCTCATGCATGCAAGGCAAGCGCTCTACCACTGAGCCACCTTCCCAGCCCCATGAGTACATTTCTTACCAAGCATTGTTGCCTCCTCCTTTGTTTCCCCTTCACACCCCTTCCCATCTCCCACCCCTCCCCCACTCCTCCTCACCCTACCCTCACCCCTTCCTGGCCAGAGTTGTAAAGTTTGTTTTTGACATAATGACTTGTACATCTCATTGTTGCAATGGGTCCAAGTGAATCCCTATTTAAACAATTTGTTTTTGCCCTTCCCCTCCACAAATTATACCAACATCAAATGCAATGAAAGCAGGGGTTATACCGTGGGGGAGGGACATACAAAAAAACAAAGAAATCATCTTATAAAAATGTTAGAAACAATGGTATGAAAGAAAAATCATTTGAATGCATATCTTGGGGTTCATTCCCCTAACAAAATCAACTTATCTGACCTTTTCTGCTTGTCTCAGACATATACTAGTTATTGCAAATAAGGGAAACTATGGTACCTATGTTTCTTTTTTTCTTTAAGTTTTTAATAAAATTGTTACTGTAAAGGTGACGTACAGAGGGGTTACAGTTACATAATTCAGAAAGAATACATTTCTTTTTAGACAATGTCACCCCTTCCATTACTCTCTCCCAAATGAGTTCTTCAATTTGAACCAACATCCAGAAATGTCAGACTGGAGCAGAGGGCTACCAAAAATAATGAAATAAGAAGTGTTGCTAAGAAAGAACATCTCTAGAATCGAGCATAGGCATCAGAAATTAGAAGTGAAATGGATTTGGGAGGTAAAATTGAAGAAGTCATAACAGTGACTAGTGTGAGAAGACAAACCAACATAGGAGAGAAATAATGATCTACCAAAGTTCCATAGAGCTGAGCAGCAAGATAGAAGCTCCAGAGGAAAGAGGCTGAGAAAGGCTTCCTGTGACAGATCAGCAGTACTGAAGTAATGAAAGCCCCAAGTTCCCTGATATAAAAGGGCTGTGGAGAAAACTCAACATGGAGCATACTCCCTAGGGGTTAAGAATCCTGGGGTTTCACTATGAGAAAAACTGAAGAAAAACCAGTTCTATGTAAAAGGATCACGAAATTGAATAACATTTGTCTTCTCAACAGAAGTGTGGATGCTGCAGAAGTATGAGCCAAAATTCCTTCATAATTCATACAAGAAATATCCCTTAAGTCTTAAGTGCAGCTATATGATATGTAAGAGTAGGATGTACAGATTTGTCTCTTGTGTATTGCGCTTTGGTCAGGAGCCTTGAAAGAGGAAGTTGCTGATGTGAAAAGTCAGCCTTATATTGAGGAAGGGGCAGGTCTCAAGCCTGGTACCTCCTAGCAAGGCACAAACTTTGCTCACTAGGAGCAGATAGACTCCCTGATTGGTTCAGCTAGATTGAGGCCATCTAATTAATTTGGAAAAGTTTAATGGCAAATTAAGGATAGACACTGAAAACAGCAAAGAAAATATGTGAGGATTAGCTTTAAGGGTAGAAAAATGTGCTATGTGGAACTTTTTATTATTTTCCAGGTGCATCCCCTAACTAAAACTTCTCTTTATCATGTACCACTTGGTAGCTGGGGGAAAAATGGGAGTGATAGTGGGTCACAATTTACAAATAAAGTACTGTTTTTATGGGAGTTGTCATGAGGCTGTGTTGAAGTAACTTAACCATGAGATATTGGGCATCCATGGAAATGGGTTTGTTCAGCCATTTACATTAATGAGCATTTAAATGCAGCAGATACCATTTCAGGTGACTTAACATGAATGAATAAAAGTCAGTGCTAGTGTATTGGGGTTTTCTTTTTTTTTTACTCCCTTGACAAATGCTATTTGTGCCATTAAACTTCTGTAGTAAAGAAAAAAAATGGGCTGGGAAGGTGGCTCTATGATAGAGCGCTTGCCTTGCATGCATGAGGCCCTGGGTTTGATTCCTCAGCACCACAAAAGCAGAAAAAAAAAAAGCTGGAAGTGGTGCTATGGCTCAAGTGTAACATGCTAGCCTTGAGCTGAAGAGCTGAGACCCAGAGTTCAGGCTCCATGACTGGACCTCACCGCCCCTCCCCCCCGCAAAAAAAATGAAAAATGTGCTAGAAATAGTGTTAGTAGTATGGGGCATCTATGATAAATGTTCATGTCATCATAATAGTAATATTGAATGTTAAAGCCAAATTAGATTGTCACTGTATTGGGAGGTGGTGGTGGGATGGGAGCTGTGTGTGTGAATGTACTGTGGTGGAAGTAGCCACAAAAGGGAGCTCAGTCCCCTTCTAGGTGGAGTTCTATCAAGAATGTGCCTACTAAGAGCCCATGAGTGGCGTGATGGCATGCTGACATGAATGAGGCCACATGTGTTAGAATACTCATTTTAGATCAAAAGCTTTGAAATAGAGAAACAGAAAAAAAAGCATATTCACTTTCCAAGAATAGCTTTGAAATTAAAAGTAAGCTTTGTATTTATCTTAGTATTAAGAATTTTTTTCTTCAAATGCTGCAAATTTATTTCAGGTGAGTGCTGTTTTAAATGGCGTGTTAGATCAGTGCTTCAGGGATCGAGCTATTCAGAAACACCAGGGACTGAAGCTTGCAACTACAATTCTGCAAAACTGGAGAACGTTTGATTCATGGTGGACGGGGGATTCTGCTCCAGAAAGCAAAATGGCAGTGCTGACGTTACTGGCAAAAATTTTACAGGTATTTTGTAAAGTCTAAAACACTCATTCATGTTCAGGGTTTTTGTTTGTTTATTGCCCTTTTTTTCCACTTTCAGTTATTCTTTATTGGCAGACTAGGGTACAAGTTAATGGTGTGTATATATCCATGTTTGCTAACAATTCATTTCCAAATATTGCTAAATTTTAAAATTATACTTTACAATAATTGGTAGCTAATTTCCTTTAACTATTTTTCTTTCTAGCATTCCTACTAATTAGAAACATTAAAACAGACCTGAATTAAAAAATATTTTTTATTATTATAAAGGTGATATACAGAAGGGTTTCATTAGTCAGGTAATAAGTACATTTCTTTTTGATAGTGATGCCTGGTTCCTTCTTTTCTACCAGATTTTCACCTACCGCCTCGCCTTCTCCACAAGTTGTATAGTTCATTTTTTTTAACATACTGTCTACTGAGTACTACTGCTGCATTTGTTTATCCTTTGTCCCTCCATTTCTGTGACCCTCTCTTACCCTCCCAAAGACACATAAATGAACAAACAAGACAAAAAGAAAAGAAAATCAAAGCTGGGAGTCAGTGGCTCATGCCTGTAATCCTAGCTACTCAGGAGGCTGAGATCTGAGGATCATGGTTTAGAGCCAGCCCGGGCAAGGAAGTCTGTGAGACTCTTATCTTCAGTAAACCACTAGAAAACCGTAAGTGGTGCTCTGGCTCAAGTGGTAGAACACTAGCTCTGAGCTGAAGAGCTGAGGGACAGCACCAAGGCCCATAGTTCAACAACTGACCAGAAAAAAGAATACTACTAAGAGAAAAACCTCTTGTTTCCATTTCCTGGAGTTCATTTTGATAAATATTATTTTATGTGTTCAGTGGCACAGAAACATTACACCTTTGTGTTCTTCCCCTAAGAGGTCTGTTGGGTAGCAAAATTGCAATTATCCTACCTCAGCTTCCTTATAGTGTGTATGCCACCGTGGTAGGCATGTTCATTGCTTTTTTTGCTTTTCTTTGTGTTGGTACTGAGCCTTAAACTCAGGGCCTAGGCGAAGTCCCATAGCTTTTGCTCAGGGCTGGCATTCTACCACTTGAGCCAGAGCTCCACTTCTGATTTATTGGTGCTTAATTGGAGCTAAGTATCTCATGCACTATCCTACTCCAGCTGGTTTCTGAGATCCTCAGATCTCAGCCTCCTGTTAGGTTTAAGGGCATGAGCCACTGGCTGCCTGACTTATGAAGTCTGAAATGTGTATTTTTAAAAGTGCTGGAAGTTGCCTTTAAAGTTGTCTTTTAAAGTTGCTGAAAGTTCTGTCCCTCCCTTCCTCCCAAACAAATTTCAGCAAGTCTGAAATTTTAGCATATCTATTTTCATGCCTTCAGTCAACCAACCACATTCATTTTCATTCACCTCCCACTCCCCAATAGAGCATGTTTTCTTTCTTTCCTTCCCCACTCACCCACCAACTGATCAGCAGCTTCTTTATTCTGTTTTTATATATAATTGTTATATATTTCAAAATTACTTTATTTTTCCAGTTTCCTTCTTCTAAGTAGGCCTTTCAGTTAAATTCATGTTTTATATATGTCCATAATAATGTATACAGGCATATACATAAATCCATATCAATGAATAGATATATTTTTAAACTTCTACATGTGGGTAAAAACATGACATCTGGCTTTTTAAAGCTTATTGGTTTTGATAAAGACGATATTTTGAGGAGATGATCTCTAATTACCATACAGTTTTTACTTTTTCATTGTTTATAGTTATGTTATGCTCATTTTATCCTTTCTACTGCAATTTTATATGCTGTGTATTAGCAATTAATATTAAATATTAAAATATTTTAGAACAAGATTTTAAAAAGTATTCGAAGCCCTAGAACGAATATACAATTAATTCCTAAATGGTAAACACTTGGAAAATGTATTAAAGAGAATAGAGGCCTAATACAAAAAACGTGTTGTTTTTATTTCTCCTCTAGATCGATTCATCTGTGTCTTTTAATACAAATCACAGCTCATTTCCTGAAGTCTTTACAACATACACTAGTATACTTTCTGATTCAAACTTGGATCTACACTTAAAGGTAAATGATGTTAAACTACTTTTTTTCAGATTACATTCTCATTTACTTTTTTTTTTTTTTTATTGTAAAGATACTATACAAAGGGTTACAGTTACATGAGTGAGGTATTGAGTACACTTCCTCTTGAACATTGTTACCCCCTCCATTGTTTTCCCCCTACCATCCCCTCCCTCCCTCCTCATTTACTTTTATATCTTCATATTTTTGTTTTGTCATGTTTTTCATGTGAGGAGAATTTCAATTATGCGAAGATAAGAGAGATTAGCACAATAACCCTCCCCACCCCACCCTGGTGCCGTCTGTCATGTTAGCATGGCCATAAGTGCAAGCCTGAAGTTAGCATTCTTAGAATAATTTACATTTAGCCAGGCGCTAGTGGCTTGCACCTAGAATCCTAGCTACTCAGGAGGCTGAGATCTGAGGACTGCAGTTCAAAGATAGCCTGCGCAAGAAAGTTCTAGAGCCTCTAATCGCCAATAAACCACTAGAAAACCAGAAGTGATGCTGTGGTTCAAGTGGTAGAGTGCTAGTTTTGAGCTGAAGAACTCAGAGATGGAACCCAGGCCCAGAGTTCAAGCCAATAACAACAACAACAACAATAATAATAATTTACATTTATCTTTTCAAAGACATGAGTTAAATTGCTTCTAGACTTACTATACTAACTTTTTCTATTATAATTAATATAAAGTCTCTTGGTAACTTTTTAAATAAGTTTTTTTATTGTGAAAATACTGTACAGAGGGGTTACAATTACATGAGCAAACTAATAAGTACATTTCTTATCAAGCATCTTGGTAAATTTTTTTCAGCCAAGAATATAATAAATATTGTAACTTTAATATTAATTTAAACTTTCTAAATGAGGTTGTAGTAAACCATACCTTTTTTACTGGATAGGAGGAATAATTTTTTGGAACTTTCTGTTTGCTTGCTTTATGAACTTTTCTGATGTATGAGACTGTGTTGGAATTTATTTGCTATTCAAGAAAGATAGGGCCAGGGGCTGGTGGCTCACACCTGTAATCCTAGCTACTCAGGAGGCCGAGATCTGAGAATCACTCTTCAAAGCCAGCCAAGCAGCAAAGTCTGTGACACTCTTATCTCTAATAAACCCACCAGAAAACCAGAAGTGGTGCTGTGGGTCAAGTGGTAGAGCACTCGCGTTGAGCTGAAGTGCTGAATGGTAGTGTCCAGGCCCAGAGTTCAAGCCCCACAACCGACAAAAAAAAAAAAAAAAGAAGGAATGGATACCTTATTCTTCTTAAGCTCAGTATGAATATCTGAAATAATTCTGCAAACAGGTGTCTTTCCACACAGAACATGTGCCATGCATTTCTATTAGGGGTTTTGTTTGTAGAGCAAGAACATATAAACAGAGTTATAATATCCTATGTTTGTGTGATTTTTCTTTTCTTCTTTTTTTTTTGTCGGTCATGGGGTTTGAACTCTGGGCCTGAGCGCTGTCCCTCAGCTCTTCAACTCAAGGCTAGCGCTCTACCACTTGAACTACAGTGCCACATCTGGTTTTCTGGTGGTTTATTGGAGATAGGAGTCTCACGGACTTTCCTGCCCTGGCTGGCTTTGAACCGAGATCCTCAGATCTCAGCCTCCTGAGTAGCTAGGATTACAGGCGTGAGCCACCAGTGCCCGGCGTCTGTGATTTTTCTGAGTCAGTCCATTGATCTGTAGAATTGAAGCTGAGACACATAGTTGCATTCAGATTGGTTTTTACTTTTACCTTACTTTTTGTTTTTACTTTCAATTATTTGTAAGTTGTTGTACACAGGGATTTTAACATGACATGTCAGTTTATGAGTACATTGAATGTTGATCAGGTCATCCCTCTTATCATTCTTGATTTTTAATATAATCTAAAATGTGTAGTGAAGTCATTTGTGGACTCCATATAATGGTTAATTAGCAGTCTTCAGAATATAGTAATTTTATTTATTCCATGGGATCTGTAAGCTACAGTTATTGTGATTTCTCTTGTCTTCATTGCTCACAGGGTCAAGCTGTAATTCTTCTTCCATTCTTCACCAACATGACTGGCAGCAGTCTGGAAGACCTAAAGCATGTTATCGAGAAGCTTATTGTTTCCAATTTCCCTATGAAATCTGATGAATTTCCTCCAGGAACTCTGAAGTACAACAGTTATGTGGACTGCATAAAAATGGTTAGTTTTCAGATGTATCAAAGTTAAATATAGACTGACTTTTGTTGCATTTCTTTTTAAAATTTTATTTTTTAACTTGCACTTAGAAACAAAAATTATATACATTAATGGATACCATATAATGTTTAGATACCTACATATACATTGTATAGTGTTTTAATCAAGCTAAATATATCTATTTCCTTAAGTAGTTACGATTTCTTCTTAGTGAAAACTTTGAAAATCCTTTCTTCTAGTTCTTGGAAATGGACAATATGTTTGTATTATCTGTAATTACTTTACTGTTCAGTAGAGCACCAGACTTCTTACTCCACCCAATTGTAGCTTAGTACTCATTGATGAAACTCTCCCCATCCCCATGTTTCCCAGCTTCTAGTGACCAGTTCTCTGAACTTTTAGTGAGATAAACTTTTTTTTTTATTGGTCATGGGGCTTGAACTCTGGGCCTTGGCACTGTCCCTCAGCTTTTCAGCTCAAGGCGAACACCTTACCACTTGAGTCACAGAGCCACTTCCAGTTTTCTGGTGGTTTATTGGAGATAAGCGTCTCATGGACTTTTCTGCCTGGGCAGGCTTTGAACCGTGATCTTCAGATCTCATTCTCCTGAGTAGCTAGGATTACAGGCGTTGTCACCAGTGCCTGGCCTGAGATAAACTTTTTAACATGGTATATATGAGTGAGATCATATACTACCTGTCTCTCTGAGCCTGCTTTATTTTACTTTCCAGAATGATCCCCAACTTCATCCTTGTGATCATAGATGACAGAATGCCAGCCTTTATAACGCTAAAGAGGAGTCCATTATGTATTATTTATGCATCAGCGAATAGGCATTTAAGTTATTTCCATTTTTTACCTATTGTGAATAGTTCTTTGACATATGATTTCATTTCCATTGGAGATTTATACATAAATTACACATGTATGTGTGCATATGTGTACATGTTTGTATGTACATATACAGAATGGAGTTGTATTTTGTTTTTAGTTTTTTGAGAACTTTCTGTACTGCTGGTAATAGTGATTACTGATTTATATTCCTATCAAGAATATTTAAAGATTATCTTTTCTCCAAATTCTCACCAGCATTTGATAGCTTTAACTTTTTTTAAATAGCTTACTGGGTGGAAGCAATACCTTATTTGCAGTTTTTTGATTTTTATTTCTTTGATGATTAGTGATATTGAGTATTTTTTTGTGTACTTGTTGGGCATTTGTATATCTTTTGTGTATATGTGTGTGTGTTGGCATTAGCATTTGAACTCAGGGCCTGTGTGCTATCCCTTAACTTTCTCATTCAGGCTTATGGTCCTCAGATTTCAGCTTTCTGAGTAGCTAGGATTATAGGGGTGAGCAATTGGTGTCTGGCTTGTATGCTGTTTTTTGAGAAAAGTCTTTTTAGAGCTATTACCCAATGTAAATATTTTTTTTTTTGTGTATGTTTTACAATGAGTCTTTGTGGTTTCACATATATGTATCAGATGTATAGTTTTTCAAATACTTTCTCTTATTCTGTATGCTATTTTTTTTTACTGTGCAGAAAAGCTTTTCAGTTTGATGGAATGTCATTTGTCTATTTTTTCTTTGGTTCTTATGGTTTTGGGGTTTTCTTCAAAATGTTCTCAACAATGCCAATGTTCTGAAGCTCTCTGTCACTGTTTTCTTTTAGTAGGCCTATAGCTTTAGGTCTTATATTAAACCTTTAATCCTGTGAACTGATTTTTATAACTGGTAAGAGATGGGACGTAGTTTCCTTTTCGTGTATGTGGGTATTCAGTTTCCCAGCTTCATCTGTTAAGAAAAAAAACACTATCCTACTTCATAAAAGTGAATATTTTTTAAAAACTTTTTTCTCTAGTTTGCATTCTTCCCTTTCCTTTTTCCCTCTCTGTCCTTCCTACCTCCTTTTTTTGTGCTGGTTCTGGACGTGAACTCCAGGCCTGGGCACTGTCCCTCAGCTTTTTTTTGCTGAAGGCTAGCATTCTACCATGTGAGCCACAGTTCTACTTCTGGCTTTTTGGTAGATAGTTGGAGATAAGAGACTCACAGACTTTCCTGCCAGAGTTGGCATTGAAAGGTGATCCTCAATTGAGCCACAGCCCCCAGTCCTTTTTTACTTTAGTTACTTTAGTCCTTTTTTACTTTAGACCATGTTCTTCTTACCTAGTTTTTTTTTTTTGTTTTTTGTTTTTTTTTTTTGCATAGATAGGTGTATACCACCATACTTGGCTTGTTTGTTGATTCTTATCAATCTTTTTCTCAGCCGGTCTCAAACCTTGACCCTCCTGATCTTTTTATTGCTATTAGCTGGGATTACAGGTGTATGCTACCATACCTGTCTTAAAAAAATAAATAAATAAAAGGTGGGTGGGTGCTGGTAGCTCATGCCTGTAATCCTAGCTACTCAGGAAGCTAAGTTCTGAGTATTGAGGTTTGGAGTCAGCCTGGGCAGGAAAGTCCATGACACTCTTCTCTCTAACACTAAAAATTTAGAAGTGGAGCAGTGGTTCAAATGGTAGAGCAGTAGCCTTGAGCAAAAAAAATGACAGCACTGAGGTCCTGAGTTCAAGCCCTAGGAGACACAAAACAATCAAACTTGTCTCTTTATTGTATTTCCTTAACATGGGAAGTTAGGTTTAAAGCTTGACCGTGAGATTCAGGTAGATCTTCTTGGCAACAGTAGTACAGGAGGAGGCAGTCTTTTCAGGTTCCATGTAGAGTGACCTCAAGTCTGTTTATATTACATTAGATATTTTCTTCCCTAGTAATGTTTTTATCAGCCACCAAGAGTCTAAGTAGATCCTTAGTGCTTTCTTTTAAAGTAAATGCCAGAATATAAATGTATCTGCAAATAACTACTGAATATGTGAAGTGTCTAATGTAAGAAATATACAAACTAAGGGCATAGCTGCATGTGCCCAGAGGCTAACAGAACAGGATAACTGGAGCCCAAGAGTTCAAGGACAACCTGGGAAAAGTTCAACCTGTCCTGGAAAAAACAATCACAATCAGGTTACTTTGGTATAAGAATATAGCTCCGTAGTGGGCTCCTGACTAGCAGGTGTCAGCCCTTGAGTCCATTCCCAGTGCTTCCCTGCATGCCAGGGCCAGGGCAGAGAGAACAGTCAGTGAGGCAAGGAGGATAGTCAGAGAAACTGCAGAGTAGCTTCAGACATGAAGGAAGCATTGGTTCCATGAAGGGAGACAAATAAGATCTGTAGGAATTAAATATATAAAAAGAAAGTTTAAATTAAAACTGTCCTGTTCAGTTCTGAAGTTAAAATTGAGGATGTCTGCTAGAGCAAACAGATGAGACAGAATAGGAGAGTAAAGGAGGAATACACTGGAGAAACAGCCTGGAGAATGTGGGGGCGGGGGTGGGTAGAGACAACAGAACATACATCTTTAGTTAGATGACCAGCGCCTGACAAGGAAGGCACTTTGTCATGGAATTCCAGCGGGAACACATTTGCAAAATCCAGACTCAAATATTTAATGAATGTTATATGCTATCCATTCATGACTGATACCAGAGTGACACAAATAATAGCATTTTTAAAATTGCGTGTGTAATTAGAGCTATTAAAAGTTGCTCGTAATTGTTTAAAATCGCATGTAAAGGGCTGGGAAGGTGGCTCAGTGGTAGAGCGCTTGCCTTGCATGCTTGAGGCCTTGGGTTCGATTCCTCAGCACCACATAAGCAGAAAAAAAAATCCGGAAGTGGCGCTGTGGCTCAAGTGGTAGAGTGCTAGCCTTGAGCTGAAGAGCTAAGGGACAGCGCCCAGGCCCAGAGTTCAGGCCCCATGACCGGACCCCAAAAAAAATCGCATGTAAAATTAGAGCTGTTAAAACCAAATTGCTGTAGCAGTGTAGAACATTGTCCTAGCAAGTACAAGGCCTTTTGAAACCCCAGACCTGCCAAAAAATAAAAAAATAAAAGACAGCCAAATAAAAATAAAACCAAACAAAAATTTGATGATTGATATACTTTTACATTTTTTAGTTTTTAGATGCATTGGAATTATCTCAAAGTCCGGTTTTGTTACAATTGATGACAGAAATTCTTTGTCGGGAACAGAAACATGTTATGGAAGAATTATTTCAAACCACTTTCAAAAAGATGGCCAGGAGGTAAGTCTTTCTAGTCTGGAATCTCAGAAGTCAGACAGGATGTATGTTAGATCTGGGAGGATTATCTTGTCTCTTTCAAGGAAAGTTGAGAGGCAATTTAGCAAACTCTGGGTGTTGTTTTTGGTGCTTTTATTTTATTTTTCTTCAAAACAAACTTTTATTATTTTGAAACCTTGCAAACATTCTTAAAGCTAAAATGATGAGTATAAATGAGACTTCAGATGGAAAAAAAATCAACATTGTTCCAGCTTTGTTCCACTCATTTTTTTTCTTTTATTGTTGTTATTGTGTTCTAAAACAGATGTCTGGGGCCTTTTTATTTCATTTCAAAAAATTTTCTCCATGTCTTAAAAATGCTGTTTCCTAGCCAGGTAGAGTGGCTCATTCCCATCATCCCTGCTTCTTGAAGATAGGAGGATCATAGATTGAAGACATCCTAGGAAAAAAAAATGTTAACAAGATCCTCTCTCAATGAACAAGCCTAGGGTAGTGGTGCATACCTGTGATCCTAGCTATAAAGGAGGCAGAGATAGGAGGATTGAGGTCTGAGGTCAGTCCTAGGCAAAAGCATAAGATCCTATATAAAAGAATAAAAGCATAAAAGGCTAGTGGTATGGCTCAGTAGTAGTTTCAGAGGTGAAACCTAGTACTGCCAAAAAACAAAATACAAAAAATATTACTTTCTATAGAGGAATTTTTAACTTCAAAGGTAGAAAGAAACCACAAAAAAATAGCAGACCAATATCTCTCATGACTCTACATTCACAAAAGTCTTTAGAAGTACATTAACAAGCCAAATCCAGTATATGTAACAAAGATAATGTGCTCAGCCAGGGGCCTGTGGTTCATGGTAGTAATCCTCTCTACTCAGGGTACTGTAATCTAAGGAACAGGATTCAAAGCCAGTTTGAGAAGGAAACTCCTCTTAATTATCCAGCAAACAGCCAAAACTGGTGAAAAGCTAGGGACAGAACTCAGGCTCTGAGTTTAAGCCCTTACTAAACTACTTCCAAAGAGCCCGAAGTGGAGCTGTGGCTCAAGTGGTAGAATACCAGCCTTGAGCAAAAATGCTCAGGGACATCACCTAGGCCTTGAGTTCAAGCCCAGCCATGCACGCACGCACACGCACGCACGCACACACACACACGAGATTTATCCTAGGGATACAAAGCTGGTTAACCATCTGGAACTCAATTAGTGTTTTAGAGCATATTGATTGAATAAAGAATTAGGGGCTGGAGATATGGCTCAAGTGGTAGGTAGAGTGCTTGCCTATCAAACACAATGCCTTGGGTTCACACCCCAGTACCACTTAAAAAAAGAAAGAAAATGAAATATATTTTAATAAATCCTTAAAAAATCAATTGTTATTATAAAAGTGATACACAGAGGGGGTTACAGTTGCATAAGTCAGGTATTGAGTACATTTTTTTCTGGGACAGTGTCGCCCTTCCCTGGTTTTCTCCCAGTTTTTCTCTCCCACCTCCCACCCACAAGTTGTATAGTTCATTTTCAACGTAGTGTCCAGTGAGTACCATTGCTACATTTTCACCCTAAACAAAATCTAATACTAATGGATGACAAAGCTGACAGAGGTTATTACACAGTAAAGAAAGATTTCAGAGTGAAAAACGGAATGCTTTCCTTCTGAGGCTGAGGACCAGGTTGTATATGCTATCTGCTGATTTTCAGCGTGGTACTGGAAGTTGGAGCTATTATATTAGGACAAAAAAAAAAAAAAAAGACAAGGAAAAAAAGCCAACCAGGTGTTTTACTAGAAAGTATTTGTTCATATTCTATTTTGTCCTCATTGCTTTTTTCCACCTATGAGGTCTTGAACTTCTTTTTATCTTTTTTGTTTCTCTTATTTATTTCAAGTTTAACATTATAGAGTTTAAAATTTAACTTATTTTCTTAATTTAGTTTCTCTACCCTATGGATAAGTTTTTTTTTTTACATATTGTTGTTTTCAGTAACACTATTGTTACATAGTTGCTATATTGTTTTTTTTTGGTTCCGGTCCTGGGGCCTGAACTCTGGGCCTGGCTGCTGTCCCTCAGCTCTTCAGATCAAGGCTAGCGCTCTACCACTTGAGCCACAGCGCCACTTCCGGCTTTTTTTTCTGCTTATGTGGTGCTGAGGAATCGAACCCAGGGCCTCATGCATGCAAGGCAAGCGCTCTACCACTGAGCCACCTTCCCAGCCCAGTTGCTATATTGTTTAATTACATAAATAATTTAAAAATAACATTACCAGTAATAAGAATACTGACAACTAAGTGGGGTGTCAGTGTTCATACCTAGCTACTCAGGGGCCTGAGATCTGAGGATTGCAGTTAGAAGCCAGTCTGGGCCAGACCCTGAGACTCTTACCGCCAATGAACTACTCAGAAAAAGCTGGAAATGACACTGTGGCTCAAGGGGCAGAGCACTAGCCTTGAAGCAAAAAGAGGCTCAAGTACAGCAGCAGGCCCTGAGATTCGAGCCCAGGACTGGCAAAAAAAAATAAAATAAAGGGGCTGGGAAGGTAGCTCAGTGGTAGAGTGCTTGCCTTGCATGCATGAGGCCCTGGGTTCGATTCCTCAGCACCACATAATCAGAAAAAGCCAGAAGTGGTACTGTGGCTCAAGTGGTAGAGCTCTAGCCTTGAGCTGGAGAACTCAAGGACAGCGTCCAGGTGCAGAGTTCAGGCCCCATGACCAACCAAAAAAAAAAAAAAAAAAGATACTATATAGAGGGGTTGCAGTTACATGAGTAAGGTAATGAGTACATTTCCTATTGAGCATTGTTACCCCCTCCTTTGATTTCCCCCTATCATCGAATTATTTCTTTAGTTATTGTTATCTTTTTTTTTTTTGGTCTGTCGTGGGGCTTGAACTCTGGGCCTGGGTGCTGTCCCTCAGCAGTTCAGCTCAAGGCAAGTGCTATACCACTGTGCCATAGCTCCACTTCCAGTTTTCTGGTGGTTAATTGGAAATAAGAGTCTCATGGACTTTCCTGCCCAGGCTGGCTTTGAACCATGATCCTTAGATATCAGCCTTCTGAGTAGCTAGGATTACAGGCATGAGCCACCAGCATCTGGCTAGTTACTAATACCTTTTTTTAATACATAAAATAATTACTTGACTCCAAAGTCACAAGTGTCTAATGAACTGTCTTACAGAGCATTTTGCTTCTATCTGTATCCTTCCCTATTCCTCTTCTCCAGCTCCATCTTCCTTTTTCCTCCATTTGCTGTTTCCTACCTCTCACTGCATTAGCAGCTTTTTATTTAAGCAAGTATATAATTGTTGTGTGGGGAGTGTGGGTATTTTCAGTAAGATTCTATTGATAGAGTTTGGATTCAGTCTTTCATTATTAAAAATAATGCCACAGGCTGCCTCAACCTTCCTAGTGCTGGAATTACAGGTATGGGCAAGGCAACCAGGCCTGGAAATAGTCTTTTTTTAATTGTGAAAATACTGTACAGAGGGGTTACAATTACAAGGGCAAGATAATGAGTACATTTCTTATCAAGCATTGTAGCCTCCTCCTTTGTTTCCCCTTCCAATCCCTTCCCATCCCCCCTCCCAAAGTTGTAAAGTTCGTTTTTGACATAATGACTTGTACATCTCATTGTTGCAGTGGGTCCACCTGTATCCCTATTTAAACAATTTGTTTTTCCCCTTCCCCTCCACACATTATACCACATCAAATACAGTAAAAGCAGGGGTAATACTGTGGGGGAGGGACATACAAAGCAACAAAGAAATAATCTTATAAATGTGTTAGAAACAATCGCATGAAAGAAAAAAACAAGCAGAAAAGGTCAGATAAGTTGATGTTAGGGAAATGAACCCTAAGATATGTGTTCAAATGTATTTTTTCTTTCATGGAAATATTCTTAATTTATAGATTTATAGACAAAAATCTTAGAGTTAGTTGATCACTCAAAAATGTTTTCTTTTTTTCAAGTGAGACAGGGCCAGGTGAAAAAGTATATTTCAGGACAAGCAATAGGGATGATTTTTTTTTTTGTTCTTGTTGTATATCTTTTGGTGGCACTGGGGTTTGAGTTCAGATTCTTACATTTACTAGGCAGGGGCTCTACTGCTAAGTTATGCTTCCCGCAGAATGATGTTCTTCAGTAGGGAGAGAGTAGTTGAGTTTCAAATCCTTGAAATGTGATTGTCTGGAGGCCTGGAACTCTTCAAAAGCTTTTCCAAATATTCTTTAAGCAAAAACAGATTTGAGAATCATGGAAAAGATCTTCCTTCCTAATGCTTAACTTTTTTTTTTTTGGTAAGAAAACTTGGTGGAATTTTATTAAGTAAGCAAGCAGGCAAAAAGACAAGCAGACAACAAAAGACAGACAAATAAAAGGGCAGGAGCACACTCTAGTAGACTGTGGATGCTCTCAAAGGGAGATAGTGAAAGAAACACCCTGATGCTAAACTTTAAAAAAAATTAGATTTCTAGGGGGGCTGGTGGCTCGCGCCTGTAATTCTAGCTACTCAGGAGGCTGAGATCTAAGGATCACAGTTTGAAGCCAGCTTAGGCAAAGAAAGTCCAAGAGACTCTTATCTCCAGTAAACTACTCAGAAAAAGCCGGAAGTGACACTGTGGCAAAGCTCAGGGGCAGCATCCAGGCCCTGAGTTCAAGCCCCAGGACCCAGAGAGGAAAAAGATTTCTGGGAATGAACAAAACTACATAATGCATGTGTACTTCTTGAGTTTCATATATATCTAACTCTAATATCTATTTAAATAAGAGCTACTTATTTTTTCAATTCATAATCACTTGAGTTTATTCAGCCTGTTATGTAAGTAGGCACTTCTGAAATATTTCTTTACTTGATCTTAGACACAAAAATTGAGAAGCTATGCACTGCAAGTTGTTTCGTTGTTTTTTTCTTTTGGCCGTAGTGAGATTTCAATTCAGAGCCTTATGCTTGCTAGACAGGCTTTCTACCACTTGAGCTAAAATATTTGTTCAAAGCATGAATGTCCATATTATTATATCTCTGTTTCTTAGGAGTTCTGGTGTTACACAATTAGGTCTTCTGGAAAGCGTGTATAGAATGTTCCGGAAGGATGACTTGCTTTCAAACATCACTCGCCAAGCATTTGTAGATCGTTCTCTCCTTACCCTGTTGTGGCACTGCAATCTGGATGTTCTAAGAGAATTCTTTAGCAAAATTGTGGTGGATGCCATTGATGTGCTGAAGTCCAGGTTCACAAAGGTATTACATATTGTATTAAACTATTAATGAGAATGCTAGGGTCATTAGAGACTGCTGTGGACTCAGTCAAGGAGTATTCCTTCTGAGCTAACAGCTGCATTTCACTGCAGATGGATCTGTACCAGTTCAGTGCACCAGTTCACTGTGGCGGCTCTACCGTTTGCTAGCATGATGGCTTAGAATAACAAAAATGGATTTTCTCACAGTCCTGGGCCAGAAATTCAGAGTCAGTTTCACTGGGTCACTTGTGGTTTGGGGAGGTCACACTTCTTGTTGTGGAGGCTGTTGCGGAAAAGCCTTTACTTGTCTCTTACAGCCATGAGTCGTTTTGGCATTCTTGAGCTTGTGCTGATGTCACTTCAGCCTCTGCCTCTGTTGTCAAATTAGCTTTTCCTGTCTGTCTATTATCCCTTTATATTCGTTCCTAAGTTTGCATGTGGCTTCATTTAGGATCCATCCAAACCATCCACAATTGCCTCCATATCTCTGGGTCCTTAATTTAAATATGTTCCAGAGTGTTTCTTGTATTGCTGTGTGAGGAAGATAACATCACAGATTCCAGGAAGTAGGACATCTTTTGGATAGTTTTCATGGAGACATCATTGATTCCCACAGGTTACTTTTAGAGATAACATAAATTGTAGATGGTACATTTTTGATGTAAAGTTTGAAACAGTTGTGAAATTGAAGTTTTAGTATATTAGATTTCTTACTTGTTCCAAACATGCCTTCCGTAAGATTGTAAATATTGTATGTCCTAGGCTCACTGTTTGCACATTGTATGATATTGTGTGCTTTACCTCAGTGCTACATCTGTATTGGAAACCACAAACAACAGGGTATACTCTTACTGAAGTCATTTAGCATGTTTAGTAAGCTAATTTTCTAAGTAAGGGCATTAAATATTAAATTTTATATTTTGAATAAGATGTTTTTCATATTTGATAAGACCAAAGATAATTACTTGTTATTTTTTCTAAGCTAAGTGAATCTACGTTTGACACTCAAATCACCAAGAAGATGGGCTATTATAAGATAATAGATGTGATGTATTCTCGTCTTCCAAAAGATGATGTTCACTCTAAGGATTCTATAATTAATCAAGTTTTCCATGGCTCCTGTATTACAGAAGGAAATGAGCTTACAAAGACACTTATTAAGTAAGAATTTACTTATTTTGGATTCTGTTTGATTTGCTAATATTTTTGCTGCACATGTTTTTGTGCAAGTATATAGTACAAAAGAACATTCCACTTAGATGCTTATCTTTTATAGTTTTCCACAACATATAAGACTACAAACCATTTAGATTGGCCTTTGTGTGTTACTGGATAACGTGTTTTATGCCATACTCATGAATCAAATGAGTTTCAGTCTCTATTAGAGGAAAAAACAAAATCAAACCTTTGACTACTCTGTAGATATGTTCAATGCTAGTATGTTCAATGCTGTGGGTTCTGTCTTCACTAATAAAAAACAAAAAAGAAATCCTTTAAATTCTTTTGCTATTCTTCTTTCCCTCCCTACCCCCATTTTGTACCATTCCCTTGCAATAATGATATATAAAACTGCATCACATTTTTTTCTTTTTCTGTGTCAGTGTTGGGGCCTGAACTCAGGGCCTTATGCTTTTGCTTAGCTTGTTCCACTCAATACTATGGTATTACCATTTGAACCACAGTTCCACTTCTGGCTTTTGGTAGTTTATTGGAGATAAGAGTCTCACGGACTTTCCTGCCCAGGCTGGCTTTGAACTGCGATGCTCAGATCTCAGCTTCCTGATTACAGTGTGAGCCACTGGCGCCCATCTCCATCATTAGATTTTAAGTGATTTACAGTGAGAAGTGATTTTGTTTTTTATGACTATTATTTGAAGTTTAAACAGTTTTAAATATCTTAAGAGACATTGTATAAAACTCAAAGTATTAAATACTTTTTCTTAAATGCATTAGTCTTCAAATGAAGTTAATCCAAGTACGACAGACTATGCTGTCTCATTGTGTATCTCTCAACACACTTTCTACTCTCCCAGCCCAGGCCATACCTTACCTTCTTAGTGAAGAATGGATTTTACCATCCATCCACACTCACTTGCATACATAAGATTCAGGGGTCATTCTTGCTTCATCTATATTTCTCCAGACTCCATGAACAACACCCTGTTTCTCACCAGATCTCCCAAATTTTATCCCTTCAGTGTTGCTGAAATCAACACCCTTAATTCTATTTTCCTTCTGTGGCTTCATTTTACATGTGATGTTCTTTTTGAGCCATTGTAGGCATCTTTAAAGTTACTTTCCCTGGTCCTGGCTGATCTCTTCTTGCTGTGGTGACTCTACACTGCTGTAGAGTATTAGTCTGCTTGTTTCATTCCCCTACTTAAAATTCTCAGTGGCACCTCTTTAGCAGGGATGGATACTACTTTATGGAAAGAACCAGATAGTAAGTATTTCTGGGTTTGTGGGCCACGTATCTGTCTCAGTTATGATATTGTACCATAAAGAATGTGTAGATAATATGTCTACAATTGTGCATGGTTAGATTCTATAAAAATTATTTGAAAAAGTGGTTAACTTTGTGGTTTGGAACTCAGTCCCGCTGTATGAGGTCTATACAGAGCAGGCAAATGGCCAAGGACACACCTCTTCCTCTCACTGACTTGGTGGACACCTTCGATTCTCCATCCTCCCAGTGTACTGCCCAGTGCATCCATTCATTTAAGTGATATTGCAGTCTGCTCTATGTGCCTGCGTGCTAACTTACATTTCAAAACTCAGTCCAGCCAGGTGCTGGTGTCTCAGACCTGTAATCCTCGTTCCTCAGAAGTCTGAGATTTGAGGTTTATGGTTCAAAGTCAGCGCAGGCCAAGAAGTCTGTGAGACTCTTATCTCCAATTAACCACTAAAACCCTGAAAGTGAACATGTGACTCAAAGTAGTAGAGCACTAGCCTTGGGGAAAAAAAAAAGTGCAGGAACAATGCTCAGCCCTGACTTCAAGTACCAGGAACAGCACACACAAAAACAAAACCAAAAACAAAAGAACAAAACCAAAAAACTCAGCTCAAGCCAGACACAGTCTTGTCTCACCTATTCAGACGGGTGAGGTAGTGGGATCACAATCTCAGGACTGGGCAATATAGCAAGACTCTGACCTTTAAACAAGCAAAATTTCCCTCAAACTCTTATCAGCTAATTTTTCTTTATCTTTTTCTGTTTTTCTTTGTTTCTTTCTGTATGTGTATATGTGGGGATGTGGTGTGGTATGTGTGGCACTGAGGCTTGAACTCCAGGCCCGTGTGTTGCCCCTTAGCTCACTTATAATCCGAATCTACATTTCAGGTTATGCTATGATACATTTACGGAGAATATGGCAGGAGAGAGCCAGTTGCTGGAGAGGAGACGACTTTACCATTGTGCTGCATACAACTGTGCCATTTCTGTTATCTGCTGTGTCTTCAATGAATTGAAATTTTACCAAGGTTTTCTGTTTAGTGAAAAACCAGAAAAGGTAGACCTCACCAGAGGTGTTCCTTAGGGTTGTCATTGCAAGATTTTAAAAGTTAAATTTTATCAATTAACTTTATATCATAATTTCTACCTTCTGATAAAGTTATAAAAAGTGTAAAGCTTTAGCTTTATATAGATGCATTTTAAATCTGAAGTGATTTCAGTGATTTAATATGAAAAAATAATTCTGTAATATGATTAGTAATAAGGATCTCTGCCATTTTACACATTTTTATGTGATTATTTTTGATTTATAGAACTTGCTTATTTTTGAAAATCTGATAGACTTGAAGCGCTGTTACACATTTCCTATAGAAGTTGAGGTGAGTGAAATTGTTAGTTTTGTTTTTATGTTAAAAATGAACAATATTAATTATTAAAGTTTGCTTCTAATTACAAAAATGGGCAGTTTCATTGAGGTATCATCTTAAGCAACTCCAATGGAATTATCCAGAATTTGATTTGTCTTTTTTCTGAGTTGTGAAAGAAAGAATATCAACAAAAGTAGCTTTTTGGACATATTTCAGATGCCATTTTTTGAGTAAATTTCTCTAGCCAGAGAAATTGAGTTTCATACTGACAGGAATTTTGGCCTCATGGCCTTGCATGTATGATCTTACAGATTGATGGAGAAGCAATGGGAATACCTGGAGAGTTATCCAGCACATAGGACAAACAATGAGGTGTTAGCCTAGCTCACTTTGGGTGCTAGTCCTAGAATTTGATGAGAAAGTCATGGCACCTGCCTTTATGTCTCATTTGAAATAGGAAGATGGGTAGAACACCAACCTCACGTAGTATAGACTGTATATTCCCGTCCCAACTGTTGGCTTCTACTGTCTTAGTTCTTTCGTGTGTGTGAATTACTGCTGCTTGCTGTATGCCCTTTGGAAACAAGAGTAAGGTATTTGTTGAAAGCCCCTCTAAAGTCAAATAGTACCTATTTATGTAAGCATGCAGATACTCCCTGTATGTTATTTATATACTATAATGTGGATGTAACATATAGCAAGTAGAAGATTGCTTACATCATAACTATGTAATTAAAGAAACTAAGGCTCTAATGTCAAGTAAAAACTATTGGCAATTGAGGAATGGTGGTCTGTGACTGAGGAAGCTTAGCATACCCTATGTTAAGTAAGTTACACTAAGGCCAAGTACGTCTGTAGGGTACTTGGGAAAGGCTTTGTATGAGAAGGATAAGGACACACACGCACACACACACACACACACACACACACACACACACACACACACACACACTTTTTTAAATGAATGCTTTCATATACTTTTAAGTTTGGTAAAATGTTTATTTAAAATTACTAATTTTGGGATGTAGCTCAGAGGTAGAGCATTTGTCTAGCATGCATGAGACCTTGAGTTTTAATAATAATAATATAATAATAATAATAATAACTTGTGGATTTTTTTGCTAGATTGCTATAAGAACAAAAAGTGTGACTGAAATATTTTAAATGGTGCTATTGTTTTAATAGGTTCCCATGGAAAGAAAGAAAAAGTATTTTGAAATTAGGAAAGAAGCCAGGGAGGCGGCAAATGGAGGTTCAGGTAGGACATTTAAAAAATGGTTAGATTAGAAAGTTTCTAATAGTTGGTATTTATGTAAACAAGATTACATTTTAAACACTCCAAAACACTGAAATTGAGTTTTTAAAAATACATTATTTTTGGGCTGGGAAGGTGGCTCAGTGGTAGAGTGCTTGCCTTGCATGCATGAGGCCTTGGGTTTGATTCCTCAGCACCACATAAGCAGAAAAAGCTGGAAGTGGTGCTATGGCTCAAGTGGTAGAGCGCTAGCCTTGAGCTGAAGAGCTGAGGGACAGAGCCCAGGCCCAGAGTTCAGGCCCCATGACCGACAAAAAATTTAAAAAAAATTAAATATTATTTTCAAGTGACTCCTGGAATTAAAATTTGAAAGAAAAGTAATTAGCTAAACTTAACTAATAAGTTCTCTTGGGAGGGCTGAGGCAAGTCTGGTTTGTGTTTGTTTTTATATGGGCATGGAATATGTTAGTATTTTATCCGTACACATTCAGAAAGCAATATTAGAGATTGTAAGTCTTCCTGACATTCTTCTCTTTGACATGTTTTAGGTTACAAGAGTTTTAGCTGCCATAGGGCCTGTTGCCCTCCTTTCTGCACTCTTCACTTGGGCTCTGGTTGCAGTTATGCCTGGGGGTTCAGGGTTTGTTTCAGCCTTGGTCATTTGTGTTCTTGGCTCCTCTGACACTCTTAGCTCTGGACATCAGCTTCCCTCAGCACATTGAATTTGAAGCCTATGAAGGAAACTCTCCCTGGTCTCCCTGTTTAAAGTTAACCCTCTGTCCTTCCACATGCTCCTTGTTTTAATTTTTAATTAAAATTTTTTCTCCTTTATTTTTTTGTGTAAGTTTGTGTGTGTGTGTGTGTGTGGGTGTGGGTGTGCGCGCGCGTGTGCGCGTTAATACTGGGGCTTGAGCTCAAGTCTGAGCAATTTTCCACTCAATGCTGACATTCTACTACTTGAGTGATGCTCCATGTTTGGGTTTTTTTTTGGTGGTTAACTGGAAATAAGAATCTCTAGGACTTTTCTGCCCAAGCTAGCTTTGAAATGTAATTTGCAATTCTCAGATTTTAGCCTCCAGAGTTGCTGGATTATAGGAGTTAACCACTAGCCTGAAATGTTGCAGCCTTGCCTTAGTCTTTGAGTGCTGGGATTTCAGCCATGTCTTTCATGTCTGACTTTATCATCAAAATTTAAATTCAGAGTAATTCTATTAAAAATTGAAACCAGTTTAATTTCTTTGTAATTAAACTGAAAGAGTGTTTCATATTGACAAAAGACAGAGGTTTTATCCTCAGTTCCTTTTTGTTTGTTAATCTGTACAGTGGTTGGAGAGTCTCAGGGTTGAATAAAGCCTTAGCTAAAAGTATCCTTTAATTTTAATATCATTTGAGTGGAGAGAAATACTTTTCTTACTATTTTTGAACCCATGTGTTTTCTTCTTATTTTTCAGATGGTCCTCATTATATTTCTTCCTTGTCATATATGGAAGACAGTAGCCTGAGTGAGGAAATGAGTCAATTTGATTTCTCAACTGGAGTTCAGAGCTATTCCTACAGCTCCCAAGACCCTAAATCTACTATTGGTCATTTTCGGACACGAGTAATCACATTTCATCTATTAAAAGAGTATTGATAAAGTTTGTAAAGATCACAGCTATACTAGTGGATGCCAATTTTTTTTTTTATCAGTTGTCTTTGGAGAGTAGTTGTGGAGAGTAGTGTTAATCAGAAGATTTTAGCAAGAATTCTTACCATTTGATCTAGTACACATAGAAATCTGATTTCATCAGCACAGGAAGCAAATTTTGAGATCAGGGTCAAGGTAGGGGTATGCTCTGACTTGGAGTGCTTCCCCAGGGAGTGACTGGCCAGATGGAATCTGGAGAAAATATGTGCCTGGAGTATAAAGAAAACTGAGGCTCTGTTCACTCTTTAGTTACTAATTAAGAAAACATGTGAAAGCCAGGTGCTGGTGGCTAAAGCTTGTAATTCTAGCTACTCAGGAGGCTGAGATCTGAAGCCAATCTGGGCAGGAAAGTCCCAGAACTGTCACAAAAGTCCCAGGACTGTCACAAAAAAAAGAAGAAAACATGCCAAATGTATTGGATATTATTAGCAAATTATTAAGTATGTATTAATGTGATATTACTCCCAAATGAGCATCTCTGGTCAACTGACGTTTGAGATTTCACTGGATTCTTTCCTTCACAGGAACGACAAGACCCTAAGATCCAAGATGATGTTTTGGAGTTAGAAATGGATGAGCTCAATCAGCATGAATGTATGGCAAACATGACAGCACTGATTAAGCACATGCAGAGAAACCTGACACCCAGAAGAGAAGAGGTGTTTTTCCCACTAATCTTCTATTGTGTTTATATTATTTATTGACTTATTGAGAATTAACATTTTATATGGAAATGTAAATCACATTTCATATCAAACTTTTTTTAACTGTTTATAACTTACTTTTTTATTGCTTTTTTACCGTATTAAAATGTGAGGTCTTTTTTCTTTCTACATTTTAAAGTAATTCTGTCTATTTCAGGGTTCAGTGTCAAAAGATTTTCCTCCTTGGATGAAATTTATTCATGATAAACTAGGAAATTCAACAGTACCGTTAAATATCCGTCTCTTCTTAGCCAAGCTTGTTATTAATGCAGAAGAGGTAATTTCTTATTTCTTTAACAGTTCTTTGTATATTTGTACATCTGCTTAATTAAATAGCACAACAAAAGAAGCTATAAAAGGATAGAGCATGACATTACTGTTTTTTGTAAGCATATGTAATCAATTAATTAAGGCCCTGAGTTAATTTATTGCAAAAACATTATATTGAACTACTTCAGCTTTTTTTTGTAGTACTAGGATCTGAATTCAGAGCCTTAAACTTGCTTTAGAGTGCTTTACTTCTTGAACCATGACCCTGTATCTAATTTTTCAACATTCTCTGAGCAAACATGTTAATTAATTTGTACTGAGTTAAATGTAAATTTATACAAAGTACATGTGGCAACTTTCTTAAGGCTTTATAGTAGCAGAATAATGGGTGAAGATATTCCTATTGACTTTATAAAAATAGCCGACTTTCTTCTCTTATGTACGTGCTGAATTTAATAGTTTGTCTGTACATATTACAAGTATTAATGGAATACCTTCCACTAAATGAGAGTTAAGTATATTTTGGAAACAATCCTGAACTTAGCCTGGTTAAATGTAGAGTGGGTTGGACTTTGTGAGGAAGTTCTTCTGTAAGAAGAAGTGGGCCCCTGAAATCTAGATGCTAGTGGGTCATACCTGTAATCCTACTACTCAGGAGGCTAAGATCTGAAAATTGTGGTTCAAACCTAGCCTGGGCATACATACAAATCACAGAGAATTCCAACTAACCACCAAAAAAACTGAAAGTAAAGCTGTGGCTCAAGTGATGCCAACCTTGTGTGATATCTAAGCAAGAGCACAAGGCCCTGGGTTCAAGTTCTAATACCGTATTAGCACCCTTCACACCCCTGAGCTCTCTAAAAAAGAAATAGATCCTGAGAGAGCTAACATGTCTGCAGTGGTAGCATGGACCATTGGTACATGATCTGCATGCAAGGCATACGAGAAGTGGGTGAGTTGGGCCAGGCTATCTGAGATTTTCCATTACATCTGGCTCATTTGTTGAGTCATTAGAAAGTCCTGCTAGGTGCTTGGCGGGTTTTTGGCAAACTCAAAAAATTCATTCTGGGCCGGGCGCTGGTGGCTCACTCCTGTAATCCTAGCTACTCAGGAGGCTGAGATCTGAGGATCTCGGTTCAAAGCCAGCCCGGGCAGGAGAGACTGTGAGACTCCTATCTCCAATAAACCACCAGAAAACCGGAAGTGGCACTGTAGCTCAAGTGGTAGAGCACTTGCCTTGAGCTGAAGAGCTGAGGGACAGCGCCCAGGCCCAGAGTTCAAGCACTACAACCGACCCCCCCCCCCCAAAAAAAAAAAAATTCATTCTGGGACTGCAGCAGGGCCCACTTTCCTCAGAGTCTCATTGAACTTCCAGCTCTTCAGGTTTCTGTCATATGGTAACAGTGGCTTTAAGCATTGTCAGGAATTGTCATTAAGTTATTTGAGGAGTCCATGAAGAGGAAACTTAGTGCAAATGCATTCTGATTAAGCCAGGTAAATGTTTTCTTTTACTGTTTTATATATGTTTATTTAAGTTGATGGAAGATATGTTTCTGAATTAATAATTTGATTCTTCAGAATCTTCTATATTGAAATCTCTCTTAGGTCTTTCGCCCTTACGCAAAGCACTGGCTTAGCCCCTTGCTACAGCTGGTTGTTTCTGAAAACAATGGAGGAGAAGGAATTCACTACATGGTGGTTGAAATAGTAGCTACTATTCTCTCATGGACAGGCTTGGCTACTCCTACAGTAAGGAACAATATATCTCTGCATAGTCATATTATTACTCCTTTGCTGATACCAAGTGATTGGATGGTGGACTATTCACACTTTTTTTTTGTCAGTTGTGGAGCTTGTATTCAGGGCCTAGACACTACCCCTGAGCTTTTTCACTCAAGGCTAGTGCTCTTCCATTTTGAACCATAGCTTTACTTCTGGTGGTTAATTGGAGATAAGAGTTTCATGGACTGGCTTTGAGCCACAATCCTCAGATCTCAGCCTCTTGAGAAGCTAGGATTATAGGCATGAGCCACGCTTAATGATGGCTTTCCTGTCTTAGCAGTTTTTGCTAAGATTACTATGCTGCTCCTACACTACATCACCTCACTCTGCTTGTTTGTGTTTCATGCTTTTGATAATCCAGCTCTTTTTTTTTTTGTCAGATGTGCAGCTTGAACTTGGAACTTGGGTACTGTACCTGTTCTCTTTTTGCCCAGGACTAGCACTCTTCCACTTTGAGCCACGGTGCCACTTCTGGTTTTCTGGTGGAAGATAGAGTCTTATGGGGACTTTCCTGCCTGAGCTGGCTTTGAACTGTGATCTTCAGATCTCAGCCTCTTCAGTAGCTAGGATTATAGGCTTGAGCTACCAGTACCCTGCTCTGACTTGCCTTTATTACTAAGATATCACATGTTGGTTTCTTTTGGCTGCTGCTGCTTCTTGCCTGGAGCTTGGAAGCTAGATAACAGATGTATTAAAATTATGCTTATAATTAACTGTCAGTAGACCCTGAGTATGAGGTTCTGGGGACTTCTGCTGCCTCAATTTCCTAGATTACTTTTTGGCACTTGCTAGTTTATTTACACTGAGAATACTAATATCCATAATAGTAGAGATTGCTATGATAGTAATTGCCAGATGACTGCCTCCATGTTGTACTATCTATTATACACAGCCCTTAGGAAACATCATATACAAGCATTTCGCTTTCTCCTGTATTTATGTCTGGAGATACCTCTCTCATTGCAGAGTAAACCATATCTAGATTTCTTAGTATTAATTTGATAAAAAGGCAATAATTTGTAGTTAGATTAATGACATTAAAAATTGAATGTGGTTGGTTTTACTTGGGAGCCATTGGGAAGACTGATGTCAATATCAGGAGTTCAGCTAAGCTAAGCCTGATAAGGTGGAACTGACATCTACTTGTGGAGCAACAGAATCATAAAAGATAGTGACTGGGCTGCCTTCAATCTCCTCAGTTACATCACTATCATTGTGGTACATGAATCAAAACCTCTGGGACAGCAGAGGCTCATCAGGGGTCAGGCAGCTGAACTCTGTGGACGAGCTTCAAATAAGACTCCTGTAGTTTTATGGACTTAGAGACAGATGGGGGACAGGGAGAATGCAAAAGAGCTCAGAGCCAAAAAAGTACTGGGTAATAGTGAAAGCAAGTCTTCCTGCTTATCACTCCTGCCCCTTAAGGCAGGAGGTCTCATCAGAGGCATCTGATGAAAACCTCTGTCCTGGGCCTCAGAATAAAAGCACCTAGAAGTATTGGCTCTAGGTAGATAATAATATGAAGACTATGGCAACCAAGGCGTGAGCTCCCCATTGTACCCAAATCTTGTGTGTAGCAGGTTTTGGTTTTGGTTGTTCTTTTAAAGAATAGGACTTTTACAACCAGGCACAGGTGGCTCACACTTGTAATCCTAGCTCTTCAGGAGGCTGAGATCTGAGGATTGCAGTTCAAAGTGAGCCTGGTCAGCAAAGTCGTGAGACTCTTATCTCGAGTTGACCACCAGAAAACCAGAAGTGGCGCTCTGACTCAAAGTGGTAGAGCATTAGCCTTGAGCAAAAAAGCTCAGGGACACTGCTCCGGCCCTGAGTTCAAACCCCCACAACTGACCAAAAAAAAAAATTGACTTTTGGATTAAAACTTGTTTTCTACAATTGAATGCTGTATATTAATACGGAATTTTTCTGTTTTCAGGGGGTCCCTAAAAATGAAGTATTAGCAAATCGTTTGCTTCATTTCCTAATGAAACATGTCTTTTATCCAAAAAGAGCTGTGTTTAGACATAACCTTGAAATTATAAAAACTGTTGTTGAATGCTGGAAAGAGTGTCTCTCAATTCCTTACAGGTATTCATTTGCTAGTTTCTGCCATCTTGTTTAGAAGTTGATGATAAAATGCTGCAAATAGTGATGGTAATGATAGGTAATTATATGGAATGTGGAACATAATTTGAAATAGAGTCCACTTATAAGATATATTTTGTCACCCATAAAGTCACACCTTCCAGAATTTGCACCAGAAGCATCCAGAGATGCAGACAGTACCTCTGATGGTCCCTGCTTTGTTTTGGCTCCTGTCTGGCTTTGCCTCCATACCTTGTGCAATCTGCCCTACACTGCTTCATTCCCAAAGGGGCCTATAGGACTTTTTTGTTTGATTAGCACAGCCTAATGTAAGCTAAAACTTAACAAACAGGTTTTCATGTTGACTACTAGGACTTTGGGCATTTACATTTCTAGGATATAAGAAATCCAAAACTACTGATGTCACAAAACTAGAATAAACCACATGAACAAAGGGAGGATATAAGAATGTGTTTTAGAGGTGGGAAAAGACATGTTTCTTATACTTCATAGCTGGAAATTGGCTTTAGAAAATGCATTATATCCTTCTAATTTCATTTTATGACAATATGCTTTCGCACTTCTGCTTTTATTTCAGGCTAATATTTGAAAAGTTTTCCAGCCAGAACACTAATTCTAAAGACAATTCCATAGGGATTCAGTTATTAGGCATTGTAATAGCCAATAATTTGCCTCCCTATGATCCAAAGTGTGGCATAGAGAGTATTGAGTAAGTATCATATTTTTTATTTGATTTTTTTTAATTTTTAGGTTAAGTTATATCTGGATTGGATTTTCAAAGTAGAGCAAGTTTCAATTTTGATACATTTAAGGATCAGAGCTTGAGTTAAAAATATTTCTACCTAAAATTATGAAATTTGGTCAACAGACCAACTGGGAGTAGAAATATTTCTGCTGTGGAAAAAAAAGGATATAGATTTGAAAAAAATTAGTGTAATTTTTTTCATGTATGAGTTGATTGATAAGAGGAGTTAGATTAAAATTGACATCTTCAGCATTTACCCTTGAAAATACATGGACTTAGTGAGAAGCTTAATTCAAGGGTCTTGACTGTGAAGGTGATGCACCTCAATACTAACTGCTCTGTCCCTGGACTAGCTTTCTTCTACTGTTTCAGCCCTATTATGTCTCTCCTGAATGATGATTGTCACTTCTTTTGGTCAGGATGAGTGAGCTGTGCGAAGGGAAGGGCTTTAGTTAAGATAGTGTTAAACTATCACAACACTCACCTTACTATTTAGGACTTTTGAATTTGGTGTTTACACTATGGTTGTTCTGTGTACTTTAGCCCAGTACTCTTGACCTCTCCACTTGCTAGTGGGGGCTTCAGTTGCTCTGGTTAGTTCTTTGTATCTACCTCTTCAGACTTGTCATGTCAGCCCCTAGTGCTAGGTGGCATGTGACACCAGGGTTTAGGCAGCTATTGGCTCAGCACAGACATGCTCACTTTTAGACTTTTTTTTTTTTTTTTTGGGTCTGGTCGTGGGGCCTTGAACTCTGGGCCTGGGTGCTGTCCCTCAGCTCTTCAGCTCAAGGCTAGCACTCTACCACTTGAGCCACAGCGCCACTTCCGGCTTTTTCCTTTTTGCTTATGTGGTGCTGAGGAATTGAACCCAGGACTTCAGGCATGCAAGGCAAGCGCTCTACCACTGAGCCACCTTCCCAGCCCTAGACTTTTTTTGAGCTTTGGTTTCCACACCATAAACAACCTCACAGAGTAGTCTAAGGGCTAACAATTAATTTGTCTCTTTACATAAGGTATAAGCCTTCTTGTTCTCATAATTGTACTTTCCTTGTCTTTGCCATCGTAAGTGGCTTTTGACAGGGGTCAGTTCTGCATAGTTTTGGATAGTGGCTCTTTGTCTCCTGCAGTTTTCTGTGGCATCAGCCACAGTGACCAACGTGTTCCCCTTTGATTGAACGGTAGATTTGCATGGTTATAATATCAGAGCCCTTAAGTCCATATGAAAGCATGTTTTCATACAAGCAATTTGCATCATTGTTTTATATTCACATTTTCTTAATGGGTGCTATTATTATAAGAAAGAGATTATATTTTTGTGTCATAGATCAATGGATTATTTTATGCATATTAATTTTCTATATTTGTTGCAGATACTTTCAAGCTTTGGTTAATAATATGTCTTTTGTAAAATATAAAGAGGTATATGCAGCAGCAGCAGAAGTCCTAGGACTTGTTCTTCAATATATGTTTGAAAGAAAAAATGTGAGTGTGCTGAACAATTCTAAATGAGTGCTTCTTTTCCAGTTTTGTCTTTTAGTGACCCTTTACTTTATATGTATGTATTTTATACTATTTAAAACAAAGCAGGCATCTACACTGATTCATATCTCATTCTCTTTCCTCTGTATATCAAATATAATGCTTTTTTAATTTAAAGCTATCGTAAGACTTTACATACCTGGAATCATGGCAAAACATTTGAAAATTGGATATTTTATTTTATTATTTTTTATTTTTTGTTGGTCATGGGGCTTGAACTCAGGGCCTGGGTGCTGTCCTTGATATTTTTCTGCTCAAGGCTAGCACTCTACCACTTGAGCCACAGCACCACTTCCAGCTTTTTCTTTTTATGTGGCACTGAGGAATTGAACCCAGGGCTTCATGAATGCTAGGTAAGTACTCTACCACTAAGCCACATTCCCAACCCTGTGACTTTTTATTTTAAGAATTGGGATAAGAATTTTTTAACCAGATTTTTTTTTTAGAAGTTCTTTTAGGGAAAAGTATGCTGGTAGATATCTGTTGTGGTTCAGGTCAACTTATCCCGGTCAAGTCACCTTCCAGATGAATAAAGCTGTTAATAAGCAAGAACAGGATCGTGCAGGGAACCTTCCTCAGTCTCATGCGACCTACTCATTGTACATGATTTTGCAATGAGTGTTTCAATGTAACATACTTTGAGATCAGAGTATTCCACCGTTATGTGAATATTACTCGTTAAATAGCACATATAACTACATGGGCCCATGTGCACAGCAGCATGCTCTAACTTAACTAGTGTAGCCTATGGAGGCTTTCTGCATCACACAGCATCCTCTTGTGTTAACACCCTGCTGTGGAGGGTTGCTTTTTGTGTTAAGATGCCATGCATGGGTTGGATGAAGCTTAGTTGCAGAGCATAGCATGTGTGAGGCCCTAGGTTCTACCTCCAGTGCCAGGATAAAAAAAAAGTTGCTGTACAGTTTCCCAGGATCTTTATATTGCAGTTTTGCTGGAGTGGGGCAGAAAGCTTCTGCATTCAGGATACTCTCTTTGCTTCCTTCCCACCTTCTTTAGTTTCTTTTGCATTTTCCTAGCTGTTTTGGTCTTCTTATTCATTACTCTTCTATCCATCTCATCCAGCTTTATGGATTTAAAACTGCCTTTGTGTTAGTGATTCCCAAATTTGTGTCTAGCGTGTCTCTTAAGAGAAAGACAGGATGAGATGAGGCTGGTGGTAAGAGGCTTAGGAGAATCCAGTAATCCTGGGTATATACCAAGGGATGCAGAAGGGCAAACTTGGCTTGTATTTTCGCTGCTCTGATTACTGGTTTGTTTATATTTAAGTAAAATTAACTCAAGGAAATACCCTCCCCCACCTCCTTGGGAAGATCAAACTTCACTTTATTTTATTGTCTCTGTGTTGGGTTGGCTGGGGCTTGAACTCAGGGCCTAGGTGTTGTCCCTGAGGTTTTTGTACACAAGGCTAGTGCTCTACCATTTTTAGCCACAGCTCTATTTCTGGCTTTTTGGTAGTTAAATGGAGATAAGAGTCTCACAGACTTTCCTGCCCTTGCTGGCTTTGAACTAGGATCCTCAGATCAGCCTGAGTAGCTAGGATTATAGATGTGAGCCACTGGCATGGGGTGGAGGTGGGGGTGTAATTTCTAGCTTTTTTCCTGCTTAGTTGGAGATAAGAGATTCATGGACTTTCCTCCTCAGGCTACCTTTGGACTTTGTGATCTTCAGATCTCAGACTCTTGAGTAGCTAGGGTTACAAGCATAAACCACTGGCACCTGACTCATTTCAACTTAAGATAAACAATAAAGGCTTTTGTCTTACATAGTTTCTTTTTTCACAAACATTAAATTTGCGTAGTTAGTGTAGAAATTTGGTAAGTAAAACAAAACATGAGGAAGTAGAATATGTCTATGTTATCTCCACAAGCGTTGTCCATCTTTATTCCCAGCTCTGTGCACCAGGGTATGTGTGTGTGTGCCTGCTCCTTTGTCTTTATCCATACTCTTCCATAACTTGCTTTGTATACTTGCTAGACTTATTTCTTCATGTCATTAAACAGTTTAAATAAAAAGACATACACTAAGCAATGGCTCTACCATAAAAAGATATACTCTCAGCCCCCCCAAAAACATATACTATAAATCAATAATAAAATATTAGTTGAAATACTGTATGTTGGGTTCAAATCCACTGACATTTGTGGTTAATATCATCCCTTGACTTCCCTCTTTTTTTTTTCTTTCCTTATCTTCCTCTCTCTGTCTCTGTCTTTCTCTTTCTTTGGTGTAGGTGGTAAACCTTATTTTTAATACTTAACCCAACTTTCCACTTTATGTATTTCAAAAACCCCTGATTTTTTTAGGTACTAGCAGAGTCGATACATGAACTGGTTGTAAAACAATTGAAACAACATCAAAATACTATGGAAGACAAATTTATTGTGTGCTTGAACAAAGTAGTAAAGGGCTTCCCTCGCCTTGCTGACAGGTAGGCTCAGTCAGCTGGGTGGGTTGTGGTAGGAGATGTTGGTAAGGTGATCAGTGCCCAATCCTTCACCAGCCCCTGTCCTGCCCTTTAGGTTCTTGAATGCTGTGTTCTTTCTCTTGCCAAAATTTCATGGAATAATGAAGACACTTTGTCTAGAGGTAATACGTTGTCGTGCAGAGGAAATAACAGACCTGTACTTCCAGCTGAAGAGCAAGGACTTTTTTCAAGTCATGAGACATAGGTAAGTGAATACCAGCCCCACACACTAGGATCCCATACATTTTCTCATTCACATATCTCATTAAACTCATGAAGTACTTAGAAGTTTTCATGAAAGGCATATTTACATGATTTGATTCTAAGAAGAAAAGATGAAGACAGTACAGGAATGTAATGTGGGGCTATTCATGTCCTCCCCTGAGAGGCCACATCCTGGGTCTTGAACACCTTACCTAAAAATAAAGCTAGTGTCTCTGGCTCTTCAAATTTGTGTGTGGTTTTGAGCTCCATAACTGTTTTGTCAGGTACAAGCCTTTTGTTATGTACTAAAATTGTCCTTTTATTTTCAAAATTATGATGTATCATAAAAGTAAATTTCAAAGATAAAGCTGCTGGTTACTTATTACTCTTTTTAGTTTTTATCTATACAAATTATTGGTAAATGTATAATGTACTAGCAAACAATGTATGTCATTATATTCTGTTACTCTTCAGTAAATATCTACTGTGTATAGGCATTACACTGAATGCTTTGAGGAGTAAAAAAGCCAAAACAAAGGAAGTAGTCACTTGCTTCATTTAGAACCAAGACTATACTTTAACTTCATTGTCTGACATGATAGTTGCTAGAAATAACTTGATCCTCCCTTCCTTCTTTTTTTTTCTTTTTTGCTTAAGGGGTTATTAGTTGGTGGTAGAAATTTTATGAGATAGGGCTAGTTGGAATTTCCTGGAGTGTGCCCTTAAAGGTGTATGTTGTTGATTCCTCTTTCTCTCTTTTATATTTTATTCCTCCTTTTTTCTTTCTGAGACGGAGTTCAATGAAAACAAAAGTGTCTAACAGTGAAAGCAAAAATGGCTAACAGTATGGCTGAAGTAGTAGAGCACCTGCCTAGCAAGGATGAGCTCCTGAGTTCAAACTCCAGTACCACCAAAATAAAAGAAAAAAATATATATAGTATCAACAAAAAAAGAGAAAGTATAATGATGTTGTTAAGTTTGTACGTTTTCAAGAATCTCTTTTTTTATTATAGAGATGATGAAAGACAAAAAGTGTGTTTGGACATAATTTATAAGATAATGGCAAAATTAAAACCAGTAGAACTCCGAGAACTTCTGAACCCTGTCATGGAATTTGTCTCCCATCCTTCTCCAATGTGTAGGGAACAAATGTATAACATTGTCATGTGGATTTATGATAATTACAGGTAAGTTACTTAATACTTAAATTTTTAAATCATATTTTATTTAACTGAGTGAATATGACATCAGAATATATTACTTTTTGCAGGGATTGGGTGCATTTTAGTGATCTGGAACATAGTAGAACCTTATACCATATAATAATTGTTTAACAAATTTACTTTAATATATTGATTTCTATTGTTATTCTAAATCATTTCATGAATATTTGAAAATATTTAGCCATCAGTTGCATTAAGAGTATATGAGTGTTCTCTTAAACGGCTTATTTTTGTAGCTTAAGTTTTAAGATCTGGCAAGATTAAGGAGGAAATTCTGCCAAGATGTGTCATCCCTCACAACCTATGCCTAGAAAGAAAGAGTCTCAGAGGTCACATTATCCCTGGAAGTTAGCGTCCTCTGGGAAAAGCCAGACTTTTTTTCTTCAGACTACACCACAGAGATAGAAAAGACTTTTAATGTTTTGTCTTTTTTTTTTTTTTTTTAATTTTCTCAAACAGAGATCCAGAAAGTCAAATGGATGGTGACTCCCAGGAAATACTTAAATTGGCCAAAGATGTGTTGATTCAAGGATTGATTGATGAGAACCTTGGGCTTCAGTATGTGCTTCTCCTGGAATTATTGGACCGACATACTACATTTTAGGGACTTTGCTCTCGAGAGCAGCTTAGACTAATTCTATATGTTATGAGCATTTTCTCTGCTTCCTACATTCCCTCTGTGCTGGTGCAGTGTGGGTTATAATTTTTCAGTATCTGCTTTGCACTTAACATCAACAGTCAGCGTCATACTCTACATATTAATATTGAGAGGCATGTTGGAAACCTTAAAAAATAAGCAGTCATATTATGAGTTCATGTTCATATGGTAATCTGAGTGATGAGTGTTGTGATCTAATGTCTACCCTAACTCATTATATGCATGTCTGATCAAGGACCGGTTATGTAAGAAAGGCTCTAAGATTTTTATACAATTTGATATATCACTTTTTTTCCATTGGCAACAATTTTAAATTCATTAAGCTTTCAGAAGTTACATCTAGATTTTATAAACATTATTAAATTATTAAGTATAATAAAATAGTATTTAATTACTCTTTGGCTATGAAATTTTTTGTTGCTGTTGTCTGTGCTGGAGCTCAAACCCAGAGCCTTATATGTGCTACATAGCACTCTACCACTGAGCTACACTTTGGCTCTGAGATTTCTTTTATCTTTTGTGTGTGTGTGTGTGTGTGTGTGTGTGTGTGTGTGTGTGTGTGTGTGTGTGTGTGTGTGTGTGTGTGTGTGTGTGTGTGTGTGTGTGTGTGTTGGCACTGGAACTTGAGTACCTCATACTCTCACTTGGCTTTTTTTCTCAAATTGGAGCACTAGCAGTTGAACCACATCTATACTTCCAGCGTTTTTTTTTTTTTAACTGGTTAATTGAAGATAAGAGTCTTACCAACTTTACTTCCTGGGCTAGACTCAAACCATGCCTCTCAGATCTCAACCTAAACAGCTAGAATAAATAGTGTGAGCCACCAGTGACTGGTCCTGAAACTCCTTAAAATGAATTTTCAGGGGACTGGGAAGGTGGCTCAGTGACAGAGTGCTTGCCCTGCATGCATGAGGCCCTGGGTTCGATTCCTCAGTACCATATAAGCAGAAAAAGCCAGAAGTGGTGCTATGGCTCAAGTGGTAGAGTGCTAGCTTTGAGCTGAAGAGCTGAGGGACAGCACCCAGGCCCAGAGTTAAGGCCCCATGATCAACCAAAAAAAAAAAAGTTTTCAGTTTCAACATTGTTAACATTAATATAGTTACTATTGAAAGCTTCCCAGGGAGTAGAGACAGGAGCATAAAATCTCTCAATTCTTCACCTCATAATAATTACATTACAGTTTTAGGGATATACCTACTTCAGTGTGTTTTTACTTTTTGTAATTCAGATCATACTCTTTACATAGCTTTGGGTGTAGTTTTCCTGTCCATGACTGGAAAGCTATGTCCTTCCCACATAACACTGTATGCAGTTGTTTCCTGCATTTGGCAGTCTCTTGAGTATGTGCTCTTCTCTCTGTTTTTCAGATTAATTATTCGGAATTTCTGGAGCCATGAAACCAGATTACCATCAAATACCTTGGACCGATTATTGGCACTAAATTCTTTATATTCTCCTAAGATTGAAGTTCACTTTTTAAGTTTAGCAACAAATTTTCTTCTTGAAATGACCAGGATGAGCCCTGATTATCTGAACCCCATATTTGAGCATCCTCTGTCAGAGTGCGAATTTCAGGTGAAATGCTTGTGTGTTGATCATGTAGTGAATGCCTCTAGCAGTGTCAAACCTGATTTCTTGTTTTTTTTGAAAGGACACAGATTTCTTTCTAAGGCACTAACAGGCTTCTGGCCTGGAACTCACTATGCAGTCCTAAGCTGGCCTCAAACTTGCCTTTCTCCTGCCTCTGTCTCCCTAATTCTGGGATTACAATGAGCACCACTGCATTTGCTCTATTCTTGGGTTTTATTTTATTTTTGTCAGTACTTAGACTTGAACTCAGGGCCTCTTGCTTTCACTTGGCTTTTTTGCTCAAGTCTGATGCTCTTATCACTAGAGCCACCTCTACCACTGGCATTTTGGAGGTAAGATTCTCATGGACTTTCTGCCTGGGCTGGCTTCAAACTGAGATCCTCAGATTTCAGCCTCCTGAGTAGCTAGGATTACAGACATGAGGCACTAGCACTTGGTTTATTCTTGGATTTTAAATAAAAACATCTCAGTATTGCTGTACAAAGAAACTTTCTTCCTGCAGGAGTGTACCATTGATCCTGACTGGCGCTTCCGAAGTACTGTTCTCACTCCGATGTTTATTGAGACCCAGGCTTCTCTGAGTACCCCCCAGACCCAAACCCAGGAAGGCTTCCTCCAAACTCGAGGGCCAAAGACTGGACAAGTACGAGCCACCCAACAGCAATATGATTTTACTCCTACACAAACTACAGGTAAAAACCACCCCTATGCTTTGACCTATGGAAGCAGCATCTATTGCATGAACACTCTCCTTTGTGAGATTTTTTTTTTTTTTTTTTTTGGTCCGGTCGTGGGGCCTGAACTCTGGACCTGGGCGCTGTCCCTCAGCTCTTGAGCCACAGCTCCACTTCCGGCTTTTTTCTTATGTGGTGCTGAGGAATCGAACCCAGGGCCTCAGCATGCAAGGCAAGTGCTCTACCACTGAGCCACCTTCCCAGCCCTCCTTTGTGAGATATTAAATGATAATAATACAATTATAAGAACCACAAGGAAGAAAAGGCAAAGGACAAAAGGACAGAGGGTTCCAGAACAGTCAAGACATAGAATAATGGTTGTTAGGAGGTAGGGGAAGGAAAACTGGAGAGCTATAGTCTTTTAATAGGTACAGAGCTTCAGTTTGGCAAGGAGAATAGTTTTGTAGGTGGATGGTAGTAATGTAAATGGACTTAGTGGCACATTTAAATGATTGAAATAGTAAATGTTACTGTATATTTTAATCACTTTTTTGTGGCACTTACATATGAACTCGGGTATCACATTTGCTCAGCTTGCTTGCTTGGCTTGCACTCTACCTCTTGAACCACACCTCCAGCTGTGCTTTCTTCTGGTTAATTGGAGATAGAGTCTCTTGGACTTTTCTGGCTTCAGATTGTCTCCTGAGTAGCTAGGATTTGTAGGCATGAACCATTGGTATCTAGTTTATACATACATACATATATAAATACATACACACATGTGTATATATATATATATTTAAGGGAATAAAGGTTATTTATGATTAGAAAAATTAGTTTCAGTATGTATTTATTTTTGTCTAGAAAACTATATAGTCCATAAAATTTAAAACATATCAGAAGCAAAGAAAAGCTAAATCAAATTTATTTAATAATATTAATAGTTTCTTAAATTTTTTTTCTTAAATGTATTAGCTCTTTCTTTTGATCAGAAAAGTATAAGTTATAAAGACAGTAAAATATTTTAATCATTTTACATAAACGCTTAAGCATTTTTCCTTTGTTTCACAGTCTGTTGTTTCTGAATGAGGACTAATTTGAATAATCACAATGAAATTCTATGGCACTAATATTAGGAGTGATCCAACATTAGTAACTTCTTGTAGATGCAAGATACAAAGGGTCATTCCTGTGAAGATAATAGCAGGCAGAAGAAACAGATAATAATTTTTACTTTGCAAATGGGGGCACTGGGACTAAGGTGCCTAATCTGTTCTGGATTGTACACTGGAAAACTGACCATCTCAGTCCAGAGTTACAAGTTGTCATGGAGATCTGCCACCGCAGGTGTGCCCTAGCAGGTGTCCCTGCTCTGTGTGGATTGTGTTGGATGATGCTAAGCATCCTCACTGCTCTGGTCATATGTGTTACAGATGGAAGAAGTTCATTTAATTGGCTTACTGGAAGCAGCATTGACCCACTGGCAGATTACACAGTGTCCTTGTCGTCTGATTCCTCGTCTTCCTCCTTGCTGTTTACCCACAAGAGGAGTGAAAAGTCACAGAGAGTATCTTGGAAGCCAGTAGGACCTGATTTTGGGGAAAAAAAGCTGAACCTTCCTGGAGATGAGGTGGATAACAAAGCAAATGGCGGTAAGATTGTTAAAATGTGTTTAAAATTACTTACCCTCTTAAATTACTGCAAAGGCTTAGCTCAAGGAAGTATTTCTGACTGTGTTCACATTTCCTTGTAACTTGTAATTAAGCCCATTAAAATTCAATTCAGTAAGTGTTGTCTGGACATTAGCATATTGAAAGCATTGTTTTTTAGGTATTGCAGAAAAGTTGAGTTAACTGAATTGAAGTTATTTAATGACTTTCTTCAACATTAGCCTTACCCATCAGTCACATTGGTGATCATCACATAAGGTATACTTAGTAAACCAAGTCCACACAGTGAGTAGGTTTATATCTAGGATGAGAATGGAGAGAAAATGGATAGAGGAGGGGTCTTTCAGAGGAGGGAGCCTGACATGCAGGAAGGGATGAAAATGGAAAGGTAGTAAGGTGTTTGTATAGTAGGAGAGACTCAGAGAACTTCAGTGAAGAATGTTTATGGAGAGCTATTTGTATAAAGGCCCTATGGGTTTTAAGTAGGGTAGGTGGATAGATGCTCTGGGACCCATAGGAAGTTATGGTTAAGGGTGCTGGGAGGTAAGGTCTACATCAGGAAGCAGCCCCCTGATACACTGAGTAGAGGCAGGCATGAGGACTCTGGCCCTTTTAGAGAGGTATGTGAGACCAGCAAATGGAGTGAAGAATATTAAGGGCCAGAGGCACCATTATATGAAGGTTTGGTGGCATGAAAGTGGATGGGCATCCCTGTGTCAGAGCCAGTGGGATTCCAAGGGAACAGAGTAGGAAGTCTGATAGGCTCCAGACCTAACACCAAGAGGACAAGGAGGATGTTAGCTTTCTATAAGACTTGTAGCTCTGAGAGGGTGTGAAAGCCCACAGGGAGAAAATATGCAGCACAAAGGTCCTAGTATGGGGAAAAGCATCATGTATATTTCAGTTTGTAGAAATAAGATTACTGGAGTAACTAAGACTAGGAACTAAATTTATATAACTGTGATGCACACATAAGCACACTTTATCTATTCCTTTTCATTATTTTCAGTTACCAATCTGTTACCTTTATCTTTAGAGAGAGGGGAAAGAGTAGCCATTTTCTTGCTGCATACTCTTGAGTTTGAAGGTGTGCCAGTCTCTCTTCCTTCCTGCTCAGCTGCATCTCACAAATCCTCCATTTACTTTCTTCTTCTCCCATTAGTCCTTCAAGCTGCTGGTCAAGAAGAGTGTATATCCCTTGGTCTTTCCCAGAAGCTTAAACTATCAAGTTTAAAATGAAACTCTAAAGTGACTATTGCCTTCCATCACCTCTGTGGCTTATTGCCTCAGACCTATAGGCACACTCACCTTTGTGTGAATTAGGCCTTTACAGTAAGCTCAGAAGAATTGGGGAAGTATGTAATCCAGTTAATTTGTGCTGACTGGTAGATGGACTCTGGGTTCTTTGGTTTCTTTACTGAATGAAGATGAAGTTTAGAATTAAGTGAAAATTGCTGGGGATGGCAGCAGTTTCCATAACTCATATTACTCTCTAGTACTTCCCAGTCTGCATTTTTAAAGTAAAAAAATATCATGGATGGTATGGGAGGAATTCAAAGACTGTATAGAAGTTAAGGTAAGAGGTAAAACCTAATTTAGAACCATTTTTCATAGCAGTTAATGTGGATTTTGGGAAAACTCAGTCATAGAACTAAGTAGCTAAATTTAATGCCAATAACTGTTTGTTTTCATTTGATTAGTGTATTTGAGTCTGCCCATATACCTTTATAGATAGAAAATATTTCACATACCATTTTTGGTTATGTATACTTCCTTGCCTAAATGAAAACATCTGACATTTCTTAAAATATGAATTAATAGGGGCTGAGAAGTTGGCTCAGTGGTAGAGCGCTTGCCTTGCATGCCTGAGGCCCTGGGTTCGATTCCTCAGCACCACATAAGAAAAAGAAAAAAGCCGGAAGTGGCACTGTGGCTCAGGTGATAGAGTGCTAGCCTTGAGCTGAAGAGCTGAGGGACAGTGCTCAGGCCCAGAGTTCAGGCCCCACAACCGGACCAAAAAAAAAAAAAAATGAATTAATATCTCTTGTATACTATTGATTATCATTGAAAGGAAGTATAGTTTAAAAACTAGAAGTTGTAGTTCCATTTTATTGTTAGATCCTCAGCCTTTTCAGTTTTCTCTGTAGTCCTTGCTGTGTCTCCATTTTTTCTAATGCTTAGCTAGGATTCACTGAGATAGTTACATGTCTTCTGTTCTTTTATTTGTGTGTGTGAGTCATGGGGCTTGAACTCTGGGCCTGGGTATTGTACCTCAGCTCAAGGCTAGTGGAGCCATAGCACCACTTCCAGTTTTCTGGTGGTTTATTGGAGATAAGAGTCTCACAGACTTTCCTGCCTCCTGGTTTTGCACCGTGATCCTCAGATCTCAGCTAGGATTATAGGCATGAGCCACCAGCAACTAGATAGTTCTCCTGTTCTTTAACTTCCAGATTTTGTCAACTGTCTCCATTGCTGTTTCTTAACGAAAATACTAATAAAAAATTAAAACATAAAGATAAACATACACTCTTACTTCAGTGGACCCTGGAAAGGAGTTGAGGTTACCTGATACTGAATTGATCACCAGAAACCAAATCTACTTTATGTTCTGTAGGTACAGACAGCCGGGCAGAAATACTGAGATTACGCAGACGATTTTTAAAGGACCGAGAAAAACTTAGTATGATTTATGCCAGGAAAGGCCTTGACGAACAAAAACGAGAGAAGGTTTGTATTTTTTTCATGAATTTAATTTCAGAAATACCTATTTTATGTCACAGTAACTATATTAAGGAAACAGACTCCCCCTGAGATGTTAATTCCACTATGACTCTGTAAACTAAAAACCATAGAAGCAAAAAACAAAAATTAAAAAATCCCAAAACCATAGAAGTAGCACTATGTGAGTTAAAATTCATTATGAACCAAAGTCACCTCTACTATCCCTTTAGTACCTGATGAGAGTCTTTATCCTCCTGAATCTGTTGTCTTATCTTTATGGGACTGTAAGGACCTAGGCTCTGCCTCTTCTTTCTGTGGCTGCAACAGCTCAGCTTTGCCCTTCTCTGTACAAATGGATTTTCTCCATCAGCCACCTTGCTTCTTTGATTTTCTATCTTATAGCTGCTGTCAGGGGATCAGCCCAGATCTACCTGAAGGGGAGAGATTCTTAATATCTACTCTTGGTCGGGGCCCATAGTTGTAGTGGGAAGGGGACCTGGGGAAGATGATGATACAGACAAAGGGCCAGATAGAGTGACTAAATAGTCTAGAAACCTAAATTTGTTTAGCTATTTTTGACTTTTCTTACAAAGCAGTAATTATGAACAAATTTCTAAGAAAGGATAGATTATAAATAACCTCATCATTGTTTTAATTCATTGAAAATCCTTAGCTCATTAACTTTCAACCTTTGAGTACAAAATGAGAGAAAATGTTTTCTTTTTTTTTTAAATAAGTTTTTTATTGTGAAAATACTGTACAGAGGGGTTACAATCACATGAGCAAGCTAATGAGTACATTTCTTATCAAGCTTTGTTGCCTCCTCCTTTGTTTTTCTGCTATCATCCCTTTTCTCCCACCTCCACAACCACAGAGAAAATGCATTTTCTTTTGCATCTTTTTGTCTCTGTAACTATAATTGTTCTTTAAACATAAAGGTCCCAAATCACAGTATGCTCAGAAGCCTCCATTGCTTCCTCAGATTTTTCTGAGATTTCTAGCTGCTGACAAACTGTTGCTATTTTCTTCAGGCAGGGCTAGTTAGATTTTTTTTTTTTTTTTTTTTTTTTGGTCCGGTTGTGGGGCCTGAACTCTGGGCCTGAGCACTGTCCCTCAGCTCTTCAGCTCAAGGCTAGTGCCCTACCACTTAAGCCACAGCGCCACTTCCGGCTTTTTTCTTTTTGCTTATGTGGTGCTGAGGAATTGAACCCAGGGCCTCAGGCATGCAAGGCAAGCGCTCTACCACTGAGCCAACTTCCCAGCCCCTAGTTAGATTTTTTTTTTTACAGAAGAATTGCTGGATAAAGCTGCAGGACATGGTAGCACATACCTATAATGCCAGTACTTGGGAGGCTGAGGCCATGGGATTGTGAGCTGTAGGCCAGCTAGGATAGGCCAGTGAGATCCTGTCTCAAAAGAGTCCCCAGAAGATATTATGGCCACACATGCCATCTCACACCGGGTTCATATATGAAGCTGCTGATTAGTAATTTGGAGTGCCATAGAGGTAATCAGACATCAGAATGTCATGTGTTTTTTTTTTGTTGTTTTTTTTTTGGGTCTGGTCGTGGGGCCTGAACTCTGGGCCTGGGCGCTGTCCCTCAGCTCTTCAGCTCAAGGCTAGCACTCTACCACTTGAGCCACAGCGCCACTTCCGGCTTTTTTCTTTTTTGCTTATGTGGTGCTGAGGAATTGAACCCAGGGCCTCAGGCATGCAAGGCAAGCGCTCTACCACTGAGCCATCTTCCCAGCCCCAGAATGTCATGTGTTTATAGTAATGTATTCATTGAAAAAAATATGCCTGGAACATTTTCTTGACTGCAAGGTGGTATTAGGCTAGGTGCTAGCAGTGTAGTGTTAAGCAGTGCCTTCATGGAGTGCAGCTTGTGGCAGACAGACAAGTTGAAGTTGTAGCAGTGGCAGTGTTAGAAGTAAGCCACATGATGAGTGTATCTAGAGAAGACCTGTGTTAGGAAAGATAGTAGAAGAAAGCCTCAATGGCAAGATAATACTGAAAAGGGATGCAGCTGATAAGGGGAAACAGCTGGACAGATTTCAGCAGGGATGGGCAAGGATAAGAAGAGTTGGAGGCATGCTCCTGGATTGGAAAGATTAACATCGTGAAAATGGCAATACTCCCCAAGGCTATCTACAAATTCAACGCAATACCTATCAAAATTCCACCCTCATTCTTCAAGGAAATAGAAGAGGCAATCCAAAAATTCATATGGAACAATAAAAGACCCCGAATAGCAAAAACGCTCCTCAACGGAAAGAACACTGCTGGAGGAATATCAGTACCAAATTTCAAACTCTACTATAAAGCCATAGTAATCAAAACAGCTTGGTATTGGCATAAGAACAGACCTCAGGACCAATGGAATAGAATTGAAAACCCAGAAATGAACCTACAGACCTATAGCCATCTAATCTTCGATAAGGGAGCTAAAACAATAGAATGGAAGACAGACAGCCTCTTCAGTAAATGGTGCTGGCAAAACTGGTTAACTACATGTAGAAAACTAAAGCTAGATCCTTATATATCACCCTGCACCAGAATCAACTCCAAATGGATCAAAGACCTTGAACTCAAAGCAGACACTCTGAAAACATTACAGGATGGAATAGGAGAAACCCTGGGTCTCCTTGGCACAGGCCGAAATTTTCTGAATAAAGACCCGGAAACACAACAAATCAAAGAAAGGCTGGACAAATGGGATTGTATAAGGTTGCAGAGCTTCTGCAGGGCAAATGACATAGCTAGCAAGATCAATAGAAAGCCCACGGACTGGGAGAAGATCTTTACTAGCCATACAACGGACAAGGGTCTCATATCTAAAATATACTTGGAACTCAAAAAATTAAGCCACCCAACAACAAATCCTCAAAGAAACAACTGCCCAATAAGTAAGTGGGCGAAAGACTTAAAGAGAAGCTTCTCTGAAGAAGAAAGAAGGATGGCCAATAGACACATGAAGAAATGTTCAACATCCCTAGCCATAAAAGAAATGCAAATCAAAACAACATTGAGATATCACCTCACTCCAGTTAGAACAGCAAAAATCAAGAACTCTAACAACAACAGATGCTGGAGGGGATGTGGACAGAAAGGAACCTTACTTCATTGTTGGTGGGAATGTAAACTTGTTCAACCACTTTGGAAAGCAGTATGGAGGTTCCTCAAAAGACTCCACATAGAGCTCCCCAATGACCCAGCAATCCCACTTTTGGGCATTTACCCAAATGATCACAAACAAGGCCACACTAAAGCTACCAGCACAACTATGTTTATTGCAGCATTATTTACCATAGCTAAGACATGGAACCAACCCAGATGCCCCTCAGTAGATGAATGGATCAAGAAGATGTGGTATATATACACAATGGAATTCTATGCCTCCATCAGAAAGAATGAAATTTCCCCATTTGTTAGGAAATGGAAAGGCTTGGAAAAAATTATATTAAGTGAAGTAAGCCAGGCCCAAAGAAACATAGGTCCCATGGTTTCCCTTATTTGCAATATCTAGTATAGGTATGAGTCAAGCGGAAAAAGTCAAATAATGTGATGTTAGGAAAACGAAACCTCAAATATGTATTTTAATGTTTTTGTTTCTTTCACGCATGTGTTTATAACGCATTTATAATATTATCTCTTTGTTGCTTTGTATGTCCCTCCCCCACAGTGTAACCCCCGCTTTCACTATATTTGATGTCAGTATAACATGTGGAGGAGATGGGGACAAACAAGTCGTTTAAGGATTCAGGTGGACCTGTTGCAACAATGAGAAGTACAAAATGTCATGTCAAAACCAGCTTTACAATGTGGGGGGGGGGGGGAGGGGTGGTATGATTGGGTGGGAGGGAGGGGGGAGGCTGGGAAGGGAGGTGAAGGGTAAACAAAGGAGGAGGCTGCAATGCTTGGTAAGAAATGTATGCATTATCCTGCCCATGTAATTGTAACCCCTCTGTACAGTATGTTCTCAAATAAAATAAAATTAAATTAAAAAAAAAAAAAAAAAAAAAAAAAAGAAAATAATGGGTTGGAGACAATTCAAAAAAAAAAAAAAAAAAAAAAGAAGAGTTGGAGGTTTGCCATTGCTGAAGGCTTGAGTATGGAGCTAAGAGTTACTTTGGGCCTTGAGCCAAAGTTTACTCATAGAGGGGTTAAAAAGGAAACACAGCCTTTGATTTATACTTTTACAGCAGTTTCAAATACAATTGTCTTATTTTGTGAAGCTTCTGATTACTTTGTAATGAATATTTTTACTATTTTGGTGCTCATCTGCCACAGTGACTATTCTAATGTGGATAAAAGTATCACTTCACTGTTATGTTATGGATCCTTTTTAAAATTTTTATCATCATATACTAGTTATACAAGGATTTCTTTTTTTTTTTTTTTTGGGTCCGGTTGTGGGGCCTGAACTCTGGGTCTGGGCACTGTCCCTCAGCTCTATAGCTCAAGGCTAGCGCTCTACCACTTGAGCCTTAGTGCCACTTCCAGCTTTTTTCTTTTTGCTTATGTCGTGCTGAGGAATTGAACCCAGGGCCTCATGCATGAAAGGCAAGCGCTCTACCACTGAGCCACCTTCCCAGCCCCTCATACAAGGATTTCTGCACATGTATATTCCGATCAAACTTATCCCTTTATCATTCTTCTTTTACCTCCCTCTCCCTTCTTAAGACAGTTTCAACAAATGTTTTGTTGTCGTATTTTCACATACGTAAACTATCTATTTTGACAATATTCATCCTTGTTCACTCTATCAGCCCTCTTCTCTCCTTCCAGTACCTCCCCTGCCACATCCAAGCCTGTTTTACTTTCTGGTCATTGATTTATTTTTTTTCTAGGAGATGAAGAGTGAGTTAAAAATTAAGCAGGACGCCCATGTCATCCTGTACAGAAGCTACCGTCATGGAGACCTTCCTGACATCCAGATCCAGCACAGCAGCCTGATTACCCCCTTGCAGGCTGTGGCCCAGGTCTGCCCTAACTACATGTGTATTTTCTTGACAAATTATTATTTTATTTTGTGCCATGCCTGGGCTTGAACTCAAGGCTAGGGCTCCTTTCCTGAGCTTTTGTGCCCAAGATCAGTGCTCTACTACTTGAGATACTTGGGTAGTTAATTGGAGATAGGAGACTCATGAACTTTCCTGCCTGGGCTGGCTTTGAACTGTGATTCTTGGATCTCATCTTCCTTAGTTGCTTGGATTATAGGCATGAGCCACCAGTGCTCCGCTTTTCTTGACAAATTAGCTCTGCTTGTAGCTCCAGGGGTTTACTGTTTTGTAAGGGAAGATGTTCAATGTTACCCTAAGTGGTGATTTTTTCCGAAGTAGCAGAATTGGTTTAAGGACTGTTTCAAATCTCAGCTGTGCAGTTTCCTAGTTCTATGCTGCCTTTTCACATGAGAAGACTGGCTTAGAGTTATCTAGAACTAGGCACTGAAACTAGGTGTTCGTGTCAGAGTAGCCGTCTCTAGAGATGGCTCCATCTCTAAAATCAAAGTAAGATCTGTTATTTTTTATCCAATAATGTCAAAATGATATAATGTGTAAAAATAATCACTAAACACTGCAGTAAGCCACCTAAGTATTTATATAAGCTGCAATAACAGTTTATCAATGAGGTAGCTATTCCTATATTTTTATTTCTTTCAGTAATTTGCTGAAAATTGGTAATTGAGATAATTGAGGTGCCAGAATAAAGTATTGAGAGGGAACTCAAGTTTCTAGCCGAGTACGATCTTACCCCCTCAAAGCCCTGACTTTCATTGAAATAATTTTAATAAAGAGTACTATATGTGCAGAATTATATGTACTGACATATAATGTCTTAAGCCAAATGAAGTGGCACAAGCTTGTGTCCCAGCTACTTGAATGCAGAGGTATGAGGATTGCTGCTCAGATTTAGCCTGGACAAGTTAATACAAGACAATGAATTAAAAGCAGGAAGGACGGGGGACATGGCTCAAGCAGTAGAGAATGCACTGATAGGCCTGAGTTCAGTCTCTTGTACTGCAAAAATAAATAAAATAAAATAAAGGTCTTTTATTATACTGAAGTATCCATTCTAATCTTGGTTATAGTTATAGATTGTTTATATTTTTTAGACTTTTACTGAAATAATTATAGGTTGACAGGAATTTGTTGGACATAAGGAAGAAAAAAATGGTATATGGCACAAGGACCTTTCATCCAGCTTCCTTCAGTGCAGATCCCTTATGTAGCTTATATATTAAGACTTAGTTCAAGCTGGATACTGTAGTTTTGAGTTTATTCAGTGTAGTAATTTCCCATGTATTCCTCTGTGTACACACGTGTGCTTTATCCCATGCATATTCATACAGTTTGCCATAGTTCAGCCCTTTGTTTTCATGAACTGCATTCTTACACTAGATCCTCCCAATAATCTTGTGACATTGAGGCCATGATTATGGGCATGAACTGCCACACCTGACTTCAGATTCAGCTTTTATCAAAGTTGTTTTTAGGTTTGTTTTGTTTTGCTTATATATATATATATATATTTTATTGTAAAAATACTATACAGAGGGGTTAGTTACAGTTACATGAGTAAGGTAATTACATTTCCTTTAGAGCCTTGTTACCTCCTCCTTTGTTTTCTCCACCATCCCTTCCTTCCTCCCCTCTCTTTGCCCCTCCCCTCTTGTTTTGCTTTTTTTTTTTTTTTTGTAGGTTGTGGGGCTTGAACTGAGGGCGTGGGCACTGTCCCTGAGCCTCTTTGTGCTTAAGGCTAGTACTCTACCACTTGAGCCACGGTGCCACTTTACAGTTTTTGGTGGTTAATTGGAGATAAGAATCTCATGGGGACTTTTCTGCCTAGGCTGGCTTTGAACCATGCTCCTCAGATCTCAGCCTCCTGAGTAGGCTAGGTATGAGCCACCAGTGCCTGGCTCTTAAGTAATTTTTAATATTTAATTATATACACATTCCTTTATTAAATACATCTGGGTAACCAGCACATGTTATTGTTTCCGATGTTTGTAGACATGCTTGAAGTCGGTGTTTCTTTGTAATGGAGCCAGTGAAGATTAAGACTGAACACTGTTAGATAGCTGAAATACAAAAACAGCATCAAAAACTGAAGTTGAGGGCTGGGAAGTGGGCTCAGTGGTAGAACGCTTGCCTTGCATGCCTGAGGCCCTGGGTTCGATTCCTCAGCACCACATAAGCAAAAAGAATAAACCTGGAAGTGGCGCTGTGGCTCAAGTGGTAGAGCACTAGCCTTGAGCTGAAGAGCTGAGGGACCGTGCTCAGGCCCAGAGTTCAGGCCCCATGACCGGACCCAAAAAAAAAAACTGAAGTTGACATTTTATTTATGTTCATCATTAGTTACTCTAAACTTTTAACTTGCTGCCAATGTAAGGATGATACATAAACATTGAGCCGTGCTCTGTTCAAGATCTTGTCAAACTCTAGGCCAAATACTTGATATGCTGTTTTTGACAAGTCTTCATCACAGCTGTGAGGCTTTGGAATTGGGAGCTCAAGAGGTGAGCTGTGTGGTTGTACATTATTTAAATTGATCTCCTTGGGTCAAAGGTCCATGGTTTCATTATCAAATATATATTTATTTGGATAAGTTCTAAATACTGTACATATACATTACCTATTAGAATTTTCTAAGCAGAATTTAGGTGTAAAAAAGATGTGTTGTAACAGTTGATATTTAAAGGAAAGCTTTGTTAGTACTAGTGGATTACAGCATTTTAACTTCAGCTCTTTTTTTTTAAACTTCAGCTATGACTTTTTTTTTTTTTAATACAGAAAGATCCAATTATTGCCAAACAGCTTTTTAGTGGCTTATTTTCTGGGATTGTAAAAGAGATGGATAAACTAAAGACAGAGTCTGAAAAAACCATGATTACTCAGAAATTGCTGCAAGACTTCAATCATTTTCTTAATACCACATTCTTTTTCTTTCCACCGTTTGTATCTTGCATCCAGGTAAGCATCTGTACTTGTTCCTTGGCAAGTATGCATTGTCTGCTTTGGTACATGTAGCTAATGTCACCATCACTTTGTTTCTTGAGTTGAAACTCAGGATAAAAATAAGGTGCTTTGGGGCTGGGAAGGTGGCTCAGTGGTAGAGCGCTTGCCTTGCATGCCTGAGGCCCTGGGTTTGATTCCTCAGCACCACATAAGCAAAAAGAAAAAAGCCAGAAGTGGCGCTGTGGCTCAAGTGGTAGAGTGCTAGCCTTGAGCTGAAGAGCTGAGGGACAGCGCCCAGGCCCAGAGTTCAGGCTCCACGACCGGACCCCCCCCAAAAATAAATAAGGTGCTTCGTATGGAGGTACCTCAAAAAACTCCACATAGAGCTCCCCTATGACCCAGCAATCCCCATTTTGGGCATTTACCCAAACGATCACAAACAAGGCCATACTAAGGCTACCAGCACAACTATGTTTATCACAGCATTATTTACCATAGCTAAGATATGGAACCAACCCAGATGCCCCTCAGTAGATGAATGGATCAAGAAAATGTGATATATATATATATATATATATATATATATATATATATATGCATACAATGGAATTCTATGCTTCCATCAGAAAGAATGACATTGCCCCATTTGTTAGGAAATGGAAAGACTTGGAAAAAATTATATTAAGTGAAGTAAGCCAGGCCCAAAGAAACATATGTCCCATGGTTCCCCATATTTGCAATTACTACTACATGTGTAGGACAAGGAGAAAGGTCAAAAGCTATGTACATATGACTATATAAGATGATGTTAAGCGAAATGAACCCCAAGATAGGGACACAAATATCTTTTTTCTTTCTTGCTATTGTTTCTAATGTATTTATAATGTACCATGTGATTTTTGTTTCTTTGTGTGTTCCTCCCCCACGGTATAACCCATTTTCACTGTATTTGATTCTGGTGCCCTGCACCTTGTGTATACACTTCTCTAATTTGGGGAGGAAAAGGGAAAAAACAAAATGCTTAAATAAGGATACAATGTACAATGTAACAATGTACAAAACACTGTTGAAAACGAACTTTGGGAGTGTAGGGGGTAGGGGGAGTTGTGGAGGTGGGATGGAAGGGATGGTAGGGGAAAAACAAAGGAGGAGGCAACAATGCTCAATAGGAAATGTACTCATTACCTTGCTGATGTAATTGTAACCCCTCTGTACAGTATTCTTACAATAAAAAACATACCAAAAAAAAGTACAATAACAAAAAAAAGGAAAAGAGAACAAAAGCAGCAAAAAAAAAAAAATAAGGTGCTTCACTGAGAAGGATGTATTGTTTGTGTTACCTCTTCTCAGCTGGGCACATGTAAGTTTTTTTTTTAATATGGGGACTCCTTAAAAATGACAGAATAATCTGAAGTGAAACTTGTTATGGAAGTGTTTTATATTAAGCCAGTCTTCTTGTCATTTTAATTAAACCCTGTATTTTATGTAATTATCTTTCTTTAAGTAGTAATTCACAAATTGTTTCTTGCCTCCTGAGGTGGTGATGTGCCTGGCTTTGTTCTAATTGGAGAGGTCAGGTCAGGTTACCACCAGGAAGAGACAAAAGCCCTACTCTTCAAATTTGCATTTTTGAGAAGTGACAGGAAATCCACAGATAAACACAAAACAGAACATGAGGTAGTTGTTTTTACCACAGTACATGAGTAATACTGTAGTGTTCAAGCAGTGTAGGGCAGCAGCAAAGCAAGTAAATGAATGGCATGTTGATCAGGCAGGTATATGTGGTATTATTGATGGCCTGAACATGGTGGCTGAAGTCTTAGCTAAGGGGACCCAGTTTGAGCAGAGAACTTAATTAACATGGATGTACTTTCAGTTACTGCTTAAATATACTTATCAGAAGATTGATTTAAAAAAGGTATTATGTTGCATAAGCACAGGTTATTATTTGAAATAGAATTATATTTGAATTTGATGTTTTGTTAGACATGGTGAATTTGATTTCTGATCACTACTCTTCCTAAGGGTAGCAGACAGTTTTTGTTTTGCTTACTTTGGAGACTTTACATTCTTCTTATCAACCAGAGGCTGCATGGCTAGTGGTCTGTTGTGATGTGGAGGTGAGGGGCACGGGTAGGGCTAGTGCAGGTGTGTCTGGGCCTCAAGAACAGGTGCAGGGGGCTCTCACACTGTTCTTAGTGACCTCTTATGCATTTGGGGTTATTTTTCACTAATTTTATGTTTTAGCACTCGAGTGAAGAGCTACAAAGTAAAGGACATTACAATAATCCTTTAAAGCTGTTCAAATACTGTTGAATAAGTAGGCTACTGAATACAAAAAATGGACTATCAGATCCAGTTTAGGTGATTGGATATGAAATATTTATGTTTCAATTGGGAAAATTGCAAGTGTTATTTGGATGTATTGAGGACAGAGAGAGAGAGAGAGAGAGAGAGAGAGAGAGAGAGAGAGAGAGAAAGTATTCATTTTACCACTACTTTCTTTGCTTTAAATTCCTGGATTGGAAATTTAAAAGATAATTTCCTCCTTTGAGCAAATTGAATATTGGAGGGAAATTTGTGAATAGAGTTACACAGAGAAAGTTTTAATCACTACTTACATCAGAATTTTCTTTAATGTTTAGTAAGTTAGTCAATTGTGAAGATGTTGTCCAGGTCTCACAGGCTAAATAGGTATATGTGTTTGGCCTTCACAGGAAATCAGTTGTCAACATGCAGACTTGCTAAGTCTTGATCCAGCTGCCATTCGTGCCAGCTGCCTGGCTAGTCTGCAGCAGCCTGGGGGTATCTGCCTTCTTGAGCAAGCACTGCTCCAGCTAATGCCTACAGAGCGCCCCACCAAACGCATCCGGGGCAAGTCCCAGCTTCCTCCGGATGTTCTCCGGTGGATGGAACTTGCGAGGTAAGCTGTGAGGGCCACTCAGAAGAGCAGTGAGTCCAACCAAAGTGACAGAAAAACACACAAGGAGACTTGGCGTCATTTAGCAGAAGATCAACCAATGAAATTGGTTATAACCCTGTCTGAAAATTTTAAAAATCTGCTGAGACTGAATACAACTCTAGTTACCCTGAGAAGGAATGTGTCCAATGAAAGATTAAACCTGTTAATTCCTTTTGTTACGCACTTGTCTGAACTTTTAAGGATGGCTGTAATGATAATTCTTAATGTTTTGTTTTCTCTAGTGTGGCTAAGCAGATCACCTACTGTTTTCAGCAGGATTCAATATTGTAGCAATACTTTTAGTGACCTTGTTCAGGCCTAATTATATAAAAGGATCTTAGGTCAGCATTGAAATTTATTTTGAACTGTTTTACCATGATTTAGATCTTTAGGTTCTAAGAGAAGAGGTAGTAAGAGTAAAGATTGATTTGAAAGGCAGGCATGGAGGAGAATTGGAGATGGAGGAGGCATTGATGACAGACTCATACATGATGTGTCCTATAGGAAATTTATTTTTTTTTTCTGGTCGTGGGATTTGAGCTCTGGGCCTGGGCTCTGTCCCTCAGATTTTCAGCCCAAGGCTAGTGCTCTGCTACTTGAGCCACAGCGACACCTCCAGTTTTCTGGTGGCTTATTGGAGATAAGAGTCTCACAGACTTTCCTGACTGGGCTGGCTTTGAACTGAAGTCCTTAGATCTCAGCCCCCGAGTAGCTAGGATTACATCAGTGACTGGCAATGTATACATTTTTATACATAACCAGAACATGAAGTAGAGGAGTGAGATATATGCTAAGAGAGGAGAGTCACCAAATGAGGACAAATTGAGGAGTAACTCAGGGCTAGTGAAAAAACCTATATCCTGTATTTGCTGGAAAATAAAACATAGAACTTGTGGTTTGTTTTGTTTTGTTTGTTCGTTAGGCAGGTGTTCAGCCACTGAGCCTTCCCTTCAGCCCTTTTTGTTTTAATTAATTTCAGATGGGATTTTGTACTTTTTGCCTGGGACTGGACTCAATCCTCAATCCTCCCCCCTGTGCCTCCCAAGTGGCTGAGATTACAGGTTATCATAACATCCAGTTTATTTATTGAGATGAGGTCTAATTTTTTTATGTAGGATGGCCTTGAACCATGATCCTATTTTCTTTCCTCCCATGTAGCTGAGATTACAGGTATATAGTACCATGCTCTGTTGTAATATACAAGTTTTAACTTGTGAACATAATATAATGTTTTCTTTTTCTATATCTTGGTTACTGTTATACCTGTAATCAAAGTACGAGGTGTCCAGGGTAGGGTTTCTATAGAGATCTCTTTTCTGTTAGTAGCTCTTCTCTACTCCTCAACTCTTGCCTGTGTGCTGCTGTTCCACCAACCACCTGTCTTAGCCCTGCCTCTGGTTTGTGTTCTTTGATCCCTGTGATCTGGTCAATAACAGATATCTGTGAGATTTCTATTTAAATTTGTAATCAGTAGGCTGATATAGATTCTGCAGCTTCTTTGATGGGAATACAAAAACCTTAGTATCCAGGAAGTATAACCAAGGAAAAGGAGTCCTTGGATGATTGGTCAATGACTACAGTTTTAGGAAAAGATGGCTTTGGGGTTAAGAGTTGAGGATGGGAAAAACAATTTCAACAGAATGGGAATAAACTTAATAAATATTAACTGGAGATTTTCAGTAAGGGAAGCTTGCTTGACAAGATCTCAAGATATATATATATATATATATATATATATATATATATATATATATATAGAGAGAGAGAGAGAGAGAGAGAGAGAGATCTATCTCTCTCTATATATATTTTTAGATAGTCTCACTGTGTATGTAGTCTAGACTATTTTCAAATGTATGGTTTTCCTGCCTCAGCTTCCTGAGTGCTGGAATTGTAGGCATATAATACCATGCCTGAAAAAACAGATTTTTACTAAGAGTTGAGGTTTAAAAAAAATGGCATTGGTGGGGTAAAAGTTGCTGTTTATTTGGTTCTTGCTTCATAAGAATTCTAAATGTGTCATCTGCAGAAGTTTATTTTATGAAGCAATTTGTACACTATGAGCTCTTGGCTCTTGGTAAGTTAGAATACCTTTTGCTTACTGTATGAATAAAATAGTCAAATCTAGGGATAACTTCAAAATAGTTCTAGCAAAATAAAAGTGACACTTTAAATGTATTCTTTTGTTAATTGTGTGGCATCCTATTTAAGTTTAATTTCATTAGTGTGAGTACTTTTGAACTATTGGCATGTTCACTGTTTGGACCTATCTTCATTTGTTTCACAGGCTGTATAGATCGATTGGAGAGTATGACGTACTCCGTGGGATTTTTAGCACTGAGATAGGAACTAAAAAGGACAGTCAGAATGCGTTATTAGCAGAAGCCAGAAGTGATTATTCTGGAGCTGCTAAACAGTACAATGAGGTGAGTAGTCTTTAACCAGTATGCCACTTGCTTAAACAGTTTGATTCTCTTCATGAAAAATGGTTAGTTTATTCCATATTGCTAACAGAGGTTAACAGTTACCATATGTGGTACCAAAACAAGACAGTGACATGGTATCTCTATGCTTTTTTAAGAAAACATGGAATAGAAGACAAACTATTTCATAAATTTCCAAGTACCATAAAACTGTTTCTTGTTAGTTTCATGTCTATTTTGTTACAGTATCTGTTTGAAAATTGTTACTTTTAGTAAGTAAGAAATTTCTGAGGAGGTAAGAAGAATTTGAGATCATAATTCTCTTTGGTTCTGTACATTTTGCTGAGTTGCCAGTGGCCAGAATTTGACCTGTGAGGCTGTTGAATGAGCAACCACAATTTTAAAATTATTTGCAGTGTTCTACAGGTGTTCTGTGTTTTAACTTTTAGTCTAAGAACTTGTTAAAAAAGTAACCCAGTTTTAAGGATTGCTTACTGGCTTACTGATAAATTTCTCAATGAAATCACTTACTCAGGATTAGGGTTTTATAAGTATTTGTTCCTATAACATCTCCTTCTTTTTTCTTTCTTTTTATATACATGATTACGCGGAATACTCTTTCCCTCCTTTTGTACATGTTTTGTTTGTATTATTTTCCACTCTGTGAAATGATCCATTAACTTTGCTCTGCCAGGCTCTCAATAAACAAGAGTGGGAAGATGGTGAGCCCACAGAGGCTGAGAAGGACTTTTGGGAAATGGCAGCCCTTGACTGCTACAATCACCTCTCAGAGTGGAAATCACTTGAGTACTGCTCTACAGCCAGTGTAGACAGTGAGAGCCCTCCCGACCTAAGTAAAATCTGGAGTGAAGCATTTTATCAGGTGGGTAGAATTGTCTTTAGGTCACTGAAACCAATAGTTTAGATTGGTCCAGTGTCTTTGATTTAGTAAAATTGTATAAAGATACTTTAAAACAGGCAGTAGTTTTGAAGCATTTGAATATTCAAGTAGCTTGACTCTGTGGTCACACTTAATAGTGTTAAATCTCATCGTTTTAAAGTAAGTGTTTGTATGGTGTATAACGTGTACACCATTATATGTTATAGACTGTGATAGACAATTTGCTTCAGGAAAGTTAGAATGAACTTGTGACTTTAAATGAGCATCATTATTCCACAATACTGTGAAATTCGGGAAATTATGTAATCACTTAATCACAATAAAAAAAAAAAAGAACCTCGGGGAAGGTAGGGAGGCAAGGGGTGGTAGGGGGAAAACAATGGAGGGGGTAACAATGCTCAATAGGAAGTGTACTCATTACCTTACTCATGTAACTGTAACCCTCTGTATAGTATCTTTACAATAAAAAAAAAAAAAGTGTTAACATCCCTGATGTAACCACATGGAAAGATACTTTCTGTTGCCTTTTGTACTACAGAGAAATCACTTGGCCTCCCTGGCCATCCCAGGAAATGATTTCTGGCCCCTCATGCTTTGCCTGCCATTACCTTGACAGTTTGTAGCCTACATGCTAGTATCTTCAGCTAAGAGTAGGTCCTTTCATTTTTTTTTTTTTTTTTGTAGTACTGGGATTTGAATTTAGGACTTATACTTGCTAGGCAGTTGTTCTATCACTAAGCCATGACTGGTTATTTTAAGATAGGGTCTCACTTTGTACCCTGGCATGCACTTAAACTATAATACTCCTATTTTTGTTTCCCGCAGTAGCCTGGATGACATGTGTATACATGTGTATCCATCCAGTGTTTTCCTGCAAAGTGGAGTTTAGTGGACTTTTCTGCCTGAGCTAGCCTGTCACTGCAGTGTTCTTATCTCAGCCTCCTATGCAATTCAGATGACAGGTGTGCACCATTGTCCTCAGCTATTGGCTGAAATGGAAGCTTACAAAATTATTTTCCTCAGACTGGCCTTGAATCATGATCCTCCCTATCTCTGCCTCCCAAATAACTAGGATTATAGGTTTAAGCCACTAGTGCCTGGCTAAGATCCCATTTAAATTTTTTTTGATAGAACATATTCCTGAAAAGTTTGATGGTTATAAAAGAAGCCATATTAGGTTAATTTTATTTTGAAATTTTGACCTGTAAAATTATTCCAAAGGATAAGTAGAAATTAATGATCGGACAATTTTTATGTTCCTCAGGAGACCTATCTACCGTACATGATTCGCAGCAAGCTGAAACTCCTGCTTCAAGGAGAGGGAGACCAGTCCTTGCTGACGTTTATGGATCAGGCCATGCGCAAGGAGCTGCAGCAGGTTCTCCTAGAGGTTCAGTACAGTCAGGAGTTGAGTCTTCTCTACATATTGCAAGATGATGTTGACAGGGCCAAATATTATATTGAAAATGGCATTCAGATTTTTATGCAGGTAATACAAATAGATCTGTCTGAAATATACCATTTTTATGGAAATTTTAAAAGTCAGTAAACTCAAAAAATGAATAGGCCCAAGTTTGTATGTATCATTGTATACCACCCATTTCCTTCTTTTGTCCTTAAGTATTTTCACTGTTTTTATCTTGTGTCTTTTTAAATTGTATTTTTTTTTTCCATTGTAGAAGTTCCATTGTGGGTTTTTCTTTCTTTGGTTTTTCTCTTTTCCACACTGTTAAAGAAGTCTCAGTCTAGCCTTTTACCTGTAAAAGTTCGATGGCTTTGTGGAGAAGAACATGGATTGATCCTTCTTATTTTCCTGAGTCTTCTGCTTACCTATTGTGAGGGAGAATCATGTAGAGAGTCTACCACCAATATTTTATCACTGGCATATGTATCGTAGATACAAATGTGTGCATTATTTTCATCATTTCAAAGTGGCTTCTATGCTTGGCAGTTTTGCATTTTAAAATGTTGTAATATTAAAAGTTGAGCTGGGAATGTGGCTTAGTGGTAGAGTGCTCATCTAGCATGCATGAAACCCTGGGTTCGATTCCTCAGTACCACATAATTAGAAAAAGCCAGAAGTGGTTATGTGGTTTAAGTGGTGGAGTGTTAGCCTTGAGCAAAAGAAACTCAGGGACAGTGCCCAGGCCCTGAGTTCAAGCCCTGGACTGGCAAAAAAAAAAAAAAAAAGGTTGGTTTAGACTTGGAATGTAGTAGAAAACCTGACTCATATTATTAAGATCCTAGATTCCATTCTCAGCATAGATAGATAGATAGATAGATAGATAGATAGATAGATAGATAGATAGATGGATAGATGGAGGTACAAATAGAGATGGTAGTCTGATTATATTGATTTTGTTGCTATTGTTGAACTAAAATATGATTGCATGCCTAAATTGTTAGACAATTTTAAACCATGTAGTAATTGTTCCTATGACCTAATTGTTAACAACTCTAAAACACTGCATAGTTAATGTGTAAGTTATTTGCTGTATTTCTACATTAAAAAACATTTTAAAAATTCAGGTAATAAATTGGCTTATGACAAATGCTAAATACCTTTTCTTTATCCTAGAATTATTCTAGTATTGATGTTCTCTTACATAGAAGTAGACTTGCAAAATTACAGTCTATACAAACATTAACAGAAATTCAGGAGTTCATCAGCTTTATCAGAAAAGAAGGTAATACTTTTTTTATTTTCCATTCTTTTTCCTTTCTAAATGTGGATGAGTACCTGCTTTTCTTTTGCTTACTGCAAGAACAGACTTAATGTATGGGTTGGAAATTGCCTTGAATTTGTTCTACAAACGTGTGTTGAGGTCATTGGAATAAGTGTATAAAATGACAAATACTGCTGTGGGCACTAGCTATGCAAAGCTAAACAAAACATTATTTGTCTTGAATAAGTATTTAGAATGGTGGATGATTCTATGTCATGAGTTAGTGTGGACCCTGGCGGCAGGGCTTGCTCTGCTTTGAGAGGGCAGAAGGCTTTTGTTGGAGGAGCCCATGGGGCCCAATTGCAGAGTGGAAGAGAGCTTGCAGAAGCCCACTTTGCAGAAAGTTGCACTGTTGGGTGCCTGAGAGGGAGACCATTAACCAGAGAGGTTAATGGGAGGTAATATGGGAGAAGGCTATAGGGGTCACTGGGTCTGTGTGATCCCAAGCAGTTTTATCCTGGTACTTATGAGAGAGAGGCTACCTAAGAGTCTGAGAAAGAGAGAGAGACAGAGACAGAGACAGACGGAGACAGAGACAGAGACAGACAGAGACAGAGACAGAGAATAGCTTTCCAAAGGAAAAGTCAAAAGTCTTAATGAAGAATTATAAAAGTCTCAATTATAAATTATAAGTCTAACAATGCTTGATAAGAAATGTACTCATTATCTTGCCCATGTAATTGTAACCCTTCTGTACGGTATTTTCACTATAAAAAAATTGTATCTATTTCAATTTTTGTTCTGAATGATTAAAAGTAATTATAAATGAGAATTAAATTTCAGGGTTGTTGGAGTGGCTCAAGTGGCAGGTAGGTACTTACCTAACAGTATGAGGCCATAGATTCAGATCTCAGTTATACCAAAAACAAGTGAGCAAATAACAAACTTTTTCAGGATACAAACAAAAATCAATTTTCTTGTCTTCCCTAATGTTCCTTGCTGTAAATTTAAAATAGTAAGTGCTTTTCACAGTTTGAGTTGATTAATCTTTTAAATCTGTATTACCTTGATCCTGTAACAACTTTATGAGATATATTTCTTTTAATTTTATATGTCATATAGTATTCCTAATGATTGTTTTCAGGCAACAGAAAGAGAAAACTGGACTGGAGCTTGGTTAAAAAACGCTCTGAGCAAAAAAGCCCAGGGAGAGTGTGAAGGCCCGAGTTCAGGTCCCATTACCAGCATAAAAAAAAGAAGGAAGGAAGGAAGGGAGGAAGGGAAACAGCAGCAAATAAGAGGGAAAACTAAAACCTTAAGCATTATAGTGTAAAATTTAAATTCTGTGAAGATTATGGAACTCTTTTAAGATCTGTAAAGCTAGATTATTTTAGATATTAGAAATGTACCCAGGCCAGGTTCATATCCCCTAGTTAAACATAGTGTTAAGTCTCCAACCTAAATTGTAGTATTCGAATTAATGTAAACAAAGATTATAGCCCTGTGTTAATTCAGATCAGATTTGTTTGTTTTATGGCTCACAGGCCTTGAACTCAGGGTCTGGGTGCTGTCCCTGAGCTCTTTTGCTCAAGGCTAGCCCTCTACCACTTTGAGCCACAGCTCCACTTCCAGTTTTTTGGTGGTTAATTGGAGATAATTGGCTTTACTGTACAGGCTGGCTTTTAACCGTTATTCTCAGATCTCAGCCTCCTGAGTAGCTAAGGTTATACATGTGAGCCCCCAGTGCCAGACTCCAGATCAGATTTTTGTCTTCCACAAAATTGACTGTTCCCTTGTGAAAATCTCCTTGTTTTTGAATGCTATGAAATTTCAAAATTGTAGAATAAAGGATTGGGGATTTGTAAAAAGTTTTGTATGAATTTACTTCTCTTTTTTCTTTCCTTTTTTTTTTTTTCTTTTGGGTCCGGTCGTGGGGCCTGAACTCTGGGCCTGGGCGCTGTCCCTTAGCTCTTCAGCTCAACGCTAGTGCTCTACCACTTGAGCCACAGCACCACTTCCGGCTTTTTTCTTTTTGCTTATGTGATGCTGAGGAATTGAACCCAGGGCCTCATGCATGCAAGGCAAGCACTCCACCACTGAGCTGCCTTCCCAGCCCCTATTTCTCTTTTTTCTATATCCACAAATGATTAAATTTAAGTATCAGAATACTATAGTGATTTGTGTTGCTTTTGTGAAAGAAATTTTTTTCTTTCTAATTTGGACAAGAAATTAGAACTTGGTTCAACTTATTAATGATGACTCCATTCTGACAGTTGGTTTTTATCATTTAACTGTGGGTGTGAGCATTCTCTAATATTATTTTTAGGTAATTTATCATCTCAAGTTGCCCTTAAGAGACTTCTAAAAACTTGGACAAACAGGTACCCGGATGTTAAAATGGACCCCATGAACATCTGGGATGATATTATCACAAATAGGTAAGTTGTGATCTTTTTAAGCCAAGTGTGGCTTCTTTAGCAAAACTGTCATAATGGTTCTTCTAACCATGGCTTAGAAAAACATGATATTTGAGCCAATTGTACCTCTTTTTCATGCTGATTAGTCACATTAAGTTCTGACAAAACTGGATTTGCAATACATTATCTTCACTTACTCCTTGGGGGGATTTTTGCCCACTCATTGTGGAAGAATTGGGTGTTGGTGGTTGGTGGGGATGACCCCTCACCACAGACTTAGGTAGTGTTATGACAGCAGGAAAGAATGCTGCATAATGAGTTTTTATTTTCTGGTTTTAAAACTTAGGTTCTTGGGTGGGGTCTGGTTGTGGGGCCTGAACTCTGGGCCTGGGCACTATCCCTCAGCTCTTCAGCTCAAGGCTAGCGCTCTACCACCTGAGCCACAGTGCCACTTCCGACTTTTTTCTTTTTGCTTATGTGGTGCTGAGGAATCGAACCCAGGGCCTCAGGCATGCAAGGCAAGCGCTCTACCACTGAGCCACCTTCCCAGCCCCAAAACTTAGGTTCTTGACAACTCTGCTTTTTGCTTCACAACTCTTTTTTTGTTTGTTTGTTTGGTTTTTGGTGCCAGTCCTGGGGCTTAAACTCAGGACCCTGGACACTGTCCTTGAGCTTTTGTGTTTATGGCTAGAGCTCTACCATTTGAGCCGCACTTCTACTTCTGAATTCTTTGGTGTTTAATTGGAGATTCTTGATTCTTGATTCTAGATTCTTGATTCTACTCAGCTTCCTGAGTAGCCTGGGGTTACAGGTGTGAGCCACTGCCACCCTGCTTGCCTGACAGTTCTTTTATTGAGTTGTGTTCACTTCCCACAGTCTGAGTTTTTATTAATCTTGGGGGATCTAGAGGGACATTTACTGTGTCCTTAGGGAAGAGGCTGTTGAGTTAGAGAGGTTGTACATTATTTGTGCAAATATCCTTGAGGAAATAGGACTTAAGGACTCTGATGTCAGTTGTTACTTCCATTATTTCCTCTATTTATGTAATTTTAATTTTTTACTTTGAGATAAGTTCTTGTGGAAAAGTTGCAAAAAATGTAGAAACCTCTTGTGCTTTTTTTTAAGTATACAATTAAAATTTTTTGATATTTTATCACATTTTTTTAATTGGTGGTGTGGGAGTTGAACTCAGGGCCTTGTAATTGCTAGGGTCTTGTAATTTCTACCACTTGAGCTATGTATCCAACCCTTTTTTCATTGGTTATTTTCTAAGTAGGTTCTTTCTTTCTGTTTGAGCTCCGATTTTCCTACGTGTCTTTTCCCATTTTGCCAGGGATGACAGGCTTGTACCACTGTGCCAAGCCATTGTGCTTCCCCCAGAACTGGGATAGCAGACTCGTGCCAGTAGGCCAGCCATCAGTGAACATGAAATTCCATGAACTGACTTTGAAGTATGATCTTTGATCTCTGCCTCTCAAATAACTAGAATTAACAGGCCTGAGCCACCCAGGCCCAGTTCACGTTAGTTTTCTTTTTTTTAAATTTTCTTCCTTTCTTCTATACCTACTATTTATTTTCTGAACCATTTGCATGTAAGTTGCATATATGTCTCTTCATTCTTTATGTGCTCATGTACATTTCCAAAGAGCATGCTTTTATATAAGCATAGCAATCAATTTAAGTGCCCATTTTCAATCTATGGACTAGTTTCAGTTTTGTCACTGTCCTATTAGTGTGTTCTGCAGTATTCTCCCCATCCTCTTCCTATAGGACAGAACCACAGACTGTATTTAGTTCTGTCTTTTTAGTGCACTTTGTTTTGGAACACTTCCTTAGGCTTTCTGTCTTTCATAACATTAACACTTCTAAAGAGCATTTCTCACTGTGTCTTACGTTTCTCAATAATGAGATTTAGTGTTCTACCCCTAACTAGAGCACTCCTCAGTTCTTCTCAGACTGTCATGTCACATGTGGGCCACATAGCATGCATTTGCCTTTTTCTGTGAAAGTCATTTCCAATACCTGCTAAAATGTTGTCTGGTTTCTCCATTTCTTTCTTTCTTTTTTTTTTTTTTGTCAGTAGTGAGGCTTGAACTTAATGTCCATGAGCTTGTCAGCTCAAAGTTAGCGCTCTACCTCTTGAGCCACAGCACCACTTCCAGTTTTCTGAGAGATTTATTGGAGATAAAAGTCTCATAGAAGCCGGGCGCTGGTGGCTCACACCTGTAATCCTAGCTACTCAGGAGGCTGAGATCTTAGGATCGCGGTTCAAAGCCCGCCCGGGCAGGAGAGACCGTGAGACTCCAAACCGGAAGTGGCGCTGTAGCTCAAGTGGTAGAGCGCTCACCTTGAGCTGAAGAGCTGAGGGACAGCGCCCAGGCCCAGAGTTCAAGCCCCACTACCGACAAAAAAAAAAAAGTCTCACAGACTTTCCTGTCCGGGCTCTCTTTGAACCACAATCCTCAGATCTCAGCTCCCTGAGTAGCTAGATTACAGGCGTGAGCCACTGGCATCCGACTCCATTTCTTTTTCTTTGCAACCAGTAAAAGATTAATATGGAAGATGCTTTGAGATATGCAAATGTCCTCTTTCTCATGAGATTTACCATTTCTCTTTCACATCACTGGATGATTCTTAGCTTATTTGACTTCTTGACACCAGTGTTTGCAAATTGGCAATTTCTGACTTCAACACTTGTACCATGCTTGTTAATGTACATCTTATTAAAGGAAGAGTTCTCCCACTCCACATTCATTATTTTTTAAACTATCAATATAGGCTCATAGGTTCAAATTTTATTGAATAAGATACTACTTTCCTTAGATATTTCATGGTTAGATGGTCTCAGATTGCATGTTTGAAGTCTAGGTTTTGTCAGCTGTGTCACACAGTAGAAGACAGGGTGTGCATGGAAAGTCAGGTTGTGCTCAAGCATTATTAGTAAGAGGAACTGGAGAACTCTCAGGATAGAAGAAGGAATTGGATTGCAGCCAGGCAAAGGGAGAGTACCTCCCTGTCTGAACTAGGTCAGCCCAGAGAGGCTCACTGTTGGCAGTTAGGCAACACTTGGAATACATAGGAAACACACTTTAGTTTCTGGTGGTCCAAACCAAGTCTGGATGGGCACAGAAGATTAATTGTCAGGTAGGAGCTACCACCCTAATATAAGCTCTAGAGCAAGTTTGGGTCGTAACAGCCATTTACATCAAAGTGGATGGTCCATATCAAAATAGCTGATTCACTTTAAGATAGGTCTATCTTGGGTCATTTTTGTCAGTGCCCAAATCTGCACCTTCGAGGATATGCTGTTGTGTTCTGATAGATGTTCAAGGATTAGGGCACGCTACTTGTAGGGCACTATGTAGGAGCTCTATTGAGGAAGATCATGGAGGGGCTCTTTGCTCCTGATGATAGATTTACAGCTTCTCTAGTGTGAAAGGCAGCCACAGTGGTTATGCTTTCTGCAGAACCAGATAGGTCAAGTACTCTGGCTATGTCTCCTATGTCTGCCTATTTTTGTCCTTCTCTTTCTGTTTCTTTGTGTCTGTACCTGTTTCTCACACAGACACATAAACATACACAGATAACTACAGAGACCCAACAAAGATCAGCTCATATCCTAAGAACCTCCTAACTATCACTAAGCCAAGATGTCATCTCAGGCCTTTGGGAAATCAAGAACAGCACAGCCTACGCCAGTCTTGCACTTTATCCCTTCTCCTTCACTAGCCCAATCCCAAGGTCTTCTGTGAGCCCCCATCGGGGCTGCCCTAGCCTTGCTGAGACACATGTGACTGGTATTTAAAAGATTGTCTCCTCATTGTCTGGGTCGAGGTCTAGAACAGACACTAGACAGTGTCCTGTAGGCAGGTCACCACTTGACTGATGTATGCATGGAAGTGACACAGATGCTCAAAAATGTTATGCAGTCATTTTAAAATTTGACTTGCAACTTGAAAGGTGACAGAGGAGGTGACATCAGTGACAGGCATGTCAGATCAGCTCTAGAAGGTCCACATATCACCTGCTTGTAGGGTTACGGTGCGTTTCACATGACAGGGCTCTGATGTCTGGAAATATGCTAGCAGCCGCAATTAAGTATAAACGCTACTTGGATCCTCTGACCCCTGGTCCTTCTCAGCATCCCCAGCTGAGGACAGAATTGCAACTCCCAGTAGTCTTTGTGCTTGACCAGGCCAGACAGCCTGAGATTTTCCTTTATTATTGGCTGCTAGTAACTTGATTATGATGGTCTACGTATGATTTTATCCTATTTGAGTTTACTGAGCTGTTTTTTTTTTTGGTCCTGGGGCTTGAACTCTGGGCCTGGGCGCTGTCCCTTAGCTCTTCAGCTCAAGCCTAACACGCTACCACTTGAGCCACAGCATTACTTCCAGTTTTCTGGTGCTTTATTGGAGATAAGAGTCTCACAGACTTTCCTGCCCAGGTTGGCTTTGAACCATGATCCTCAGATCTCAGCTGCTGAGTAGCTAGGATTACAGGCGTGAGCCACCGGCGCCCAGCTCTGAGCTCTTTTCTTTATTCTTAAAATTATCTTTAAGTACTTGTACAGAGGGGCTTCAATTAAGCATGTCAATTTATGTGAACATTGCATGTTCTTCAGTGTCTCAGCATCATTCTCTCTCCATTTACCCCAACCTTACCCAGCTCTCAAGTTTTACCGAGTGTCTTTTTTTTTTGTCGGTCATGGGGCTTGAACTCTGGGCCTGGGCACTGTCCCTCAGCTCTTCAGTTCAAGGCGAGCGCCCTACCACTTGAGCTACTGCGTCACTTCCGGTTTTCTGGTGGTTTATTGGAGATAGGAGTCTCACAGTCTCTCCTGCCCGGGCTGGCTTTGAACAGCGATCCTCAGATCTCAGCCTCCTGAGTAGCTAGGATTACAGGCGTGAGCCACCAGCTCCCGGCTTTACCGAGTGTCTTGAATCTGTATATATCACCAAATTTGCAGAGGTTTCTCTCACTATTTGTTCAAATACTGTTAACCCTAATCAGATGTTTTGATATAGTTCAATAGGTCTGTGTATATTTCATTCAGTCTTTTTTGGGGGGGGAGGGTAGTAGGAATTCAGTTGTGGGACTTGAACTCTGGGCCAGGATATTGTCCCTCAGCTCTTCAGCTCAAGGCTAGCGCTCTACCGAGCCACAGTGCCACTTCCGTTTTTTTTGGTGGTTAATTGGAGATAACACTTTCCTGCTGGGCTGGCTTTGAACTGTGATCCTCAGATCTCAGCCTCCTGAGTATCTAGGATTACAGGTGTGAGCTCTGGTACCCAAACAATCTCTTTTTTCTTTATTCTTTTTTTTTTTTTAATTTATTTTGTTTTATTTTTTATTGTGAAAATACTGTACAGAGGGGATTTTCTTAATCTTTAGACTAAACCTCTATTGACTTGTTTTGAGGCCTGTTGACCTGCTATTTCCCTCCATTTTCTTCATCTCTATTGAGCTTGTCTAGTCTAAGTATTTTATATCAGGTACTTTAGTTTTCACTTGTAAAATTTACATGTTTTCCTTTGGCTGTATAGAGGTATCCATCATTTTCAATGTGTATTTGGGGGGGGGCATATTTAAAGTAGCTGCCTTAAGGAACTTGTATGATTCTTCTGACACATGAGTCTTTTAGATACTATCAGCTAAATCTTTTTCCACTGAAAATTGATACAATTTCTTGATTCTTCTGATCAGTTAATTTCGAATTATATCATGGCAATTGTGAATGTTGTCTTGGGTGGGCTGGTTTCTTGTGTAATTCTCTGGCAGGTGATCAGCCCAGTTCTATTTGGAAAGATGGCCAGAGAGGCTGTCTCTTGCCTCTCTTGGTTCAGACCTCAGTCTGGCTTTAAGTCATTATCATACACTTGTTTTGAGTCTTCCCTGCACTTTCATGTCTCCATGGGCCGAAACCTGGATGGTTCATGCCTAGAGCTCATCTCTGATTGTTATGATCTCTCACATTCATGCTATTCCTACAGTCCAGTCTCTTCTGGCTCCTTTTAGGGCTTCTCCGGGCAGAAAGCACAGTCACAGAATCTCAGTCGCTCACATTGCCACATCATTCCATAATGGCAGCCAGCTTCCTGCACAGAAAAGCAGAAGAAAAAAGACGTGAGAAACTCATCCCAGTAGCAGAACCTTCTCCCAGTTTTGATTTCTCTGAACACAACAGCCTGAATGTTTTATTAATTCTGTAATCAGGGAGTTGTATTTTGGTGAGAGTTTCTAGTCATTACCAACAAAGAGCTGGACTCCGAGGGTTACACTGCCACACTGGAGCCACGAGTCTAGTCTTTCAGGGAAAAAAGGGCTCTGCGCCAGGCTCTGTTCTTACCAACATGCCACAAAAAAAAGCGCCACATGCATGAACCTTCTCTACCATTGCTTCATTTATTTTTGCTCTCTGGGATTCCCTTGTCAGTTCTGCCACCTGGAATTGGGTACCTCCCTGATGGCACAGGAGATTCCATCTCATGAGATTTCCACTGTCCCTCTTATCATCCTCCTCTTTCTGTTATTGCAGGGCATGTTATTCATACTGATGAGTGAACAATTTTTTTATTTAAGTAGCTGCACAAAGGGATTTCAATTCAACGTGCAAGACCTCTATCTCAAAAAAGTTCCTATATGAACAATAGAAAATTGCTTTATTATTGATTAGGGATGAACAGTGTATCTTAAGGCTCTTTTTCAATGTTGCTGACATTAAGTTAATGAAGATTACATTATTTGAACAAGGTTGTAAATGTAAATTATAACATGTAATTATAGATTTACTTATGAAAATTTGAATTTATATAAAAACATGCAAATTGTAAATATTTAGCTATTTTACATATAAATTAAGTAATTTCTATAAGCATATACTTAGGTTTTAGAATTCTTAGTGATTCTTTAATCTGTTTATTTCTTCATATTTTTTATGTTTGGGTATAGAACTGTAGAGTGGAGCTAAAAAGAAAAATGGCTTTTGACACAACATAGAGTATGTTATTCAGGAATGGAAAAACCTTGTGAGTTTAAGTGCTTTGTGCAAGCAAAAACACTACATGATATCTAGAAGATTCTGTTAATATATCCTTGTCCCTCTTTCAAGGTTTGGTTTATTAAAACGAGGAAAAATTGGTTCCTAGAATATATCTGTATAATGTAAGCAAAGCCTTAATAACTACAAAATTTCCATGTATAAGTGTTATCTAGTAGCTCCTAGAATATCTAGGATTTCTTTGATGAGTCTGATGTTAAGATTTGGTTCCCTTGTTTTCTGTAGGTGTTTCTTTCTCAGCAAACTAGAGGAGAAGCTGGCCATTCCAGATCATCACAGTATGGATGAAGATACTGATCCCAGTGACAAGGCAGAGGCGTACAAGCCAGAGGAAGATGCTCATTCCTTGATACAGAGCTGCAAGTTCTCCATGAAAATGAAGATGGTAGAAAGTGCACAAAAACAGGTGGGTCTAGGCTCCATAGCGAGACCTTGTCTCAAAAAGCAAACAAAGATAATACCGTTTTTACAAAAGAGAACACTGCAACTGAACACAAAATCAAACAACCTAGTTAAATAAATGGACAAAGAATTTAAATAGACATTTCTCCAAAGAAGATAGGAAAATAGCCATCAAGCACATGAAAAGATGCCCAGCATTAGTCACCATGGCAGTGCAAATGAAAGTCACTATGAGAGAGCAACCCATTAGTCAGGGTATAGAGAAGCCAGTACTCTAGTGCCAGTAAAATGTTGTATCTGCTGCGGAAAAGATGTGGCTATTTCAGTCTTGCCATCTGTCCTAGCAATACCACTCCTAGGCATAGACATAAAGACAGAAATTTGTATGCAGTTCACAGTAGATTACTCAGAATAACTGGGAAGGGAAACAACCAAAATGTCCACCAGTAGATGAATGGATAAGGAATATATGGTACATCTGTGAGCAGGTTATTATTTGGTTATAAAGAGGGATGAAGTACGAGATGGATGAACCTAGAAAGCATGCCAAATGAAAGAAGCCAGACAGAAATCTTTTCTGGTATCGTTTTGATGTAATGGCTGCCAGTGGCTAGGGACAATAGTTGGTGACTACTAATGAACAGGAATCCTGTCTTTAAGCTTATAAAAATGTTCTGGAGGGCTGGGAAGGTGGCTCAGTGGTAGAGCGCTTGCCTTGCATGGATAAGGCCCTGGGTTCGATTCTTCAGCACCACATAAGCAGAAAAAGCTGGAAGTGGCGCTGTGGCTCAAGTGGTAGAGGGCTAACCTTGAGCTGAAGAGCTGAGGGACAGTGCCCAGGCCCAGAGTTCAGGCCCACAACCAACAAAAAAAAAAACCCAAAAAACAACAAAAGAATGTTCTGGAATTAGATGGTGGTTGTCTGACTTTATAAATATAGTAAAAAAGAAACAACAAAAACGAAAACCAAAACTAATCCAAAATGAAAAGGCCTATTCCTTCTGGGCATTGATAGCTCACACCTGTAATCCTAGCTCCTCAGGAGGCTGAGAGCTGAGGTTTGGGCAGGAAAGTTCATGAGACTCTTATTTGCAACTAAGCATCAAAAGAGCCAGAAGTGGATCTGCAGCACAAGTGGTAGAGCACTAGCTTGGGGCAAAAAGCTCAAGGACAGAGCCCAGGTCCTGAGTTTAAGCCTGTTATTAAAAAAAAAAAAGATAGCTGAGGAAATGGACTGGTTGGTTCAATTCAAGGTCATGCAGAAAGAGAATCTCTTTGAAAACTTCCTTTGTAAAATAATTGTTTTTCCAAACTGTCTACTTGAATGTCTCCATGGCTTTTTCTTTTTCCTCTCTTCATATAGAGCAATTTTGCACTTGCCATGAAACTGCTGAGGGAGCTACATAAGGAATCCAAAACAAGAGACGACTGGCTGGTGAAGTGGGTGCAGAGCTACTGCCAGCTGAGCCACTGCCGGAGCCGCACCCAGAGTGCCCCCACGCAGGTCCTCACCGTCCTGAAAACCGTTTCACTGCTGGGTAATTACGTTGCTCTTGTCCATATTATTACGTTGCTCTTGTCCATATTATTATTGTTGCTGTTGTTATTGATTTTTTAATTTTTTTGCAGCACTGGGATTGAACTGAGGGCTTCATGCTTGTTAGGCAGGATATAATGAACTACACTCTCCATCCTTTTTGCTTTAGTAATTTTGGGGATAGGGTCACACTGTCTGGGCTAGGATATACTGTGATCCTCCCATTCATGACTCCTGTTTATGGGTGGTATGGTAGGTTTATGTTGCTGTGCACTGATTTTTCTGTTGAGATACACTCCCATGGACTTCATTTGCCTAGGCCAGCTTGGAGCCAGTATTAGCTTCCCACAGAGTTGGGATGACAGGTGTGTGCCACTACACTCTCAGTATTGATTGAGATGGGGTCTTAACAACTTTTTGCCTGTACTGGCAAATTTGAGATCCTCCCAATCCCTGCTTCTTTTTTTTTTTTTTTGGGTCCGGTCATGGGGCCTGAACTCTGGGCCTGGGCGCTGTCCCTCAGCTCTTCAGCTCAAGGCTAGAGCTCTACCACTTGAGCCACAGCGCCACTTCCGGCTTTTTTCTTTTTGCTTATGTGGTGCTGAGGAATCGAACCCAGGGCCTCAGGCATGCAAGGCAAGTGCTCTACCACTGAGCCACCTTCCCAGCCCCCAATCCCCACTTCTGTAGTAGATAATATAGATGCGAGTTACTGGTGCCAAACTAAGTTTTGGGTTTTTTTTTTGTGTTACAGCTTCGAAAAATATTTTTTTTCTTTTTTATTTTTTTGGTCCGGTCATGGGGCCTGAACTCTGGGCCTAGGTGCTGTCCCTCAGCTCTTCAGCTGTGGACTAGCGCTCTACCACTTGAGCCACAGCGCCACTTCTGGCTTTTTTTCTTTTTGCTTATGTGGTGCTGAGGAATGGAACCCAGGGCCTCATGCATGCAAGGCAAGCACTCTACCACTGAGCCACCTTCCCAGCCCCATCGAAAAATATTTATATATATATATATATATATTTTTTTTTTTTTTTTTTTTGTCGGTCGTGGGGCTTGAACTCTGGGCCTGGGCATTGTCCCTCAGCTCTTCAGCTCAAGGCAAGTGCTCTACCACTTGAGCTACAGCGCCACTTCCGGTTTTCTGGTGGTTTATTGGAGATAGGAGTCTCACGGTCTCTCCTGCCCGGGCTGGCTTTGAACCACGATCCTCAGATCTCAGCCTCCTGTGTAGCTAGGGTTACAGGCGTGAGCCACCAGCGCCCAGCTCGCAAAATATTTTTGATGCTGTTTTTTCTGACATGTGGCAATGGAGTCTTAGTAATTAACTCTTATAGGTACAGCAAAGGATGTCACAGAGAAAGATGTTATTTCTTTGAAAATAGAGCCAAAGATCTGGAGCCAGACAGCTACATATACTGATGATGCTATCCAGGATGATATTTACAGTTTCTATTTCCTTAATTAAAGTTTTTCTTTAGACCCTACTTCACCAAACTTTATGTTAGTGGTTTATTTGAAAACTTCAAGCTTACACATAAGTTGAAAAATACTAAACAAGAATTGTTTTCCTTCTTAGTTCTGTTCTTTTCTTTCTTTTTTGCTGTCATGGGGCTTGAACTCAGGGCCTGGGGACTGTCTCTGAGCTTCTTTGGCTCAAGGCTAGTGCTCTACCATTTGAGACACAGTGCCACTTCAAACTTTTTTCTGTGTATGTAGTACTGAGGAATTGAACCCAGGGCTTCATGCATGCTTGGCAAGCACTCTACCACTGAGCCACATCCCCAGCTCAGTTCTGTTCTTTTCTTGATATAGCCTCTCTGCCTGAAGGGAGCAAAGTTTTCTTGGACATGGTTGGGTGTTCCGGTCCTGCCTCTGTGTGCTTAAGGGTATGGGGTGGCACTGCCCAGAGATGGAGCATGTGCCTGAGCTGCAGCCTCAAAAAAAGAGCAAGAGGGGTCAGCACTCACTCTGTGTGACCCATTATTATTTGAGTCATTATAGGGACAGATTTGCTAATGCTAAGAGTATGAGCATACTTGCCTAACATCCGTGATGCCCAGACTTTGATTCCCACACCGTAATCAAAGCAGTCCTGCAATTACAGGTTGTATTGCTTATAGTTTGTAACTGCTGTTTTTGGAACAGTCCAGTGTGTGAAGCACTGGCAGGAAGTGGTTGGTGGCAGGAAGAAGGGTGTACTCTTGCCAGGATTCCTGGAAGCACACGTTGTCACACTGCTGGATACTATAGGCCTAAGCCCTCCCCAGCACCATATGATCAAAAGTGTGACTAGGGTTTTAGGTGTGGCTGTTGTTTATCAGTTTTATGACACAGTATCAATTTAAAACTCTATTCCAAGGTATTATTGTGTATGCATAAAAGTATTATAAGAGCTATTTTCTGTTATCCAAGGTGCTTGGATAAAACTTAGAATGGTGGGGCTTGGAAGATGGCTCAGTGGTAGAGCGCTTGCCTTGCATGCCTGAGGCCCTGGGTTCGATTCCTCAGCACCACATAAGCAAAAAGAAAAAAGCCGGAAGTGGCGCTGTGGCTCAAGTGGTAGAGCGTTAGCCTTGAGCTGAAGAGCTGAGGGACAGCGCCCAGGCCCAGAGTTCAGGCCCCACGACCGGACCCAAAAAAAAAAAAAACAACAAAACTTAGAATGGTGATGCTTGAATGAAAGATTTAATTACTAGTTTTAATTACTTGGCTTCTGTGCAGTTACTTTTTTCTTTTTATCAATGTCAGTGTTTATTTCAATTGCATTTATGTATATAGTGCCTCTTGGTTATAACCATGCCTCTGCTACCCTCCTTTCTCCCCTTTCTGCATCCCAAACTATTCTTACCAAGTTTCCTTGTTCCATTTTCACACATTTTGATTGAGTCCACTGTTTGTCTTGTTACAGTTACTTTTAACAAAATTTTAATGGAAAATGTTTTTCCATTAATAAGTGAGTTTATGAAATTCTTGAACCAGCTCTTGAGGCCAGTTTTTCTGTACTTCCAAGATTTATTTTAGTTAATACCTTAACAGCAAACAACTTTTTTTTTTGGTCAGGGGTGGGGCTTGAACTCTGGACCTGGGCACTGTCCCTGAGCTCTTCAGCTCAAGACGAGTGCTCTACCACTTGAGCCACAGTGCCACTTCCAGAAAACAACTTTTATACACTGTGAATGGTTTCTATTTAGCTTAATATACTTCATTTTAAAAATTCTGTTTCTTGTTTTGTCTTTCTTAATCCAACAGAAGAGAACAACACATCAAGCTACTTAAGCAAAAATGTTCTGGCTTCCTGTGATCAGAACATTCTCTTGGGTACCACTTACAGGATCATGGCTGATGCTCTCAGCAAGGAGCCAGCCTGTCTTGCTGGCATGGAGGAGAGCAAGGCTAGACGGATCTTGGAGCTTTCTGGATCCAGTACAGCAAGTACAGAGCGGGTAATAGAAATGTTTCTTGTTTGTGTGCGGTATGTCCTTCATGAGCACATAGACTTCAGGCCACAGGAAAATGACAGTGATAGCAGCATGTTGTGTTTTAAAAATAAGTTTGACAGCCATGCACAGCCAAGTTTCTTTTGTTGAAAATTGATGTACTCCATCTGTTTCCTGTTTGTTTGAATGATACAAATGTTTCATGATTAAGACTGGGAACTTTGTGTTGTATTGATGTGGAGAGTCTTCCCTGGATTTCCTTAATGAAATTTTACCACTAGTCATCATTCAGACGTTCCTACTTGTCTGTGGGACAAAACAGCCTGTTTTTGTAGTTAGTGTTGTCTAGCTTAGCTTTTTTCAAATTGCGTGTGTTTTAATAGTAGCAACCTCCTCCTCATCTCACTGAGTCCTGCCACACTTCAGTGGTGAGGCTTTGTCTTCTCACATGCTGACATCAGCAGTGTCTGAAGACAGACAGTATAAGACACCATGTTCCTTCCTTATCATAAATCCCCAGTGGTACTGTAGTATCCTGCTGACCTGCCCTGGCTCTGTGTGGCTCATGGACTCTCTGGCTTTTTCTCTTTTGTTTGGCTGTCTGTTGTATGCTCAGGACTTTACTGGGAGATTATTCCTCCTCACAACCAGGACTGACTTCTTTTTCCTGATAACATAGCTTTTGGCATTAGTAGTTTATTTTGTGATGGAGTCTTGCTGTGTTGTGCAGGCTGGCCTGGAACTCAAGTGATCGCCTGTGTCAGTTGGCATGTTCGATGTTCCTTTGAAGTTACTGAATCCCATAGGTGGTGTGTATTCACAGGTGATCACTGGTCTGAACCAGAAAGCATTCTATCACCTCACCAAGGCTGTGCAGTCAGTGGAGGAGGAGGCCCAGCTGTCCTCCTGGGGCCATGGACCTGTGACTGGGATGACCAGCGCTTATATGATGCTGGCTGATTTCTGTGACCAGCAGCTCCGCAAAGTGGAAGAAAATGCATCCAGTGACTGTCAAAAGAAAAAATCAAGTTAGTGCTGCTATGTCAGTATAATGTCTGGGGGAAATTGTAGATGCTTTTAGTTTTCCATTTGTATTCCAATGACAGCTTTCTTGAAAGAAGTCTATTGTCTTTTTTGAAGTCAATATCATCTCCAGGCACCATGGCCTGCCTTTAAAGAGTCAAGTTGTCTTCTGTATATCCCTTTGATTTACTTTGGTTTATTTATTTACTTTTGACGTTGCTGGGATTTGAACGCAGAACCTTGTGAATAGTAAGTAAGTGCACCTCCCAAGCCCAAGGTGTTTTGAGATAGGGTCCTACAGTGTAGCCTAGGCTAGTCTGGAGCCCAGGATCCTGTGTTTTCATGTCCCAAGTGCTGGGATTATAGGTATCTGCACACTCCACTCATTTGCTTTATTTCTACTGTGTGTTTGTGTGTATGAGTTGGTACTGGGGCTTTTGCTTTAGGACCTTCCTTATAAGCTTGTTTTTTTTGTTTTTTTGTTTTTGCTGATGGCTCATGCTCTACTGCTAGAGCCACACATACATTCTAGCATTTCTTTTCTTTTTCTGGTTAATTGGAGATAAAAGTCTCATGGGCTTTTCTGTCTAAGCTGACTTAGAACCTCTATCTTCAGTTCTCAGCCTCTTGAGCTAAGATTTTAGGCATGAGACAAAGGTGCCCAACTTCCTCATATTTTTGTTTACAGTATTGATTCATATAGCTTGCCTTTTGTTCTGGGAATAAATTTAGTAATTAGCAGCTGACCATTATGCATATTGTGGTTCATGAAGAGTGTATACTCTAAAAGAAAAATTCAGCTTTCAGATACAAACACAAAAATGTATATGATGTTTGTTGATTAAAAGTAGTTGTTCAGGGCTGGGAAGGTAGTGATAGAGTGCTTGCCTAGCATGCATGAAGCCCTAGGTTTGATTCTTCAGTACCACATAAACAGAAAAAGCTGGAAGTGGTGCTGTGGCTCAAGTGGTATAGTGCTAGCCTGGAGCAAAAGAAGCTCAGGGACATGCCCAGTTCAAGCTCCAAGACTGGCAAAAGGAAGGAAGGAAGGAAGGAAGGAAGGAAGGGAGGGAGGGAGGGAGGGAGGGAGGGAAAGGAAAAAAAAGAGAAGGAAAGAAAAGTAATTGTTCAAAAAGAGGGCATTACAACTGGGCTACCTATAATCCTAGCTACACTAGTGACTGAGATCTGAGGATCAAGGGTCAAGCCAGCCTGACAGTCAAATCTGAAAGACTCTTATCTCCAATTAACTAAAAAAAAAAAAAGCAGGAAGTAGAGCTGTGGCTACAGTACTAGCCTTGAGCAAAAAAGTTAAGGGCAAGTGTGAGGCTCCTGAGTTCAAGTCCTAGTACTGGCACAAAAGAAAAAAGAACAATAGCATGATAAAAATAGCCAAAAGGGAAAATTGTTATCATTTGTCTTGTTGATAGCCTGTAAGTGGATGTGTTGATCATTGTTTTCCTATTTCTGTCCTTCAAAGTTACAGATTCTGTAGAACTGGAGACTTATCCAGCACTTGTGGTGGAGAAAATGTTGAGAGCTTTAAAATTAAATTCCACTGAAGCCAGACTCAAGTTTCCTAGATTACTTCAGATCATAGAACTGTATCCAGAGGAGACCTTGAGCCTAATGACAAAAGAGGTTGGTAACCTAGTGAATTTCCAGAACTTAATAAAGACACTCACATTAATGGCTCAAGTAGTAGTAGGGCACCTGTATGGCAATTGCAAAGCCCTAGATTCAAATCCCAGTACCACCAAAACAAATTCAAAACAAATAAAAAGAACACATTAGTTAGTGCCTTGCACATGCTGCAGCTTTTTCCAGACAGCATTTAATTCCGCTACATTTTAATAACAGAGAAAGTGTGTGTTTGCAATTACTCATTTTTCTCTGTCGATATTTGTAACAATGCTACATCTGAACAAGTGCCCGAAGACATCAAGGACCCAAAAAGTTGTGTCTGGGGCAGAGACAAGCTGTTTATTGCAAGTATAGCCCACACGAATGAAGTTGCTGTCTGTAACATCTGCTGATGCCTTGTGTTCAGTTGTTACTTGGCTAAGGGAGATGACTAAGATTGTTTGCACCCCACCTCCCACTGAGGCTAGTACTTGTTGATGGCACCATGCCCGCAGGACCTGAGTGAGGTGTTTGTGTGTGTGTGCACAGAGCAGCTTGCACCTCTGCCCGAGTTGCTCCTCAGCCTCGCTGGGACTGTACCTACTGGCTGGGCTCCTGTCCTGTGGGCACTGTCTGTGTGGGGAAGACTGTACCTGCGAAAGTGCAAAGCTGTTGCTTTGGAGATTTTACAGAAAGATCTATCTTAGATTGATCTTTGGTCTGTCTTAGAAAATAGGACCAAGTTGTGATTTGAAAATATAAGTTCAGAAAGGTTTGACTGGCACACCATTAAGTTTTATGTTATTTATTTATTTTCTGTGTTTTTCTTAGCATTGGAAATTGAACCCAGAGCCTTGCCCATAGGCTCGACTCCCTGACCCATATCCTAGGCCTTTCTTTTATTTTTATTTTGTTTTTATGATAGAGTGAGTCTGCCTGGGCTAGCCTTGAACTCATGATCCTCCTACCTCTGGCTCCCAAGTAGCTGGGATTACAAGTGTAAGCCACCACTCCTGCTGTGTTGCAAGTTCTTAAACAGTACTATCTCTGAGCTGTGCATCTGGTATGGTTATCAGGGCTCTAACTGTACTTTTCACTTCCTATGGATTTCCATTAGTAGGCTTTGCCGACAGATCTTAAACAGGACAGTAAAGTAAATTCAGAAATGCCAACTATGCGTTTTTCTTTTTCTTTTGGCCACTTCTGGGGCTTGAACTTCTGGCCTGAATGCTGTCCGGAAGTTTTTTTGCTAAGGCTAGTGATACCACTTGAGCCACACCTCTACTTCCGGTTTTTTGGTGATTATTTGGAGACAAGAGTCTCAGAGACTTTCCTGCCTGGGCTGGCTTTGAATCACAATCCTTAGATCTCAGCCTTTGGAGTGACTGGGATTATAGGCATGAGCTCCCTAAGTTCTTTTTGCTCAAGGCTAGCACTCTGACACTTGAATCACAGCTCACAGAGGTTAATTGGAGATAAGAGTCTCCTGAACTTTCCTGCCCGATCTTTGAACCTTGATCCTCAGATCTAAACCTCCTGAGTAGATAGGATTACAGGCATGAGCCACCAGCTCATGGCTATGTGTTTTTCTTAAAGATAAGTGAGGAGGTAATTAGGTAACGTTTATGGGCTTGATTTTTTTTCCTAATGTTTTATTTATATATGGAAAAATTCATTTTGAATTTGTGTTTTACACACCTTTACTCCTATCACAGGGGAGGTCTGGGCTAAATAGCAAGGCCCTCTCTCCGAAAACTGAATGAATGAATAGCTGACGTAGTTACTCAAACGTTATTTAGTGTTGTTATGACAGACACCTTGTGGTCTAACTCCTGCTGTCTTCACACATGCTGCCCTGTCCTCAGTTAACTAGGTACAGCTAGGAAGCTCCTTATGCTAGCATTGCAAAATATATCAGGGTTTGCCTTGAAAATAGCTCCTTTAAAAAATTAGAGGGAAACATGCATACATTTTCAAATGACTACTAAGTTTAGAGACAAAGGCCAGAAGCTATTAAATGGAAGACATTTCTCTTTATTTAATTTTAAATTTTATTATAAAGGTGATGTGCAGAGGGGTTACAGTTACCTGATTCAGGTAATGAGTACATTTCCTTTTGAACGGTGTTACCCCCTCCCTCATTCTTTCCCACTTTTTCTCCTTCCAACTTCCCTCCCACCACAGTTGTATAGTTCATTTACAACATAGTATCCAGTGGATTTCCCTGCTGAATTGGTTCACCTTTTGTCTCATCATTTCTGTGCTTCCTCTTCCCCTCCCTAAATCAGATACACTTTTAGACCAGACAAAGGGTATAGAAAGCAAAAGCAACAGACAGTAGGGAATAAACCAAAGAAAAAAGGAAAGAAGAAAAGAAAAAAAAAACTGCAAACCTCTTATTTCCATCCATCTCTTTGAGTTCTAGATGGAAGATATTTCGATATATATTATACCTAAAAGATCTGCCAAATGCCATAGGTACAATTTAAGAGAACACTAAGAAAAATAGATGAAACACAGAAAACTAACATCTGCATCTTCTGAAATAAATGGTTACAAAAGACCGGTAGAAAATAGCTAACAGAAAGGTATATATCTCTGGGATATATACCTGTACCCAGCTCTGTATGAGGTAGAAATGAGAAGATTACAATTTGAGGGTAACTCAGACAAAAAGACAGTAAGATCTTACCACAGTAAACGAGCTCATTGTGGTGGTTCACACCTTCAATCTTTCATCATAGCTAGGTAGGAGGTGGAGGTAAGAGGATGGTGGTTCATTGCCAGGCTCAGGCAAAAATACAAGACCACAACTGAAAAGTAAAGTAAAAATAAAAGTGAGCTGCTGTTATAGAGTGAAATAGCTGGGTGCTGGTGGCTCACGCCTATAATCTTAACTATCCAGAAAGCTGAGATTTGAGGATCATGGTTCAAAGCTGGCCCTAGCAGAAAAATCCCTGTGAGACTATTATCTCCAGTGAACCACCAGAAAACTGGAAGTGGCACTGTGGCTCAAAGTGGTAGAGTGCTAGCCTTGAGCAAAAGAGCTCAGGGACAGTGCCCAGGCCCCACGACCAACCAAAAAAAAAAAAAAAAGTGTGCTAAAGCTATGAAAAGCAGCAATATGTCAAGGCTGAATTCATTCTGGAAAACAAAGACTATGTGTTCTCTTGCACAGGAAATGTCTGGAAGAATACAGCAGTCACTTAATTGAAAGAAATCCAAGGAATACGAAATTTTATTTTGTATGCATGATGTTTTGGACAGATTTTTAAGTATTTTGTTTATTATTAAATTTCAACTATCTGTGTTTTAGATGTCTTGCATTCCTTGCTGGCAGTTCATTGGCTGGATCAGCCACATGGTGGCGCTACTGGACAAAGAGGAAGCTGTGGCAGTGCAGCCCACTGTGGAAGAGATTGCCAATCACTACCCACAAGCAATCGTCTATCCTTTCATAATAAGCAGTGAAAACTATTCCTTTAAAGATACTTCTGCCAGTCATAAGAATAAGGAGTTTGTGGCAAGGTGACATTATAGAATATTGAGTTAATTGCATAGTACAGAGTATAAAAAGGGTGTATGGTAAAAGCAAACACACAGAAACAAGTAGCTTTGAACTTTGTGTGAAGCAGAACACTTTAGACATCTATTGGATCTATCTTCTCATCTCAGTGATCCTATGATCATGATCATGATCTTAGATAATCTGTTGAGTCAAGCAGAGTAAATGAGATACATATACGTGAGTGATTATATGTAGTTGTACAATAGTTATTATAGGTATATATTATATCTATCTATATATATATATGCCTTGATCTTTGAAGATCTTTGATTACCTAAACTTGTCAAATTTTTTATAGGATCAAAAGTAAGTTAGATCAAGGAGGAGTGATTCAAGATTTCATTAATGCCTTAGAACAGCTCTCCAATCCTGATCTTCTCTTTAAGGTAGGAGAACATGTTTTGACACATAAAAACAGACTTGCAGCTTGACTTGATTCTTAGTCTTTTCTTTCCCTCTTTCTCTTCTTTTCACACAGGACTGGGTTGCTGATACAAAAGATGAATTAGGAAAAATTCCTGTAAATCAAAAAAACATTGAAAAACTTTATGAAAGAATGTATGCAACTTTGGGCAACCTGAAGTCCCCAGGCCTAGGCCCCTGTAGAAGGAGATTCATTCAGGTGAGGAAGAACACAACTGCTATGATTATACCACAGCCACTTGGAAGATCACTATTCATGTTTGGTGGCTTGCTGACGGACAGTTCTGGCTTTAGAATGCCCGTTGAATTTATGAACTTGCTTTACATCTTTCTGATGCCTTCTGCAAGGTGCTGATAGAACATGTTTAGTTTGGATGGTGGTGGATAGGTATACAGACTTCTAACTTGCTCATTCTGAGATCGGAAGGTTATGTAGCTTAATATACCTTAGATGATTTGGATATTCGATTAAGAAAATATTTTGTTCTTAGTTGAGTTGATTAATAGTCCCAAGCAGCACTGTTAACACAGGAGTAGGTGCTTGTAGATACAAAGACAGACTTAGTTTCTAAGGTCAGGGATTATGTGACAACTACTTATAAAAATCTGCTCACAGAACAGTGCGATAAAGGATATATATTTTCAAAATTATTTTAGAGCCGGGCACTGGTGGCTCATACCAGTAATCCTAGCTACTCAGGAGGCTGAGATCTGAGGATTACGGTTCAAAACCAGCCAGGCAGAAGAATCTGTGAGACTCTTGTCTCCAATTAACCACTCAGAAAACCAGAAGTGGCACTGTGGCTCAAGTGGTAGAGCACTTGCCTTGGGCTGAAGAGCGCAGGGACAGCGCCCAGGCCCAGAGTTCAAGCCCTGTGACTGACCAAAAAAAAAAAAAAATTCTAGAGTTTGAAGGAAAGCCATTGTGTTTGGAGGGAGTCCTGGGACAAGTGGAGCTTGCAGTGGGCTTGATGTGATTCCTCGCCTGCATAGGCACATATAGGCACTGTCTCCAGCATGCTTTCCTCCTTACTGCCTTCCCTGACCTTCCTCCTTCCGGTGGTCCAAAACATTTCACCATTCATTTACACTGACTTGTTTCCCCCAGTCCTTGTCAAGCTAACATTTATTCATGAAACATGAAGAGAGGCTGGGAAGGTGGCTCAGTGGTAGAGCGCTTGCCTCACATGCATGAGGCCCTGGGTTCGATTCCTCAGCACCACATAAGCAGAAAAAGCCAGAAGTGGTGCTGTGGCTCAAGGGGTAGAGCACTAGCCTTGAGCTGAAGAGCTGAGAGACAGCGCCCAGGCCCAGAGTTCAGGCCCTACGACCGACCCCCCCCCCCCCCCCCAAAAAAAAATGAAGAAAGTTAAGGACATAAAGGAGAAGTCCTGGCACTCAGGTTGGCAGTGTTGTCCAGCCCACCATCTTCAAGACAAAAGAGGATCTTCATACATTGTGGTTTTTTGTAAATAACTGCTTTGTAAGTAACTCAGGCCCTGAGATCAAGACTTAGTAGCAATGTGCCTGGGCTGGGCACTGTCCCCGAGCATTTGTGCTCAAGGTTAGCACTCTACTACTGGAGCTACGGCTTCACTTCCAGTGTTTTGATGGTTAATTGGAGATGAGTCATGGACTTTCTTGCCCTGGCTGGCTTCAAACTGTGATTCTCAGGTCTCAGCTTCATGAGTAGTTTGGATTATAGGCCTGAGCCACTGGCATCTGGTTGAATGGGATAATTTTGATAAGTAGAGATTTCTTTGGGTGGGTCATTGGGTGTAGTTTGAGTTAAAGACGTGAATGCAGGAACAATCAGGACTACTTAGGACCTCATGTGACTGGGTAGACATCTTTTTTTTTTTTTTTTGCCAGTCTCAGAGCTTCTTTTTGCTCAATGCTAGCACTCTACCATTTGAGCCACAGCCCCACTTCCAGCCTTTTTTGTTTATGTGGTACTGAGGAATCAAACCAAGGGTCTTGTGCATTCTAGGCAAGCATTCTACCACTAAGCCACATAAGCCTCTACATAGACATTTAAAAAGTACAGATAATACCACACAAACTGTGTAGTTTACTTCACATCCTGTTGTGTGCTATAAGTCCTTGAATAGACAGCAGGAGTTGTAATTACATGAGGTACTAGTTTGAATTTAAAACTAATGGGGTTTAGAAATGATAAAACTGTTACAAATTTTCAAAATACCGTTATTAAAACTGTGCCTGGATTTAGTTTTTGCTAGAGCAGTGGCCCACACAGTTTCTCATTTAAACACTTGCGTTTTCAGCTCTGCAGGTCATGTGAGTCTGTTTCCAGAACTTGCATCTGTGGTCTCTGTGGGACAGCAGCTCTAGACAGTGCTGTGGCGGGTTGGCCTGCCTGGCAGCATCCAGCCAAACCCCATATATAAAAAGCAGGCAGTGGGCTGGATGTGGCTTGTGGATCAGGCTGTCAGAACCTTGCTGTAAAGCCAAGCTAGAGCTGCCTTGCCCAGTGCAGATAAGAACCAGGAGTGGGAACTGGATGTGGCTTCTCACAGCACAGGACCTGGCTTTGTTTATGTAAGGGTTTCATTTCAATAGCAGCTTTTTCCTACCCTTTGGTGGCTCGTACCTCTATGAGACTTAAAATAGCCTTACTTGGAAAAAGTGCACTCAGTAAAAACTGCAGAAATTCCCTTTGAGTTCACAGCCACTCTTTTCCTGCTTTCTGGGCATTGGAAGACTCTGCTCTAAAAAGCTGTCCATATACACTGACTACTATTCTTCCCTTGTCTGGAAAGCAATTCACTATCAGAAAATGTTCACCACTCCAATTGGGGAATGAAATCTTTTGGGACTTAATTTCCAGTACTATGTTTACTATGGAAGAGTCCAGAAATTTGTACATTGTATGAGCTCAACAAACAATTTTAATTAATTAATTTATATAATAACTACCAAAATAAATTGCCTAAATTTTCACTGTAGAAGATTCTTAAGATATTGTGTCTTTCAATACTGTCATTTACTGGTTACATTAGGAAAATAACAAATCTTTCCATGTATTGTAAAAATTACAGAATATTTTTTGTTTTGTTTTTGTCGGTTGTGGGGCTTGAACTCTGGACTTGGGCCCTGTCCCTGCACTCTTCAGCTCAAGATGAGAGCTCTACCGCTTGAGCCACTACACCACTTCCAGTTTTCTTGTGGTTTATTGGAGATAAGAGTCTCATGGACTTTCATGCCTGGGCTGGCTTTGAACTATGATCCTCAGATTTCAGTCTCCTGAGTAGCTAGGATTATAGACGTGAGCCACCGATGCCCAGCAGAATGTTTTCTATACTTCTAATGGACTGTACTGGTAACTTTTGTATGTACGTCATGTTGGGAATAGAAACCAAGGCCTTAGGCATTCTAAGGCAAATTTTCAATTTTTTTGGTAGTGGACTTATCTTAAAGCATGTCTTTCATTTATAACAGGTTTATGTTGTAGAATTAGTTCTAGACTAGATAAAGACTTTTTTTTTTTGGTGGGGAGGGAGAAGTTTAAGTACTAGGGCTTGAGCTTAGGGCCTGGACACTGTCCCTTAGCTTTTTTTGCTCTACGAGCTACAGCTCTGGTTTCAGGTTTTTAGTGATTAATTGGAGGTTGTTAGTGGTTAATTGGAGTCTCTTAGACTTTCTGAGTGGGCTAGCTTCATGCCTTAAACCTTAGATCTCATTTCTGAAAAGCTAGGATTACACTAGTGCCCAGCCAAAAAGTTTTAAAATTAATGCTGTTCAGGTATATCTTGATAGCTATTAAGTACTTTAAAAAATCTTGATATTGCCAGGCACCTGTGGCTAACGCCTATAATCCTAGCTACTCAGGAGGCTGAGATCTGAGGATTGCAGTTCACAGCCAGCCCAAGTAGGAAAGTCTGTGAAACTCTTACCTCCAATAAACCACCAGAAAACTGGAATTAGTGCTGTGGCTCAAGTGGTAGAGCACTAGTCTTGAGCCTAAAAGCTGAGGAACAGTGCCCAAGGCCAGAGTTCAAGCCCCACGAGTAACCAAAAAAAAAAAAAAATCTCGATATCAAGATTATTTAAGTATAATACAAAGAAAAAATTTATGCATTCCAAGATATACTGCTTCTAATAATTGCTTTTATAATTATAGATTTTCTAAATAATATTTATTTATGATTCAAACTAGTGTTTTGATTCAAACTAATGTTTACAAAGACCTGGTCTAAGGACAGTAGCGTTTTTATATTCTTCATAGGAAAAATGTGAGCTATTAATTTGTATTGAATTACTTTCTTTATTTTGCTTTTAACTTTGCTCCTAGTTATTCATGTTATCTGTAGATAGAACTAGACAAGAGGCAGAAATAGGTTTTTTAAGTTATTATTATAACTATCAATCATTCTAACTATAATCTTTTTTAAAGGAAAACATGTCATTAAACAAAAGATTTGTTACGAGTATTGAAATATTAAGGAAAGTGAAACTATAATCAAAAAGAAAAAATATGTATAATTGGGTACTTATATATATAGGAAAGTTCATAAAATTAGAAGCTTTTCCAAAGTTCCGACTGAACATTAATCCTTATAGTAATTATTGTGAATTTCAGGCCTTTGGGAAAGAATTTGATAAACACTTTGGGAACAAAGGTTCTAAGCTCTCTAGAATGAAGCTCTGTGACTTCAGTGTCATTACTGACTCACTGCTTACAAAAATGAGGAAAGACTCAAAGCCACCTGGAAATCTGAAAGAATATTCACCATGGATGAGTGAGTTCAAAGTGGAGTTTCTGAGAAACGAGCTGGAGATTCCTGGTAGGTTTACCACCAGTATGACAAAACCGAATTCTAAGGATAGCATGTATAATATCCGAGAACACTTTGCTTCTAAATAGTGATGCTGAGATCATGTTAGTTACCTTTGAAAAAATTAATATACTTTTCATTTTTAGGAAAGTACATAATTACTGTGAGATAGTACACTTCTCCAAATGGCTATGGCAATGAGAATTATTTTATATCCCCGATTATGGTTGAGATTTTTATTTAATAAAATAGTCACCCAGACCCATAGGTTTCTTCCAGGCATGTCCTGCTTTGCTCCTTTTTCTTCTGAAATAAGCAGAGGACAAAATCAAGTCACCTCTTTAGGTATCAGCTGGCCCCCTTTAAAGAGACTAGTTGGTGATTAAATGACCCACCTGCAGGAAATGGACCGTGGGGTGACAAGGGGGACAGAGTCACATAGCAGGTTGGCCAGATGGGAATAAGGTATAATTATTTTCAGGAGAAATATGTATATTCTATTTTCTTTGCCTTGGAATTTTCCAAAGGTGGGGAAAAGTATTAATCTGGCTCATTCTAGCAAATACATGAAAACGTATGTTTTTATTGACAAGTATGCAGCTACTTTGTATTTTTTTCAAGGAAAACATTCATCTATAACTTTCCTAATGTGTAGCCTGTTCCTTCTTGAGATAATACAGTGTTCTAGGTCAGGGTGTGATGTATTTTTTTTTATTTTTTTTATTGTGAAAATACTGTACAGAGGGGTTACAATTACATGGGCAAAATAATGAGTACATTTCTTATCAAGCATTGCAGCCTCCTCCTTTGTTTCCCCTTCCTATCCTATCCTACCCCCTGCCCCCCCAACCCTCCCCTCCTACCAAAGTTGTAAAGTTCGTTTTCGACATAACAACTTGTACATCTCATTGTTACAGTGGGTCCACCTGTATCCCTATTTAAACGATTTGTTTTTTTCCCTTTCCCTCCACAAATTATAACAACATCAAATACAGTGAAAGCAGGCTTTATACCGTGGGGGAGGGACATACAAAGGAACAAAGAAATAATCTTATAAATGTGTTAGAAACAATCACATGAAAGAAAAAAAACATTTGAATACATATCTTAGGGTTCATTTAGGGTGTTATATTTTTTGTTAGAAATTTGTCTAACTGGGCTGGGAAGGTGGCTCAGTGGTAGAACGCTTGCCTTGCATGCATGAGGCCCTGGGTTCGATTTCTCAGCACCACATAAGCAAAAAGAAAAAAGCCGGAAGTGGCGCTGTGGCTCAAGTGGCAGAGTGCTAGCCTTGAGCTGAAGAGCTGAGGGATAGTGCCCAGGCCCAGAGTACAGGCCCCACAACCGGACCCAAAAAAAAAAAGAAATTTGTCTAACTAGAATAGGAAACTATCTTCCATTAATTGGCTAAATTGACATAGCACTAAAAAGTAAGTACATTTTCTTTAAATGAATGCTTCAAGTCATAAATTGATCATGTCCAAAGAACATTTTTAGTAAATCAATAGGTAACTTTAAAACATGCAGACTCTGTACTAGTATATACCTAAGCAAGGCTTTGTGGTTTACTTTAGGTCAATATGATGGCAAGGGAAAGCCACTGCCTGAATACCATGTACGGATCTCTGGGTTTGATGAACGGGTAGGTATGAGGGTCTGTGACCACTCTCGTTGTGGTGATGACTGTCAATGTTAATGTGAGAGTGTTGTGTTTGTCTCTATTAAGTAAAGGAACGGGTAATTTCCCATGCGGATCTCAGATTTTATGGCATCTTCCTACTCTACTATTGACTAAATTTCTTTCTATAATGTTGCCAGTATGTCAATGTCAATCATGTTTAAGGTATATAGTAAACTCACATGGTAAGTTCCATGTATCCATTATAAGGAACAAGGGAACAAGCCCCAAACAAACTGAGTGTTCTTACAAATGTTGAGAGATAGTGTATCTTAAAAATGAGTTTCTAAGTTTTCACTGTCCAGAGATTTCCATAAAGTGAGACCATTTCTTTTTTTGTTTTCTTTTTCTTTTTTTTTTTGAAAAGGCAACAGCAGGGGCTGGGGATGTGGTTTAGTGGTAGAGTGCTTGCTTAGCATGCATGAAGGCTTGGGTTCCATTCCTCAGTACCACATAAACAGAAAAGGCCAGAAATGGTGCTGTGGCTCAAGTGGTAGAGTGCTAGCCTTGACCAAAAGAAGCTCAGGGACAGTGCCCAGGCTGAGTGCAAGCCTCATGACTGGCAAAAAAAAACAAACCAAAAAACATAAATAGTTTCTTAACTTTTGAAGGTAAAAGTAATGGCTTCCTTGAGAAAACCGAAGCGCATCATCATCCGAGGCCATGATGAAAAGGAGTACCCTTTCCTTGTGAAGGGAGGGGAGGACCTCCGGCAGGACCAGCGCATCGAGCAGCTCTTCCAGGTCATGAATGTCATCCTCTCCCAGGATGCTGCTTGCAGTCAAAGAAACATGCAGTTAAAGACGTACCATGTTGTACCCATGACTTCCAGGTGCGGCCCCAGTGGATGTGTATATGTGGAGACAGAGGAAAGAGAGGAGGCAGAGATGGATAGAGGGAGGGGGTTGGGGAAAGTAGGATGGGGAGAGGGAGAAGGAAGGAAAGAGAGAGAGAGAGAGAGAGAGAGAGAGAGAGAGAGAGAGAGAGAGAACCAGGAATATGAAGAACCCTGCGCCTGGTCCTGCGGGACTGTTCTGTCCTGAGGTGGGTTTGGCATGTAGGAACGTCAGTGCCTTAGCTCTTACACGTGCGAGTGCAGGCTGGATGTAACAGTCTGAGACAGTGGGATCTGCACAAGGAAGCTGTGAAGAATGAATAGGGAGAAATCTATTTTGTTTTCAGTCTCCATAACATTTTTTCTAGTGAAGAAAGAGCAACTGGGTTTGCACTTATTGATCAATTTTATTTTCCTTTACAGATTAGGAGTAATTGAATGGATTGAAAATACTCTGACCTTGAAGGAACTTCTTCTGAATAACATGTCCCAAGAGGAAAAAGCCGCTTACATGAGGTACTGTGACACTGACTGCTGCCCTCCTTCTTGCTCCACCCACATCTCATTGGTGCCTCTGGTCCGCTGGCTTGCGGTACTGTTCTCAACTACCATTTCCATTCATGTGACAGGACCACTTGTGATTGTGCCTTCAGAACCGCATCCTGGCCTGTACTTCATTTGCCTCTGGTGGGGCAAACAAAATGAACGGATACTAAAACAGAGAATTAGAATCATTTCATGGTACTAAACACTAAATACTAATTGTATATGTTGTACAATTTTTTACAGTATTAATTTATTTAGGGGAAAAGAAAATAAAATAACCAAATAACAAGATCATTAATTAATATGTAATTGATTCCTGGGTTCTATATTGTAGTTTCAGTTCCCAATGCATGAACTCATTTATTTCTCATGGCATTTATTTCTCATTGGCATTTTGTACTGACATGGAGGCTAAGGTCCAGAAAAGCTCAGTAACTCATTACTCAGGACTCTCAGCAGCAATACTGGGATTATTAGTGATTTCAAATACACCATAGTATGAATACTTTTTAATGTTCTCTGTCCTTCTCTCCATTTTTCATGTTTTCTAAAATGAACACATATTTTAAGCAGAAGTGTTGTATTTTTATTTGCTCTGTGCTTCCATAAATGAAAATAATAAAAACATCATGGAAGACATGTTGCCAGTCAACACTTGACTAGCTTGGTGACAAGCTGTAGAATGAAGGAAGAGGATATGGCTCAAAGTCATGGCAAGACCTAGTTGTCTTTATTATGCTCCTTGGCTTTCTGGAAGTACTCAAATAGTTGCAGTATTTGCCTTAGTCAGGAACAGTTTCCATACATGTAAGCATATTCTCTCATCCAACCCACATTCTCAGGTAATAGTAAATAGAGCAACATTTGCTGATTTCTTTCTTTTTTTCCCTACAGTGCAGAAAATAGGATCCTTTTTTGTTTTTTGAGAGTGTCACTGTGTAGCCCAGTCTGGCGTTGAACTCATGATCTTCCTCTCTCAGTCTCCCAATTGCTGGGATTATAGATATGCATTATCACACGTTACTTCCACCATCTCCTAATTCTGCACACCTAAGTCTTATCCCAGAGTTACTTCTCCTCTCTCTGGAAGACAGAGAAGCTTATGGATACAGATTCCCAGTATCAATTCCAGGTCTTTGTTTGTCACTGGGATTTTTGCACAGGATGGGAGTCGAACTTGGAACCTACCCTTTCCCCACTCCCAAGCCTCATTTTGTGATGTAGTCATGTGAAACCAAATGTTGTGGGAAGTTGGAGATAAACATGATTACCAGTGGAGTTGAAAGTGCTTTTCCAATACAGAATGGCACAAAGTACTTGGATTACCTTTTAAAACCAATTGCTTCCAGCCTCCCATTATTAAAGTTGGAAGTATTAAAAACATAATAATTTAGGGGCTGGGAAGGTGGCTCAGTAGTAGAGCGCTTGCCTTGCATACATGAGGCCCTGGGTTCGATTCCTCAGCACCACATAAGCAAAAAGAAAAAAAGCCAGAAGTGGCGCTGTGGCTTAAGTAATAGAGCACTAGTCTACAGCTGAAATGCTGAGGGACAGCGCCCAGGCCCAGAGTTCAGGCCCCACGACCAAGAAAAAATAATAATTTAGCATGTTGTAGTTTTGCAGCCTAATGATTTCCATTTCTGTTACAACTAGGAGAAAGCTGAATGCAGTGGCTTTTGCCTACCAGATCTCTGCTACCTGGGAAGCTGAAAGAGGAAAAATCATTTGAGTTTGTTGCTCAGGTTCAGCACCATGAGGAGACTCTTGTCTCCAAAACAAGGCTGGGTGCTGGGTGCTGGTGGCTTAAGCCTGTAATCCTGGTGTTGGGTATGCCTCAGGATGTTGGAGTGTTGCCATGTGCTAGTATGCACACTGAGCATGGGCTTTTATCTCTAATGCGGCGGGCCCTGCCCCTCAGCTTAGATTGACTGAGCTCAGGTTCATAATCTGCTTGCCACTGGCCAGTTTGGAGGACAATTTTTGTTGTTGTTGTTGTTGGTCATGGGGCTGAGCTCAGAGCCTGGCCCACTGTTCCTGAGCACTTATGCTGAAGACTAGTATTCACTTTGAGCCACAGCTTCACTCCCAGTTTTCTGGTGGTTAATTGGAGATCAGAGTCTCATGGACTTTACTGCCCCAGCTGGCTTTGAGCACAGTCCTCAGATCTCAGCCTCCTAAGTATCAAAGATTGCAGGTGTGAGCTACCAATGCCCAGCAAAATAATCATCATAATAATTATTATAACAGGGTGTGGCTTAATAGGAACAGGATATCTTAATTAACAAGAACAGGAATGTAACTAAAATATTCAATGAGCTTATAACAGGATTTCTTAATTACAATGTAACAATAATAAGACATAACAAGGCCAAACCAGCTGGCCAGAAAACATACTTTGATAGAAAAAGTTTTTCTCTCACTAGCTCTTCTGGAGGCTGAGGATTATGGTTTGAAGCCAGCCCAGGCAAGAAAGTCTATGAGACTCTTAACTTTAGTTAACCACTACAAAAAACTAGAAGTTTAACTGTGGCTCACATAGTTAAGTGCCACTTTGTTAGAGAAAGCTAAGGGACAGTAAGTACTCAGGTTCTGAATTCAAGCCCTAGTATCAACACACACACACACACACACACACACACACACACACACACACACACACACACACACACACACACACACACACACACACACACACACACACACACACACACACACACACACACACACACACACACACACAGAGATGTAGTTCAGTGGTGGAGTTCTTGCATGACAAATGAACATGAGACCCTGAGTTAGATCTCCAGCTCTGCAAAAAAAATCAAAACAATAAAAACAACAACAAAAATCCTAAGAGGAAAGAATTAATATTAAAAGGGAATAGTTGGTGAAGTTAACTTAATAATACTCAGAAACCAGTTACCGAAATTGTTGAACTGCTCAGCCATGTATTGTGAATTTATCCTATCTCTAGGTTTTTAGTTTTGTTATTGCTGCGCATGCTGCTATTTTTATGAGACAAAGTCTCTATGAAGCCCGGTCTGGCCTCAAACTCAGAATTCTTTTTTTTTTTAATTTAATTTTATTTGTGAACATACTGTACAGAGGAGTTACAGTTACATGGGCAGGATAATGCGTACATTTCTTACCAAGCATTGCAGCCTCCTCCTTTGTTTACCCTTCACATCCCTTCCCAGCCTCCCCCCTCCCCCCCTAATCCCAATCCTTCTCCTTCCCCCCCTTCCCCCCCCCCCCCCTGCACCAACGTTGTAAAGCTTGTTTTGGACATGACAACTTGTACTTCTCATTGTTGCAACAGGTCCACCTGTATCCTTAAACAACTGGTTTTTCCCCATCTCCTCCACAAGTTATACTGACATCAAATATAGTGAAAGCAGGGGTTATACTGTGGGGGAGGGACATACAAAGCAACAAAGAGATAATCTTATAAATGTGTTAGAAACACATGCATGAAAGAAAAAAACATTAAAATACACATCTAAGGGTTCATTTTCCTGACATCACATTATCTGACCTTTTCCGCTTGACTCATACCTATACTAGATATTGCAAATAAGGGAAACCATGGGACCTACGTTTCTTTGGGACTGGCTTACTTCACTTAATATAATATTTTCCAAGTTTTTCCATTTCCTAAGAAATGGGGCAATGTCATTCTTTCTGATGGAGGCATAGAATTCCATTGTGTATATATACCACATTTTCTTGATCCATTCATCTACTGAGGGGCATCTGGGTTGGTTCCATATCTTAGCTATGGTAAATAATGCTGCAATAAACATAGTTGTGCTGGTAGCTTTAGTGTGGTCTTGTTTGTAAACATTTGGGTAAATGCCCAAAAGTGGGATTGCTGGGTCATAGGGGAGCTCTATGTGAAGTCTTTTGAGGAACCTCCATACTGCTTTCCAAAGTGGTTGAACAAGTTTAAAACTCAGAATTCTTTATGTGGGCCACCATACTTCTTTCTTTTTTAAACTTGTTAAGGCTTTTAGACACAAACTAAAAGGTAACCAAACATACAAATATTGTATTCAACAACCCAGAAAAGGTGATCACTAATGGAAATAACTTTTCAAGTTCAAGTTCAAGTTAAGTATCCAGTACCCCTTTTAAAAAAATCCTTCAGGGCTGGGAAGATGGCTCAGTGGTAGAGTGCTTGCCTTGCATGCATGAGGCCCTGAGTTCGATTCCTTAGCACCACATAAGCAGAAAAAGCTGGAAGTGGTGCTGTGGCTCAAGTGGTAGAGTGTTAGCCTTGAGCTGAAGAGCTGATGGACAGTGCCCAGGCCCAGAGTTCAGGCCCCACGACCAGCAAAAAAAAAAACAAAAAACCTCCATTGTGAATTAGTTATGTATCTACATCCTACCTAGAAATGGTAGAGACATTTGTGGCAGTGGTCTAAGAACACAGAGACTGCATTTTCGGTGAGTGCAAGTTTTCGTTTTTAGTCTAATGTGGCCTAACCTCCACTGCCTGCTCATGGTAGCTGTGTGTGGTGCTGTCAGCCTTGTCAGGGTATTTTTTAATATAAGAGTGCAGGGTTCAGACCTAGGTCACAGGAATTGGTTTTTAGTTTATCTTATTCTTCTGTGTATGAAATGGGAACTACATTGACAGTTTGTGTATGAGTTTTTACATAGGAAATTGCTTGGGTTAAGAATGAATAATGGCATATTAAAATTTTAGATCCAAAGTAGCATAGATTTGATGTTAATATTAAATATGATGGGGCTGGGAAGGTGGCTCAGTGGTAGAGCACTTGCCTTGCATGCAGGAGGCCCTGGGTTCGATTCCTCAGCACTACAGAAGCAGAAAAAGCCAGAAGTGGCGCTGTGGCTCAAGTGGTAGAGCGCTAGCCTTGAACTGAAGAGCTCAGGAACAGCACCCAAGCCCAGAGTTCAGGTCCTACGACTGACCAAAAAAAAAACAAACTTAAATATGATGACAAGTTGTATTTATTTTTCCTTGACTCTTCACTCTTTTTCAACAAATTCTTGGCGATTTTTACCTCAAAAAATTCATACAATGTTCAGTTTCTTTCTAATTCTGTGCCCCTTTTCTTGTTAGTGATCCCAAAGCACCAGTTTTTGAGTATAAAGATTGGCTGACAAAGATGTCAGGGAAACGTGATGTTGGAGCTTATATACAAATGTATAGGTAAGTTCTGCTTTGTTACGCGTTTGCATTATATAGTTCATTCTCAAAATTACATTACTATATACTTTGGATTCCTAGGAATTTTTGCCTCCAAGATCATTAAAATCTAGTTATTTGATAGTTGAGCTTTAGTAGAAACAAAGAGTTTTAAAATTGGAATTTCAAGCTGGGCTTGGTGGCACATGCCTGTGATCCCAGCCATATGTGAGGGACTAAGGAGGAGTATCACAAGACTGAAGTAGGCCCCAAGCAAAAATATGAGACCCTTTCCAAACGGGATGGAATGCACACACCTGCCTGGCAAGCGCAAGTCCTGACAATGCTTGTTTAAATTTCAAGTCTCTAGAAATTCATTCTAATGAGATGTTTTCCTGTTATTAAATCATAGGGGAGCTAATCGAACAGAAACAGTCATGGCCTTTAGAAAAAGGGAAAGTAAAGTGCCAGCTGATCTGTTAAAGTGAGTATATTTGTCCGTTCACAAATGTCCTGCAAGTAGTGGTGTGGGAAGGTGACATGTGGCTCTGTCTCTAGGAGGGCCTTCGTGAAGATGAGCACAGGCCCAGAGGCCTTCCTGGCGCTGCGCTCCCACTTCGCCAGCTCTCATGCACTGCTGTGTGTCAGCCACTGGCTCCTGGGGATTGGAGACAGACACCTGAATAACTTCATGGTGGCCATGGAGACAGGTGGTGTGATTGGAATAGACTTTGGACATGCATTTGGATCAGCTACACAGGTATGTTGGCCTTAACTCTCATTGTTAGTTTACAATTGTCACATGATACCCTCCAGAAATGGATAGTTTTAAATAAAATCACTGGTTAGGCTGGTTTCTGTCATGGTCATTAAATTTGATGTTCTAAAAGGAAGAAAAAATAATCTCAGCCTCATTTTGGACTTGTTTAGACAATAATGTGAGAGGTAATAAACTGTGTAATTGGAGCCCGGAAGAAAAATAAAAGGACTTCACAGCAGGTTCATAAAGACGCATAACCAAAATTTCTTGCACAAAGTAGGCTACAAATGTTTTCTCTGTCGGTAACCTGTGACTGTTTTATATTGTGAATCTAAATGTCTGTGGACTCTGTGCTTCTCCTCAGCCTTTTGCTGTAAGTGGCTGATGCAAACTGAATTAATGACTCTTAGGTACAGGAATTCACATTGCTGTAGCTGATTGTGTATGTTTGTGTACTCAAGTTTGAAATCAGAGCCTAGTGCTTGCTTAGCTGGTACTTCTACCACCTGAGCCATGTCTCCAGCCTGGCTTTTTGCTGGTTTTTTGGAAGATGTACTCTTGTAGACTTGTAGACTTTTTCTGCCTGGGCTGGCTTAGAAACCACAGTCCTCTGGATCTTAGCCTCCCAAGTGGCTAGGATTATAGGTGTGAGCCACTAGTGGCCTGGCTGTGTAGTTAATTTTAAGAAAAGTAAGAGTTTGCTGGGCACTGATGGCTCATGCCCGTAATCTTAGCTACTCAAGAGGCTGAGATGTGAAGATCGCAGTTTGAAGTCAGCCAGGTCAGGACAGTCCATGAGACTATCATCTAAAATTAACTCCCAGGAAGTGGTGCTGTGGCTCAAGTGGTAGAGTGCTAACCTTGAGCAATAAAGCTCAGGGACAGTGCACAGTCCCTGAGTTTAAGAACCATGACCACAAAAAAAGAAAGAAAGAAAGAGAGAGAGAGACAGAGAAAGAAAGAAAAGAGAAAGAGAAAGGAAGGAAGAAAGAAAGGAAGGAAGGAAGGAGGAAAGAAGAGGAAGAAAGAAAAGGAAAGAAAGAGGAGTTTGTATTCTCACTAAAAGCAAATAGCAACTTGGAAAGGATGTTTTATTCATGCCTATCACTGTGAGATTTGTACTGCATATATGTTCTACTTTCATGTATTTTTTTTCTCTTATTTAGTTTCTCCCAGTTCCTGAGTTGATGCCTTTCCGTCTTACACGCCAATTTATCTATCTGATGTCACCCATGAAAGAAACAGGTCTTGTGTACAGTGTCATGGTCCATGCACTGAGGGCCTTCCGCTCAGACGCAGACCTGCTTAGTAACACCATGGATGTGTTTGTCAAGGAGCCCTCCTTTGACTGGAAAGTAGGCTTTGTTTTTTTTTGTTTGTTTGGTTTTTGTCCATCATGGGGCTTGAACTTTGGGCCTGGGCGCTGTCCCTCAGCTCTTCAGCTCAAGGCTAGCACTGTACCACTTGAACCACAGAGCTACTTCCAGTTTTCTCAGCAGTTTATTGGAGATAAGAGTTTCACGGACTTTTCCTGCCTGGGCTGGCTTTGAACCGTGATCCTCAGATCTCAGCTGTCTGAGTAGCTAGGATTACAGGCATGAGCCACCAGTGCCAGTCTAGGCTTTGTTTTTGTCTGTACTTTTCACTTTAGTGCCAATGATTGACCCTATATGTCCTGTTGTGTAGCAAAATGCATCAAGTTATTATTTTGTTTGCATTTCCCACAATTAGCATTTAGGGTCATTTGGCCTGAAATCCAGATAAAAAGTAAAACCTTGGTTAGGTGTTAGTGGCTCACGCCAGCCTGGGCAGGAAAGTTCTTGGGACATGGACCTGTGACTCAAGTAGTAGAGTGCTGGCCTTGAATAAAGTTGAGGGACATCACCCAGGCTCCAAAGTTAGAAGAACACTTTTTATTTGAAGAACACTGTTGCTTCACTGGAGTTTATTTCTAACTTGAAGTGGGACTTACTGGTGATGGTGGGTCCAATATTTCTCTTTGACACAACTTTTGGTGTAAAAATATTAGATAGAGGACATTCCTTGATCCAGAAAAGGCACAGTGCTATCTTTAGTCTCAAAGGTTATGCTGACTGCACACACTCAGAGAGTTAAGCCTAGGAAGCTCCCCCGTGACCTTGTGCATGTCCTTGCAGCACCGAAGCTGCGTGGCCTTCAAGAACCTAGAGAAAAGCTATTCCCAGGGGCAGGTGCTCGGCCTTTTTAACAATTACTTCTTGATTTAATCAATTTGAATGTGTGTGTCTATGCTGTTATAATATACAGAGAAAAATAATACTCTTTTTACTTAGAATTTTGAACAAAAAATGTTGAAGAAAGGAGGATCATGGGTTGAAGAAATAAATATAACTGAAAAGAACTGGTATCCTCGACAGAAAATATGTTATGCTAAGAGAAAGTTAGCAGGTGCCAATCCAGCAGTTATTACATGGTAAGTTATTACATGCTCCAGCATTACTGTGGTATCTATGCCATATGCACAATGTGCTGAGCACCTCAGGCCTTTGGCAGTGGTGTTGCTGTCTTCACCATTCAGACGAAGAGAGCAGGGCTTAAAGAGCCTGTGTCAGAGGCAGACTGTGTGTACACACCTGTGTGTCCAACCTGATGCTCTGCATCGTCTTCAGGTTCTTGGCCAGTGTCTGGCAGGCCAATATCTGGCATAGCTGGTACCAGTATAAGGACAAAAAGATGCAGTTTTAAATGGGTGTCAAAATACGGTTATCTACATGAAGAGATTTGGGGTTTAAATTTGTTTTTGTTTTTTTCTTTTTAGCAGATTTTACCTATTTGGCCCTGACTGCCATGAGCACTAAGGTGTGACTAACACAGTATGTGCTTATAAAATAAGAATCCACATTGGTGGTTGTGTGTAGTGCATGGCTATAATTCCAACTACTCAGGAAGCATAGATTGAGGGATCTTCTGTTTAAAGCGAGGCTGGGCAAAAAGTTATTGAGTCCTTATCTCAGTAAATAAGTCCTATCTACTGGGAAGCATAAATAAGATGGTGGTCCAACTCTAGCTCCAAGGTGGAGCATAAGCAAAAAAGGGCTGGAGGTAGGGCTTAAGTGGTATAATATTTACCTGCCTGGCAAGTGCAAGGCCCTACCCTGAGTTCAAGCACTAGTACCAACAAAAAGGAAACATAAAAATCCACATTGCATTAGCTGAAGGTTAGTTTTTATTTTTTTTTCTTCTTGAGATTTAAAGCAAATAGAAAAGTAGAGATTATTCTTAGGAAATGAAAAAATGAGTTAGATCTAAGAAGTAAGTAAGAGTAAGTGGAAATCTGTGGTTGACTGTTTTGACAAGGTTGCCAAGATATTCTCTGGTCTTTCCAACAAAGCATGCTGGTAAAAGAACGAAGTTGGATCTCTCTCACACTGCTTATAAAATTAATTCAAAATGGAGCAAATATAAGAGCTAATCCTGTAAACCAAATAGGAAAAAACAGAGGAATACATTTTCATAGCATTGAGTTTAGCTGTGACATTTAGCATTTTTAGGTGTGATACCAAAAGCAAGAACAAAACAGATAAATTCAGAACTTTTGTGTATCACAGGATACCGCCAAGAAAGGAAGAAGCAGGCCCGGATGTAAGTCAGGGACAGAGTGCTTACCTAGAATACATAAGGCAACACTGCAAAATGAAAACCGTTAAAAGCTACAGACTGAGAACATTCTTGCAAATCATATATCTGACAAAGGACTTTTATCTAGAATATACTTAAGATCTCTTACAAATCAATAACCAAAAGAATACCCAGCCAGGTGGTACTGGCTTACGCCTATAATCCTAGCTACTCAGGATACTGAGATCTGAGGATTACAGTTCAAAGCTCGGCCAGGCAGGAAAGTCTGTGAGAACCTTATCTCCAAATAACCACCAAGAAGCTGGAAGTAGATCTGTGGCCTAAGTTGTAGAATAGCTAGCCTTGAGCAAAAAAGCTCAGGGACAGCACCCAGGCCCTGAATTCAAGCCACTGGCCTGGCACAGAAAGGGGAGGGGGGTTTAGGAGGAAGGAAGGAAGGAAGGAAGGAAGGAAGGAAAGGAGGGAGGGAGGGAGGAAAGGAGGGAGGACCAACTTAAAAAACAATAAGTCAACACATTTCTCTAAAGAAAATGCACAAATAGCCCAAAAGCACATAAAGAAGGAAAATATAAATGTTAGTGCTCATCCACTAAGATGGCTGTAAGGTAGAGTGTTGCATGTGTTGGCAAGGCAGTGGAGACTTTAGGGACCTCATGCACTGCTGGTGAGAATGGAAAAATGGTGTGGTTGTTATGGGAAACAGCCCCACGATTCTCAAGAAGTAAAACAAAGGGCAGAGAGTGTGGCTTAAGTGACCCCGGGTCATTCTCTAGTCCTAGAGATAAAACAGAAAAAAAGACAAAACAGAAAATTGTCATTTGACCCACTGGGTCTACTTCTGAGTGTCTCCCTAAGAGAAATGAAAGCATATGTCTGCACAAAAACTTATAAACAAATATTGATAACAGCATTATTCATGTTTTATTTTCCTACAAATTCAACTTTTGACTTTAAGGTTATGAGCAACAGAAAAAAGTTAAGTAATAAGCTAGAACGTTTGTCAAGGATAGCTAGGAATCCAGGCAGCAAAGAAAAAAAAAATGGTGTTTGTGTCCTCATAGTTGTTTAATCTTTTTCCAGTGAGGAGTTACTTCTGGGCCATGAGAAGTCACCTGCCTTTGGGGGTTACACAGCTGTAGCTCGAGGAAGCAGAGAGCACAACATCCGTGCTCGAGAGCCAGACAGTGGACTTTCAGAAGAGACTCAAGTGAAGTGTTTGATGGACCAGGCCACAGACCCCAATATTCTTGGAAGAACTTGGGAGGGGTGGGAGCCCTGGATGTGAGGTCTGTGGAAACGTGACAGCAATAAAGCAATAAGTTTGGGCTGGGAAGGTGGCTCAGTGGTAGAGCGCTTGCCTTGCATGCATGAGGCCCTGGGTTCAATTCCTCAGCACCACATAAGCAGACAAAAAAATAATAAAGCAATAAGTTTATTTTGAATATGTTATTCAGAGGATCTCTAAACTTTCATTGATAGCAATTAGGGAGCTGATTTTGCTGAAGCACTAATCTTTTTAGTGATATAATTCTGTAGCATAGTTTCAGTCAAGATCATGACAAGTGAAGGAGTGTTGATAAGAATCAACATTTTATAACAAACATAATAGGAAAACATATGTCCAGGTTCATCAAAGTCTTAAGTATGTAGCCAGTGAAATCAATGTTCTCAATGAACACTCCATGGGCATTCTCATTGGGATATTGGAAATAATCCCTAGACTTCATCACGAAGATTTTGTGAAAATGAAGTCAACAGCAAAATTGATAGAATTTACACTGTGTCAAATGATCATTCAAATTATAAAGGCATTACACGTATCAATTGCAAGTGAGAAAACTGAAGCTTCAAAGTTTAGGTTGCAGACAATCACTAATAATTGTTTCAAAAACCAAGGCCTTTATGAACTATAAGGTGTTTCTGTGCAGTATACAGTAAATTGGTTCAAAATTTTAAATAAGAGAAGGTTGTAATGAGACAAGCTGAATATTAGAAATTGTTTAGGACACTAACAAACTATAAGCTTACTAAAAAATGCTAATTTCAAGCCGGGCACCAGTGGCTCATGCTTGTAATCCTAGCTACTCAGGATGCTGAGATCTAAGGATTGAGGTTCAAAGCCAGCCCAAGCAGGAAAGTGTGTGAGACTACTATCTCCAGTTAACCACCAGAAAACTGGAAGTGGCACTGTAGCTCAAGTGGTGGAGCGCTAGTCTTGAGCTGAAGAGCTGAGGGACAGTGCCCAGGCCCAGAGTTCAGGCCTCACACCCTACTCCCCTACGCCCCACAAGAAAGCTAATTTCATTTCATTCTTCATTTACAAAACAAGTTAACTAAGCAAAACAATCTCAGTGATGATAAATGCATTAATTATTTATTTAGGTGTTTAAGGTCTCGTACCAAGTTTTCTCTCAGAACTATAACCACACCTTCCCAGCCTGTATAAATATATGATTGAACTAGTATTAATACATATCACCATTTCAATATAGGAATAATAAAGACAGGCAAAGCTGTGGTTGTGACATATTGAGAAAGTGTTTTGTTTAAAATGAGAAGATTTTAAGATCGTTCTCTAGGTTTTTTTCTTTTCTTTCTAGTTTTGACGAAGAGGAAGTCTTAAGGAGGGTAAAAACCTCAGTCTTAGCATTCATTCTTATGACTCTGATTCACAACTGCAATCAGGAAATCTTCAGAGATCTCACATAGGGTGATGAGGAAGATAAGAAAGGACTCCTTGTTTGAGACAAATTCCTTATTTGGAACATCTGGAACAGCAAGATCTGATTATGAAACCTAGAAATGGCTCCTTCCCTCCTGCCCTCCAGGCTATGTCCTGTAGCTGTTTTCAGATTGACTTTTAGATTTTTGTTGTTTTTTGGTTCTGAAATATTTCTCGTTGGTAGCTTTTGCATGATTTTGAGGAGTAATCATGAATTTGTTTAGTTCTGGGAAAGTTGCTTGGCAGATCTCTCATCTTGCATATGCAAGGGACTAAGTTCATTCTACAGCACTACAAAGAAAATAATTCACATAGAAAAAAACATTTCAAGACTAGGTGTAGTGGCTGAAGCTTTACTTAGGAGGCAGAGATTGCAAAAGCCTGGTTCAAGGTCAGGCTGGGCTAAAACAAATTGATGAGACTCATCACAAGTAGTGGCTAAGAGCAGCATCCTGCGCTTTTATCCCAGCTGTGGAGAAGCACAATGGATGTGCACAGTGGTGGGCACCTGCCATCCCCATCAACACAGGGAAGAGGTTTACAGCCCAGGAGTCAAAGGTATTGAGGGAGACCAACAACTAGCACAAGCCAAGCGCTGGTGGCTCACGCCTGTAATCCTAGCTACTCAGGAGGCTGAGATCTGAGGATCATGGTTCAAAGCCAGCCTGGACAGAAAAGTCTGTGAGACTCTGATCTCCAATAAACCACTAGAAAACCGGAAGTGGTGCTGTGGCTCAAGAGGTAGAGTGCTCACCTTGAGCTGAAGAGCGCCCAGGCCCAGAGTTCATGCCCCACGACCAACTACAACTACAAAAAAACTAGCACAGAGAGGGCCTGGAAAGTGGCTTAGTTAGAAGAGCACCTGCTTAGCTCATGTGAGGACCTAAATTTAAGCCCTGGTACTGTCCCCCTCCCCCAATCCCAAATGAAGCACACAGCCCTTCATGTAGTTTTAAGACTAAGGTGTTCATCTTACAAAACAGTTCATTGTATTACTTGCCAACTTTATTGAGGTAAATGTGGAATGTATTTTGGCATTAATATAAGTATTTATGCTCTTATGAAATAACGTCTATTGAACCAAAGAGATTTCATCCTTAAAGAAAAGTGACATGAAAATTCTGTCTACACGTGATTGGGGAAAATTTTTGCTACAACATACAAAGGAACAGTATAGGCCTATTTTGGACTTGAGTTTATTATTCTGCAACTGTAATTATAATTTATGCTTGTGTACTGATAATGTGAGCTATATTCATGAACTGGATTACCTTTGTTATAGGAAACTCTGGTTTTTTTGTTTTGTTGTTTGTTTTGTGCTAGTCCTGGGACTTGAACTCAGGGCCTGGATGCTGCCTGAACTTTAGTGCTCTACGCTTATGCTCTACCACTTTGAGTCACAGTTCTACTTCCAGCTTTTGGTGGTTAATTTGGAGATAAGAGTCTTATGGCCTTTCCTGCCCATATCCTGTCCGGCTGGCTTTGAACTGCAGTGCAAGTCCTCAGATTTCACCTTCCTGAGTAGCTAGGATTACAGGCATGAGCCACTGTACCCAGCGACAGAATCTCACTATGTACTACTCAAGATCTCAATCCTCCTGCCTCAGCCTAGGATTCTGGAATTACAGGTATATAGTGTGCCACTTCTGGCCAGAAACCTTGTTTTTTTAACAACTATCTTTTATTTCAATAAAAGTTCATTGTTGTAAGTCAGCTGTTGTTTGTGTTTATGGTTCACCAAATGATGAATGAGAAGAAATTTATTGTACCCAGCATTCAAAAGGCATTGATTTAGTTAATCTAGATAATCTAGATTCAGTTAATCTAGATCTACCACTTACTGCTTATCTGACTCAGCTGTTACCCAAATTCTTGTAAAATGGACATCTGGTTTGGTGACCAGGAAATTAAAAAGACATCTAATTGATTACAATTACACAGAAGTAATATTAAGTATTTTAATTAGGCATTTTACTATACTATTAAGGGTGTGTGTGTGTGCGTGTGCTTGTGCATGTGTGTGTGCAAGCATGCCAGTAGCTGGTCTTCAGGGCCTTGACCTCTGCTCAGCTTTTTTTCACTGAAGGCTGGTGCTCTTATCATTTGATCTACACCTCCAGTCTGGCTTTTTGCCGGTTCGTAGTTAAGAGTCTTGAGGATTTGTCTTCTTTCAACTTCAATTTTCAGATCTTAGCCCCCTGAATAGCTAGGTCTATAGGTATGAGTGACCAGTGCCACGCTGAATTACTAAGTACTTTAAAGGTAGAAGTCATGTGCATTTTTTTCAAATATAAGTGTTCTAAAACAAACTTTTTTCTCAACAGTAGAGGTTGAGTGTTTTCTTAACCAATACCTTAGCCTCTCCCGCCCTCTCACTTACCACTGCTTGGTACTGAAGTCAGTTGTGAGAATAACAGTAGCCGCCTTTAAAAGCTATTCCTAAAAGAAATAACAATCATTTCCTCAATTTCTTGAGCATTTCTTGAGTACTATTTATTAGTAACTTCTGCTTCAGAAAATTGTCTTTGTAGTTAATGGAAGCATGGCTCAATGAGTTCCACATTCTTCCTTTTGAATTTAATGAAATTAGATAAAGAACTTATGTATTGGCTTTTTCTTTTCTTTGTGTGTGTGTGTGTGTGTGTGTGTGTGTGTGTGTGTGTGTGTGTGTATACACTGATATTGGGGCTTGAACTCAGTGCTATACACTCTTGGTTTTTTCACTCAAGACTAGCACTCTGCCACTTGAGCCACAGCTCCACTTCTAGCATTTTGGTAGTTAATTCTAGCTTTCTAGTTAATAGTCTCAAAGATTTTCCTATCTATATACCTTGAATTTCAGATTTCAGCCTCCTGAGTAGCTAGGATTATAATCATGAGCCACTGGCATCTAGCAGAATAGACTTTTCAAAAAGCCAAAGGCAATTTTGTGCTTTTTTTTGGGGGGGGGGGTCCAGTCGTGGGGCCTGAACTCTGGGCCTGGGTGTTGTCCCTCAGCTCTTCAGCTCAAGGCTAGCGCTCTACCACTTGAGCCACAGCGCCACTTCTGGCTTTTTTCTTTTTGCTTATGTGGTGCTGAGGAATCGAACCCAGGGCCTCATGCATGCAAGGCAAACGCTCTACCACTGAGCCATCTTCCCTGCCCCCAATTTTGTGCTTTTAATAGGAATTGTATTGAATCAGGAAACTGTTGTCACACTGCTGTAACTTTCACTTTTCTTGGTTAATAATATTCCCAGGTATTTAGTTCTTTTGGATGCTGTAAGGCATCACATTTCCCTCTTAATTATATTTTCATGTAGCCCCTGGCTGGTGTCTATAAACACTACTTAGTTTACATATGCTGGACTGGTGTTGTCTTCTCACACAGTGCAGGGGTATTGGTTTGTATGCTGAACCACCCCTGCACTGTTGCGATAAATCTTACTTTGCCATAGTGAGTAAACCTTCCTTTTTTTCTTTTTTCTTGTGAACTCTGGGCCTGGGTGCTGTCCCTCAGCTCTTCAGCTCAAGGCTAGTGCTCTACCACTTGAGCCACAGCGCCACTTCCGGTTCTGGTTTATTGGAGATCTGAGTCTCATGTACTTTCCTGCCCAGGCTGGCTTGAACTGAGATCCTCAGATCTCAGCCTCCTGAGTAGCTAGGGTTACAGGCGTGAGCCACCAGCACCCTGCTTAGTAACCCTTTTTTATGTTTTTGTTGGTTGTTTTCTATTGTTGTTATTGTTATGGATCATGCCTGTAATCCTACTTATTCAGAAGGCTGACATTTGAGGAATATAGTTCAAAGCCAGCTTGGGCAGGAAAAGTCTTATGAGCCTTTTTTTTTGGTCAGTCATGGGGCTTGAACTCAGGGCCTCGGTGCTATCCATGAGCTTTTTCACTCAAGGTAGTACTCTACCATGTTGAGTCACAGCACCATTTCTGGTTTTCTGGTGGTTAATTGGAGATAAGAGTCTAAGACTTTCTTGTCAGAATTGGCAAGATCTCAGCCTCCCGAGTAGTTAGGATTACAGGCATGAGCCACTGGTGCCTGGCTCTGTAAGGTTCTTATTTTCAGTTAACCACCAAAAATCCAAAAGTGGAGCTGCAGCTCAAAGTGGTAGAGTGCTAGCCTTGAACAAAAAAGTTCAGAGAAAGCTCCCAAGTCATAAATTCAAGCTCAAGGACAGGCACCATGAACAAAGAAACATGGCCCCTGTTCATAACAGATCATGGCATCTAGTTTCCTTTTGCCTTGGGCTTGGTACAAAGGCAATGTTGATGTTAGGAAGTTTCCCCTTCTCAGATCTCTTCTGGATGAGTTTGAGAGCTGGTGT